GCACAGAATTATTTGAACAACCTATAGTTTTATTACTTATCGTATCATGTTGTTCTAGTACTTGTCGCGGCATATATTTTTAGCAATTATCGTATGATGTAGTTCTAGTACTATTGTATCATATAGCCCTAGTACCCGTCGTATCAAGTAGTTTAATTACTTGTCTGATCACATTGTTCTATTACTTCTTGTACCATATAGTTTCTAGTACCTGTATTATTATATAGATCTATTATCTGTGAGATTATATAGTTCTAATATCTGTTGTGTTAAATAGTTTTAGCACTTATTGTATGCTATGGCTCTAGTACTTGTTGTATAATATAGTTCTATTAATTTTAGTATCATATAGTATATGATACGATAGGTACTAGAAAGAGTCACTTCATTGTATAGAAATTAGGGGTGGATTTCTTTTCCTCGTTTTATCAAAACACATTTCATGTAAAAACAACATGTCATGCTGTACATTTCTACCTTTTTACACTAAAACACCATTTTTGGCCGCAAGCCAAGTCTTTTAATGCCAAGTGAATTAAACCCCTTAAGCGATAAACGGCGCGCGATAGTCACGCAAGCCCAAGTGTTGTCACAAATGACTTTTCAATTTGTCACCTGACGTCGAGGTCCAAAATAGTGACTCCCAATGACATTTTTATGTGCGGCTTATCGATGAGTCTCGATTTTTTTTGGGTTTAGAGTTTCAGTCATATACGGGGTTGTATCTTGAGTGTGGTTGAAATTTGGACGGTTTATTATTGGTTTTATTGTGTTAGTTTTGAGGGTAATAATTACTATAATATTTTTTACTTTTGACTAAGTGGAGCTTTTCTGTAACAAAATTTCGAATAACGATCAATTTTTAAATCCCCGAGCTATTCGTTGTACAGGAGTTCTATTGTATTAGGTTGGAATACACAAAACCTGTCATCTTTTCACAAATTTCGGGTAAAGCTGTGCAGTGATCTTACAAGTTTTGTTTGTTATATTATACATACAAATGCTGTCCCAAGTTTAATACAGTGGGATTCCTGTATTGCGAGCTACTCTATAACGACATTTACGTATACCAAGCAAATTTATATCACCTTTATTCTCAGTTTATAGCTTTAAAGAAAGTTTTTGTCATTTTATAGTTTTTAAAAGAAGTTATTGCCATTTTAAGTTTTTAAAACAGCATACAGTAGAACTGATGTATAAGGAATTGCTGAGGAATTTAAAATTTGTTCGTTATATATATTACTATATAGTTTCGGTATACAGAAGCTGTAATATACACACTGTATAGTGTTGGCCAAACAAGAAATAGAAAACTTACTATAAGGAACTAAAGGCCTACCATAATGTAAGTTAAGGTCAAAATTGTTAGTTATACGGGATTTTTGTTGTAATGTAATGGAGTTTGTTATACATGAGTTAAAATGTATAGTTTGGCCCAAAACAGTAAATTAATTACCTTAACGCTATGTCAAGGGGTGGGGGATGGGGTGGATCAACCTTTAGTCACCCCTTTCCCTCCTTCCCTCATCTCTAGTGTCGTTCTTGTATCTAGTAATATAAAATACTTACAGTATTACTTATATTATCATATTATTTACACTTAGCACGTATGGTATTTATGTTACTTACCAACCCTGTCTCAACTAAAATTTTTAACTCTCTGACAAATTGACTCAGTTACCGTAGAAGCGACGAAGTAAGAGAGTGTAAGGTTACTCTCGGTCCCTCCTTCCTTCTTTTGTCATCAAGGTCTATCGGGCGGCGATCTTGGCGAATTTAAATTAATTTCGCGGCGCAGTTTTGAGTTAAAAAATGGATTGAGTGGCACCTTAAACAGACAAAAGTAGAAATGACAATTCGAGGTGTACGTGGAAACAAGGTGACCGGGAAAATAGAGTTTAGACGTGGGGAAGGAAGAGGAGGAATTACAATATGTTGCTTTTTGGGCAGGGTAGAATGTTCAGAATGTTGGGGCGGATTTTTTGTTGGTTATGGTAGAATTTTGAGATTAGTTTTTGATTGGGCATGTCAATATTTTTTAAATTTATTTTTTATTGGCTGTGGTAAAATTGTGTGTTTTTGGGATAGGGCAGAGAATTTTAACATAGGGAATGATATTTTAGAGCAGGTAAGGTAAGATAGAGTAGAGTAGGGTAGCGTAAGATAGGGCAGAGTAGGGTAAAGTAAGGTAAGGTGTGGTACGGTAAGGTAAGGTAAGGTAAGGTAAGGTAAGGTAAGGTAAGGTAAGGTAAGGTAGGGTAGGGTAGGATAGGGTAGAGCAGATTAGAGTTGGGTAGGAGAGGGTAGAGCAGATTAGAGTTGGGTAGGAGAGGTTACGGCAATATAAGTTTTTTAGGGTAGGATATTGCAGGGCAGGCTACATAAAGCATGATAATATAGCCAGAGCATGATTAAGTTAAAAACCTACAGTAAAAGCTCAAAATCTTACCATAACGAACAGAATACCTACCATAATGTAAGTTAAGTAAGTCGAGGTCAGAGCCCCCTGAAGGCACGTGTCATACACCTCACACTCACTTCGGTCGCCTGTTTTCGTTGAAGGACGACGCATTTTGTCACAAAATTTTCGGCTGACAAAAAAAGGAAAGAAAAGGCTGTTAAATGAGTAGTCTTTAAGTAATAAACGGGTCTTACAAAACTTTCACAAACCCTTTTTCTTGGGCGTGGAAACAAAGTTTTTGAAGTTTTAAAAAGCTTGGGGTAGAGTTAGGCCCAAGTGGGATAGAATTAGACCTAATTGGGGTAGCATTAGTCCGATTGGGATAGATCACCTTGACATGAAAGGGGTAACATTGAAAGTGACTAACAAATGTAGGGATGAGTTTTGAAATAAAGGGCTATAGTGGGTAATACAGTAGGATTCTACTTAAAAATATTATGTTTCAGTAAGTTTTTAAATTTTATGGTTAAAGTAAGCTTTGAACTTATTTTTTGATTACTGTAAGCTTTAAACTCATTTTTTGGTTACAGTAAGCTTTAAACTCATTTTTTAGTCACAGTAATCTTGAAACTCATTTTTTGGTTACAGTAAGATATTAACTAATTTTTTGGTTACAGTAACCGTTTAAATATTTTTTAATTACAGTAAATTTTTAACTCGTTTTACGGTTACAGTAAGATTTTAGCTATTTTTTGGATACAGTAAGATTCCTCCCATAATATAAAGTAAAAAGTGTTTTATCGAAAAAAGTTTTGTCAGATCTAAAACAATGTTTATGACATTTAGGAAGGTTTTTCCTATCATCAGTGGGACAAAAAGCCTTCTGATGACTGTTGTAAGGTCACTTTTGTTTAAATTTTGTCTTTTTTTTGAGGTTGCGGCTCCGATTTTTTTGATTTTGGACGTTAAAACTCTCTGTTTTGTCATTATTACTAATTTTAAATTGAATTTAGGAAATTCTTTAATGACATGTTAGGGTAAGGTATGGCAATATAGAGTACCGTAGGATAGGGCAGGACAGAAAAGGCAAGGCACGGTATGGCAGGGCAGGGAGGGCAAGGCAAGGCAAGGCAAAGCAATGTAGTGTAGGGTAGTGTAGGATAAAATAGTACATATATTGAAAATTTTAAAAATATTGTTAATTCTTTACTTTAAATTTTATTCTACCCTACCTTTCATTATACCTTTCTCTCTACCCTTAGCACTATGATGATCTTAGCTTTCTGTCACTTTGTCTTAATGTGTCCTACAGTATCTTATCATGTCTCTTAATTTCACTTGATTTACTTTACCGTGCCATGTTCTTTCCTTCAACTTTTTTACCTTACCTAATTCAATTATGACTTTAATATGAATCTTATAAATAGAGATATTATTTTATTTCATACTCAATTACCTTCTACATCTTGCTTTCAAATTGTAGGCGAATAACATTGTGTTAAACTCCATGACAATTTACCTTCTCCAGTTGTGTTAGTTTAACATTATTATTGGAATAACACAGTTTTTTTGTTCTAAGAGGCATATCTACTATAATTTTAGTTTTATAAAAGTCTTGTCGTTTATTTGTGTTGTTTTGAAGGGTAAAAGGCGACAAGACTTTTTGGCGGCTTTATAAGGCGTATTGCTGCTTTTTATTACTTTTTACTACTGTAGTTAGGAAATACTGTTTTTTGGGGAAATATTTCTGTTTTTACTATAGCAAAATGTTACTGTAACTTTTTTCTACAGTAAACCATAAAGTTTAAAAATTCTTATAAATACTTTTTTAAAGATTAAAACATTCCTAAAATACCTTCAAACACACCTTTATATCTCCTAAACAATGTGTCCTCATTACCACGGATGACATATGAAAATTAATGTCATTTTGTGTCCACATAGGGACCAATTATCCCCTCAAGGCATTGTTAAGGCCAACCTTTTCTCTTCCACAAGTCATAACGCGTGTAAAAGTGTAACAAGGTTTGTGGACCAGTAATTAGTCGGGCAGAATATAGTGTTTATGGAGGCAAAACTGCTACGGTAGGACATTATTATAGTGGCATGAGTTTGGAATTGGAGTTGTTGGGCGGTTTTTGGCGAATTTATGAATTTTAACTTGAATTTTATGATTTTGAAATTTGAAATTTTATATTTTTTTTATTTTACATCCTCTTTTGACTATAGTAATTCACTATAAAGTTGGTAACATAAACAACAGTTGATTCTTGTTGATCAAAGCAACACCTGACACATTTTCTATTCTTGAGCCAAGTCTTCCTCTGTAATTCCTTCCTTTGATAAAATGCAACTCTTGATGGATATGGTATACGCTAGAAGAACATATCGAATGTCATATTTTTTAAACATCACATTTTAACTTTAAAATAAATTATCTTTTTGAACGTTTTCTTTGACCTCCGATATTATACTCGATAGATTTTGCGTTTTGCTCCTCGTTTTTCCAGTTATCGCATAAATTATCGTTGTCCCGTCGCTGAATATGAACTTTTTGAGTTTTTTATAGTGTGTACAAACTTTCAGAATCTAAAACATCATGTCAGCTTTAAAACAAGCCTTGGATTCTCTGAAACCTTCCTGTGAAGGCGAACAAGCGTCAACCTCACTGAACTTCAAGCCAGAAGCCCCAAGTTGCTCCGAGTTTCTGACACAGCTTTGTCAACAGTTTATGGCTCAAAATGAGTCAGCTTTATCCATGTTCAACCACTCGAATGTAGACGACATGCCAGTGTTATCAAAGTCCGAGGAACCATCAGCTTCAGGGCATCCCAGCCACGGGATTCTGATTCCCTCAAAAAAGCGAACCAACTCGAACTTTGCCTACACAATGACGTTGGAAGGCTACACATATCATGTTTGTTATCGACGTCAAACCCCGCGAGGAGAACGAGTGTATTGGCGTTGTCAGCTGAGATCAGGATGTAAAGCAAGGCTCATTACTAATCTATCTGGAAAAATCATGCAATTCACCAACTCGGAACACACTCACGACCCTCCAAAAGGTGGTAGAATTGACAAGAGTACTATCGTCAAAGCTCCAGGATCTAAGAAGAAAAGTAACAAGTCGAGCGAGAGCAGTTTCCTCAACTTCCCGTCGGACATCACCATGGATAATATCGAGAAGCCAAAAGAGCCGATCAGCATGGTTGTGGACGAACCAACGGATTACACTGCTGTTCTACAACATATTTTGAAGATGTCAAGTCAGGAGGAGTTTGATATGGACTTTGTGAAAGGGATCAACTCGACCAATCAATCTCCTGAACCTTCGGATACCAGCTCAAGTGATCAACATTCTGTGAATGGTGAAGTTATCGTACGTTTTTTAATGATTTCTGTATGTTAAAAGGTTGAGAATTGTTTGATGATGCTGTAGAAAAGTATTGGCTTTGAAATAAGGTCGAATTTTGGGTTTGGAGGCTAATATTATGTTACACTGGAAACGTTGATGTAACTTTTAAAGAAAGCTCTATCTTAGTTTCCAAAAAATGTCAAACCCATGTATCTTGTACTCAAGTTGTAGTACACACCATTATGTTAGTTTTAGATTACAAAAAGTTTTATTGTAGTAGGTAATATCACCTGGTCTTCAACGCAAAATTGTACTTAAATTAAGCTCAAACGCTTATATTAAGACCGAGAATTACAACCATGACATGATATTGTACTAAATTTCAAAAAAACTGCAAAATTAGTAGGTATAGGGTTGTAAACATCTATAGTAACAAAAACAAGATGTACAACATATTATTTGGAAAAACACGAGAAAAGAAACAATTTTTAATTATAGTTTGTACTAATTTTTAACATACCGAGCAGGTTTTTGGTTTTGTGCTATCGTTTAATTATTATTCAAGTCTTAATTATGAATGTTTGGTGGAGATCTGGCTTGTTTTTCATGAATAACATGGTAAATTTATCAAAATTTTTAAAGAAATATTGCAAATCGAGTAAAAGCTATCTAAGATAAATTCGTAATCTAAATCACAATACGAAAATGCCATAGTATACCACTGTAAATGAAAACACACGGCTTCCTGACGTATATTTCTGTCGTCAAATCCGCAGGTCGCGCGGTCAAGGGCGCGAGTCAACGAAGACTTGTTGATTTCCTGGAGGCGAAAACCAAAGGTTTTGCTCAAAGCTTGGAATTTTGGAGCTTTTTTCGATAAAATTTTACAAATAAAAGTAATTTCTTGGAATTTATGGTTTGTTTTGGAGCTTTTTTGTTTATTTTTGGGCTTATTTTAGAGAAATTTAGGGTGTAATGAAGGTTTTTAATTATTTTAGTTGAAATGTAGGTTATATCAACGGAAATTGGCTGGATGTTGAAGTAGTTTGATGTTTCTGAGCTGTAGGGTAGTGAACTAGGATTATGTAAATGATTGGAATTTCAAAAATTTGAAAATTTTATTTTTGAAAAATTTGTTACCTAAAATATTGCTAAAGCTTGAATGTACTCTAAAATTGTGCTTTAAGTTACGTTTCAGCTATTTTTGGTCAAAATAATGTATATTTCATTTTTTTTCAAGAATCTGAGGGATATTTATAAATTCATACCTAAAGTAATATAAAAGCCATTAAAAAGCTCAGAAGCTTCAGTTTTGTAAAATATTGGTCAAAAATGATAGCCATATACTATTTTTTTTTATTAATGTATAATCAATTTTTATTTTCAGCCATCCGCTATGACCGTAGAAGACCGTGCCGAGCACCTTAACCCACTAGTTGAATCCGGCTGGTCGACAGTGCCAAACAGAGACGCGATCAAGAAGAAGTTCACGTTTGTCGACTTCAACACGGCCTTTGCCTTCATGACAGCTGTGGCATTGTACGCGGACAAGCACGATCATCACCCGGAATGGTTCAACGTTTACAATCAGGTAGGTGTCTATGTTAATATAGCTTCTTTTTGGTTTTGGGGGAATATTATGGATGTTTTTGTGGGTTTTTTGATTTTTATGGGTTTGAGAGGTCATGAGGGATGAATTGCAGTTTAAAATTTGCGTTAAAAACTATGTTAAAAGATGTAAGATGGCAGTAAAAGTTGAAATATTGTTGATTATTATGAAAATTTTTGATTTTTTAACTACTTTTAGGCTTATTTTGAAGTTTTTTGATCTAAATTTAGTTTTCTTAAAGTCTTTAAATAAGTAAAATGTCAATTATTGTACAAATTTCCAGGTTGAAATCACGCTGAGCTCTCACGACGCCAATGGAGTCACACAACGAGACATTAGATTAGCCAACTTTATCGAAACTACTTACAAAAAGTTTGCCAACTAATCTATTCAATCACTCAACTACTCACTCTTCAGTTTATATAGTAAAGACTATTTTATTGTAAAATTATGTGTGATATTATAGTAGACGAATTTTATTTGTTATATTATAGTAGATTGTAAATCTTTGTGTTATTTTATAACAGATGGTAACAAAGAATAAATTAACATTATGTAAAAGGTATTTGGTATTGATGTTGTATGGCTTTATTTGCTGTCTGGTATTATCTTTGGTCTTTTCGGGTTGGTTTATCTGTTTTATTTTGTTTTGGAGGTTGGTTTTGTGTTTTTAGGTATTATATTAAAGTAGAAATCATTTTGTGGTAATATTTCCAGCTACGTATATTCTTTTGGTACAGGAATGACTCTTTCTGTCTTTAATCTTTCTTCTTTTGCATGTTTTTTCATTTTATGAGTTGAAACAAGGATATAAGCCTGATATTGACTATAACGAGAGCCAGTGTGTGCAGGAGTTGATTATAAGGTAAATTTTGCTATAAAAAGAATTTCTATAAGCATGTCTGTAATGAGAGTTAATTCTGTTACTTTTTTGTTTGATACATTGATATACTGTGAGTAATATGTTTATCTCTCGTGTCCTACTCAAATGATGTGATGCTTTGCGTACTACATCTAGTTGCACCTACATAGACTGGTTTCTATATGTCATGTTTAGAATTAGGAAGGGATTGATCATCAAAAAAGTTTGTGCTCATTTTGGTTAAGATTCTTCATAGAGTGCACCAAAATATATTGCCAGCAGTATACCAATTTATGAATGATGGAGTCAATATGCTCTGTATTGCTGTTAGTAATTTAGGATAGTAGGACCATTTTTATCTGTTTCGAATGCCATTTTTGGGATAATGGTCTACGACGTCTAGCTTTTTTAAAATTTAACTTTTCATATTTCGCTAGATGAACTTTATGACCTGTAAAGGAGCCGGGTCCGATTTTTTTGGCTCGGTCTTTAAGTCCCTATATAGCGGCTCGGCCCTTTTGAAAGTTGTTCCAGCCCAAGACCGGGCTTAGTAAGCTTCCTTTTACGTATGTCTCTCTAACCAATTATAAGACCGTTTCTAAACTTAAAACCTAGGTGAGACTCAATAAAACTCTCTAAAACAAGGTAAAATTAATCACATATTAAGCTCAAGATATTTAAAATAATGAGAATTTATTTATTTTTTCAAATTTTACGAAAGCCAGACAAAACGGCAGAAATAAGTCCAAAACTGACACAAGTAAGATCAATGGCCATAGATTTTCCGGAGTTTGCAGGTATTGGCGCACATTTTGCGCCAATCGATAATGTTGTCGTGGAGTCGGGCATCGTGCATGGCGTTCAGTACGTCCTCATGCAAATGGCAACGCTTCGTGATTTGGGTATCGGTTGCATTATTCTGGCGACACTTCACGAGCTTCTGAAATTCGAATTTTTAAAAAATTTACATTTTCCAAAACAATGGTTTTAAAATGCAAAAACTTTTTTTCCAGCTCAAAAAGAGCTAATGTTTTTCAAAAAAAAATTTTTTTGTATTTACTAATACAGCAGCCATTCTACCCAAAATAAGTATATTTACCATTGGGGTGTCTAACTTACAGTTTTGTACTCGCCTCCAGTGGTAGGTATAGGATCTCCCTTCTTGTCGCCGACCATCTTCATCAGCGTATTTGCGTAGAGTGTCATTTTTCGGCATTCGTCACAATCGGTCTGGGTTTTATGGTCTTCGTCGGCCATGGTGATTGTTGTCATCAACAGGAAGAGCAATATTACACGCATTTTTGACTGAAATGGTGAGTTTGTAAGGATTTTTTGGTTTTAGGTAACAAGACGGTTGATTTTACCAAATAGCTGACGTATGCTTAAAAATTTTAAAAAAAAGTTAGGCTTACTTTGAACGACGAAGAAATTGAAGCAAAAACGACCGTTTTGTGGCACAAAAATGGGTAAGAACGCTTTGAAATTTTATGTTTCTTTGAACATAGAGTTTGAAATTTCTAAAAATTTTAATTTTTTTAAAAAATAGTTGATTTTGAAATGGCCTAAATTTGCATAATTCAAATTTGAACTTTTGAAAAGTTTAAATTTTTTAATTTTACAACGTTTTTTCATATTCAAAACCTTCTCATTTTCAAAAATTGTTTTATTTCGTGGTTGGTAAGTTTGCGTGTTCGCTATCAACACCTTCTCATCTGGCTGTACCTTAAAATGACCAAACTGTGGATCGTCGTGCTGATCGTTCTTGCCGTTTCCGTGGATTGTGGTAGCGTCGTGCCTAGTCCGGTGGAGATTCTGAGGAAACCGGGCGTGACGGCTTCCGCAGTTTGTAAGATTTGCGTAGCCGGCGTTACCAAACTCAATCAACTCATGTTCGAGGCGAAGAAGCGGGACCTGAAGATTGCCGACATGGACACGACGACGTTGAAGAGTGTAGGTTTTTTGATATTTCATATTGATGTAGACGAATTTTTATTATTTAAGTTGGCATCTCGTATATTTTTTATCTTTTACTATCTACTATCACTAAATTTAAACAAAATATTATCTGGCTACAAGAATATATTGTTATCGTAAGGTCATCTGGCTATTAATGCACTTATAAGAATTTCATATGATCACAGAAATAATATGTCATCATAATGTTATCTGGTCAAAAAAATCAGTGTACTATCATAAGGGCAACTGTTAACTCATTTACTAGCCAATTCTAGTCATAAACAACACAAAACATGGTCATATTAGTCTTTAAAAAGTCTTGTCGTTAAAATACATGCATTTACACGATCAAAAACGACAAAAGTTCCGTTGCTCAAAGATGTTTATTATAAGAGAAGTTATGTTTATGAAGTATAACATATTATTTTATATGGAATACTTGATAAAGACATTTCTTCCTATACTGAACATATGTAAGCGTTGAGAAAGTTTTGTCGTTTTTGCTAACTTTGACGACAAGACTACTAGTATGACCATTTTTTGTGTTGTTTATGACGAGAATTGGGTATTAAAGGGGTTAAAAGTTGTCATTGTGGTAGTACGTTGATTTTGTGACTAGTTGACGTAGTGATAACATTATTTCTGTGAGCAGATGACATTTTGTTGTAATTGAATTAATAGCTAGATGACGTTACGTTATATTCTTGTGGTCAGATGGTATTTTGTTGAAATGTTGTGATAATAGATATATATTAATATTATTGATCGTATTTTGCTTTAGCCAGGAACGTCGCTACAGGTTTTTCTAGGGGCGACGTCTCTGTCTTTAGCATCTAGATCTACTATCATACCAACGGTCTTTAGTATCTAGATGAACTTATGACAATATATTGTTTTAGTGGCTGGCAGAATGTCTGGAAAACAACAACGACAAATCCAAGTGCGACATGTTGCGCGACGGCGTGAAGGCTGCGGAAGACGCGGAAACTCACGACAACCTGATTGATCATAACATCATGTGCAAGACTTCATGCCATCCACCAACTCGTTCTTAACCACAATATTGTTGTAATATAAAATTGTAATGTCAGCTAGTTACTATCTCTTGGAAACGTATAAAATAATGTTAGATAATGGTGTTTGTTGAAAAGGTGATAGCATTGTGGTATTTGATTTAAAGTGGCATTTTGGACAATCTATCTCATTTTTGATACTACATAGCAAGCACTAGCTGTAGGTTTATGAAAAATATTTTATAGGTTTATGAATATGGCTGTATATCTTGATAATGATAAAAAGACAGAAGTCAAGGTTAATGTAAAAGAATCGTTTAGACCATGCATGAACTTTTACAGAAAATTTTGTAGTTGACAATGTTACCATGTTTGGCAGCGTCTTTCATTCCAAGGTACATGTCTCGGGCTATAGTACAATTGACTTTTGTAGGGTTACAGTTTTCGAAATTCTAAAATTTGAAAAAGAATTTTTTTAAATAAGGATTGCAAAGAAAGTGAGTTATTGCTGTTTTGTGCTTCGTAAAGAAAGTTCTTGTTTTTTTATATATTGTAAAGAAAGTTCTTGCTGATTTGTGTTTTGTAGAGAAAGTTCTTGCTGTTTTACTTTATGTAAAAATTGCCAACCTTTAGCAAATTTGCGTGTTTTTCGGATTGGCAGCTTGCCGTCGACAAGTTATACGTCAAGCTTTTGTGATTTAAGGTTTTGTAAAGAAAGTTTCTGCCATTTCGTGATTTGTAAACCAAGTTTTTTTATGACTTGTAAAGAAAATTCTTGGCATATTATGCTTTATAAAATTTTTTTTGCTATTTAAGGTTTTGTAAAGAAAGTTTTTGCCTTTTTTATGTCCTGTAAAGAAATTTATTGCCATGTTTCGTCTTGTAAAGAAAGTTTTTGCCATTTTATGTCCTGTAAAGAAAATTCTTGCTTTTCTATTTCTTGTAAAGAACGTTATTTCAATAATAACCTTACTTTTCTATAATAATCGACCGGCACTACATAGTCTTTCCCATCTTCTTCAGCTTTCATGGCTCTTGTGTTCTTATTGTTCACCACACGCTGACATGAGAAACAGTTTTTTAATGAAGTGATATCAGAAAACTTTTTTGTAGCAAAGATGTTGATTATGAGAAACACAAATATGCATAATACTATTGGATTCAGCTTCATATCGGGTTGGTAAATAGGTTTATGATTCTCTTTATGTAAATTAGGTTTGTGAAGCTATATGATAGGATAGTCACTTCTAATATTCGACGGTCTAAATATAATGTGTCTTTTGATCTTAATACTAGATTTAAAAAATATATATAATATTTTACAGTATAATAAGAAATTTTAAAGACTGAAAAATATTTTGTTTTTTCTTGCTTTAAATTGGACGAATCAACATTTTTTTGGTTTTTTATCGTATAAATTACTATACATTACCATTTTAATACGTGAATCATTGTTTTTTCATAATTTCTGGTTATGGGTTCGCTTATTTTAGCCATTTGATTAATTTTAAGAAATTGGAAGACTACGTAGTTCAAGGTGATTATTATAGAAAAGTAAGATTACTATTGAAATGGAAATAACTTCCTTTTCAAATCAAGAAATGGAAATAACTTTCATTACAAGGCGTAAAAGAGCAATGACTTTATTTAAAGATTAAAGATCATGAATTGGTAAAACCTTTCTTTACAAGACACAAAATTACAAGAACTTTCTTTCCTAATCATGAAATTGCAATAACTTCCTTTACAAAACATAAAATGGCAAGAACTTTCTTTACAAAGCATATAATGGCAAGAACTTACTTTACAAGACACAAAATTGCAAGAACTTTCTTTTAAACCTAAAATATTAAGACTAAAGGAAGTTTTAAAATTGCAATTTTTTCAACAAATTTTAAAACTCCCTTATGTTGACAGCGGTTTACAGTAGTAATCTCCTCTCGAAATAAGGTGAGAAGTCTCAAATTATGGGGGATTACCCTGGTATTCCGTCATGGTAAACAAAACAACATCTGCGGTTCAAATTTAGTTTTGAAGATGGGTATCTACAGTCTTTGATGTACATATGAAGTTACTATTCTGCTGATAACTAGTTTTAATTTGTACTATACTAAACTGATGCTGCAAAACTAAAGCTATAAACTACTGTAGCTTAATATTGTACTGTTTCGAAGTTACGATTGTAACATAATATTCTTATTTTATTATTACCTAGTTATGTTTATTCTACTCGCTATAACCAAATTTCTAACGTTTTTGGCTACTCCAACATCGGCTAGACCAGCCAGCTTGGTAGCGTTGATACGGTACAAGGATTCGTTTCCAAAGCCATCAGCTTTTGCCTATTTTATACCACCAACAAACGCTGCGGCAACTGCAACAACACTATGGTGTTGTTGGCCACCAACAACCACAGCTGCACCAAATCCATGTTATAGCTGCCCATGGTGTTGTAACCCACCTACTACGACACCACCTCCTCCACCACCGCCAAACCCATGCTACAGCTGTCCGTGGTGTTGCAATCCACCTACTACAACAACAGCTGCTCCTGATCCGTGCGCGAGTTGTCCGTGGTGTTGCTACAGCTATACTACAACTACGGCCGCACCACCTCCGCCAAACCCATGTTATAGCTGTCCATGGTGCTGCAATCCACCTACAACGACGCCAGCTCCTCCACCACCGAATCCATGTTTATCTTGTCCATGGTGTTGTTATCCACCTTCGTCTACTCCAGCACCGCCTTCGCCAAATCCATATTATAGTTGTCCGTGGTGCTGTAACCCACCTACAACTACACCACCTCCTCCACCACCGCCAAACCCATGCTACAGCTGTCCATGGTGTTGCTACGCTCTAACTACGACAACCGCAGCTCCAGTATATTATCCATGTGGCTGTCCTAGCTGTTGTGCCCTATTAGCCTCTTCTGGATTCGCCGGAGCAATCCCAACGCTTCTGAATGCCACGTTACCAGGATTGGGAATTCTACCTGGATCAACGATATTACTACCGGAATCTGAATCGGTGACGAGGAAGGCTTCAGCAAATGGCTTGACTTCAGAAATTGGTAAGACTTCAGAAGTTGGAAATAGTAAGATTCCTGGATTTAATTCGTTGTTATCTGGATTACCAGGCCATTCTTGGACTAACAGTACGGCAAACGTTGGGAATAGTAGTACCATCTGGTTGATAGAGCCATCTGGGGCTGCTTATCCTTTAAATTCGAAATTCAAAGAGCTACTGAAGCAAAATCACACTGAAGACTACAAAAATGGTGGTGATGAGAATAATATTGACAACACAGTAGGTTTTTGCTATCTTATAAACATTTTTAAACTAAACCTTGAAAATAGTCAAATTTAGGTTTTCATCGTTTTTTATCCGGTTTTTAAACTTTTTTTTAAATTTAAAACTATTTTAAATGTTCAGATTCCAAACTCAGAAAGCTCGGACCTAGCTGGACTGCCAGGCTATCAAATTCCAGTCCTTCATCACGCTGATGAAGCTTTCAAAACGAAGCCGAAGAAAGAAACAATCCCAAAAAATGAGACGAGTTGGCCGTTTCCAAAAAAGTATCGTGATGAAACTTAATGTTATCATTGATTTTTAATAATAACTTTAATAATAAATTATCTTAAAAGCTTAGGGATACCATAAATAATACATAAAGAAGGTTTTAAAGCTGAAAGTACCCGTCAGAGTAGAATACCATGCTGAAATCATCGAAAGAATAGAGATTTTTCTAAAAATTTTTATATTATACTTGATTTTATTAATGTAAACACGACATAGAGAGCTAAAATTTTTTAAATATGAAATTCAGGTCAGGAAAACAATGAAGTTTTATAATCCGTAAAAGGTAAAGGATTTCTTCTTTTTCGATAAAGGCGGAGATAAAAAAAATTTTGTCGACGAAGTGCCAAAAATGTTATTGGAAAATGTTTATTTTTATATTTTTCGAGTTTTTGAAGATATTCTGCCAGAATCCTTGACAAATGTGAGATCTTGTCTTAAAAATTTTATTGGAATGCAGATAAGTTCAACTGTTTTAAACGTTACTATTTTTTAGGATTGTGATTTTTATATCTTTTTCACTTTTTATGCTATTTTATTTTATGTTTTCGCGCCACATTATGTTATCCATGACCCAAAACTAACGTTTCTCATTTCAGATCGGAATCCACATCGGCACCTCACAGTTTTGGCCATCTTTATGAATGGTAAGTTGCTTTTCCTTTATTGTTTTTGTTTTTAGGGTAATGTTTGGAGGTTTTAATAGTGTTTTGATGTTAGAATGGTAATATATGCCAGGTTTTTTGTTCTTATACTTGGTTGATAGATCAAGATGCTAAATATAGTTTTAATATGATGAGCTAGCTTATTTCAGTTTTGAGTTTTGATTCCGAAATAGATTTAAGTTTTCAGATCACAGTATCCATAGCAACCTCTTGATTTGAATCTCAGTTTCTTACTAGAAGATCAATAAGGTGAGGTATTTCTTTTTTCGTTATTCTAGGGGAAAACGAATGTCTTTCTTATGTCAAATTGGTTTTATTGCAGCTTAATTTAATATAATTACTATTAGAGATATTATTAGTAAAATTATTCACTATGTATCAGAAATGGCAGTTTAACGGATGAAATGTTAGCTTTTCTGTTTTGAAAAATTTCAGAATTTAAAATATTGAGCTTATTATAAAATTGATTTCCAATGACATGTTACATAAGGTTTATTAATGTTACATAAAATTAAAATGAAGCAACTTATATATTATTACATGTTAAACAATGCCATTCAAAAATTTATGTTGGAATCGGCATTTGTCGCCGTACAAACAGAATCCTGTGGTTGAATACGCGCGACAGAGTTTGGTACTATTTATTGTATTGTTCTGAAATTAGGTAACGTTAATTATAGTGTTATAGTACAGATTTATAAGATTTAGTTATGTTGGTATTATAGGTATATTATTTAAAAGTTTTATTTTGGTTTACGGTAAAATTTTTTAGAATGTTGGGAAAACAAAACTTACACTTGACAACTCTCTTAATTCTTCCTTGTTATGAGCGAACCCACAAGCTTCTCCTCGAGGGCATTCCGAGCCATCAGAAACATTCTTACACATTTCGGTTTTGTAGTTACGGTTGTGTCGTTTTAGCCTTAAAGAACTGTAGACAATTTCCTGTGGAACGTTTTCATTAATTTCTTTTACAGGTTGGGCAGCGTACATTGGCCAAATAGGTTGATTTTTCATAACTGGGAATACGTCTCCATTTAGCAGTTGTATTCCTTGCGTTCTCATCGTTGACTTCATCATCAGTTTCTTAGAATCAAAGTTAACGTGTTTCTGCTGATCTTCATATGAAATTCTCTCAAATTTACTTGAAGATACGGGGCTGACTTTGGATTCATCGGCTTCAAATAAGTTGGCCACATAGCCAACTACATGTGTCATGTGTTCATCGTTAAGTTGTACTAGTTCTTCTTCAGTTTCACTGTAGTTTTCTTTATGTTTTAACGGTTTTTGATTCTTTTTGGTCTTAGCGCTGAATACTGCAGAATGTTGCAGATTCTTCGAATCATTTAACGATGAGTCTACTGAAGCTGTAGTGTTTGCACTGCTGGCTATTAAGATCGCTTGCTCAAGTGGAGTTGAACAGTGTAGCGGTGGAGTCCAAGAAGTTGGAAGTGAATCTGCTGGTTCAGTAGACGTGCATGGTGTGGGATATAAATTGATATTTGACGCCACATTTGGTTCTGGGATGTTTACACTGTGCTGAACGTTGTAAAGATGTTGTAAGTGTAGCTGTTGTTGATACTGAGCCATCATGATTGCCTGATGCTGTTGAGCCATCATATAGGCATAGTATGCCATTTGCTGCTGATGGTAAAGTGCCATTTGTTGTTGGGCTAGATTTTGAAGCTGGACTTGGGTTGGTTCTTGTGTTTGGCTGGCGGCCTCATCAACGGCTTGTGTTTGACTAGCCTCAATAGCATTACATTTGGCTTGTTTTGCCTTTTCAAAATTTTTCCGATTTTCAGCCGCTAGTATAGCCTGAGAAGAAATCTCCATGGCTATTCTGTAGCTGACGAAGCCGCTAACATCTAATGGGGTTGGAATTTCTGGAGATGAGGCCATCGCAGAAGGGTATTCAGTCGAGGATTGCATTTCACAACTATGTTGGCAGTAATAATGTAGCTAAAAATTATTTAAGTTAAGCACGGTTCTATAGTCTACATTTCACGGTATTGTTAGTATACACGATAATTTGGTTTTCAAAGTTCATTTGGGATAAACGGAAATTTATAAAAAAAAGTAAAAACTAAAGATTTTGAGACAGTTGAGGAAGGTCACACTTCTCAGTACGTCTGTTCGATTGTCTGATGTTGGAGTCAGATTGAACCTATATTTATATACGCAAACTGGTAGAAAATAAGTTTTATCTCTTTTGTTCGCACTGTTTCTTAAATCGAGAGGCTAAATCGGTAGACATGTTTAATTCTACTCTGATATGGTTGCGTAATCGTCGAGTTGGCGACAAAGTGGCGATATTTATGATATCTTATGCAAAACGTTTCTTTAGGTTTGGATTTTTGTGGACTTTGGACTTGATAAAGTATAAAAAATTATTGAACTTTATATAATAGGCTTTAGAATAAAGCTTTTGAAAGTTTACTATAACTTTTTTTATCATATAACTTTTACGTTAAGAGTGTGTAAATACGTTTCTTACAAACAAGGATATATTAAATTTTTTGAAGCCGATTTTTAAAATTAATCGCCATATATTAAGTTATAATATTGTTTATTCAAACAGCAATACTAATTACAAAAAATAAGAAAAAAATGAGACTTTAATCAATAGTTAACACTAATCATGTCCTTCTTCGAACGGTTTTGTAGGGCATTTTAATTCGTCCAGAAACTTGTAGTCCTCTTCAATCAGATGAGCAAATTTACTGTTGTGTCGCATTAGAGAGTAGTGTAATCCATCATTAGTACATAATCGGTCGTTTGGTTCTGATCTGATTCCAGGAAAGTCTAGAATCGGGATTTTAGCGACAGCAGACACGGCTCCAGTCAAAAGAACGTCGTCCATAGGGAAAAAGTGAACTTTTTCGGCCGCTTTTAGTAGTTTTTGTACTGTTGAATTGGAGGCTAGGACGAAATAACCAACACAATAGTTAGGCCATATCCTATAGGGGTATTCGTCTGGAGTTATGTACCTAAAATTTATGTTATTGGTACAGTTTAAGGCTCTCTGAAGTTAAAATACTATATTTTACAGTGTTGTGTCTTAACTTACCATCGATTTTCTTTTACCCTTAAAGGTGCCATGCCAAGGTATAAAGCACAAATCAAATAGTCGTCGATCTGTCTTGTCACAAAGTTGAAATCACGGTCGATCCACTCTAGTAGTCTAGGGATATGAACAGTAGTGTCATCATCTATTTTTACAAATGTCTTGACGTTCGAACAGTATTTGGCGTGCCATTGATACATGGCATACCATTTTAAGTAGTTATTACGATAGTCGCCTTTACCATCGTAGTAGACGATGTCTTTGTATTCATTCATCTCGTCGATCAGCATTGAAGCCGGAAACTCCTCTTCGTAGCCAATGAAGAACTTGTGGACTACTCGGGGTTGCTGTAAGGTTTATTTTTTATAGGTATTGTTATATATAGATATTGCTTTATCTTAAATACATTACTTTACTGTAACCGTATCTCAAAGATATTGCTATCAAACCCTACCAATCTGAACTTACATTCTTGAACATGACCTTCCTCATAGCTTCCCTCAATCTGGCATTGTTTTCTGTCGCTGTCGACATTATCATGATGGCCAAGTCCTTTCCTTGACAGTCTTTCGAATTGGCTCGCATCATTTTGTAATTCTGACGTTTGTTCTCAAACCGAGCTTGAAATGGGTCTAACACAAGGTCCGATTCAAACTTGAGTACAGTCTCGCCTTTTGCAAAATACTCGTTGTAGCTGTGGTAGAGGTTGAGTGAAGTGTAGAGAAAGAAGGTAATGACCAGGAATATTAGCACTGAAACTTTATGAAGTTTTAATATTTTTGTTGCTTTCTAGGGTACTATAGGAGTATATAATATCAGAAACGAGAGTAGTAGTCTAAAATAGCAGGAAGACTATAAACTTACCGTATTTTTTGTTGAGTTGTTCTATTTTTAATCGAAATTTGATTAAAAACCTTTGCAAATGCACAACTTCTGGCAGTGAAGACCAATTCATTTCCAATTTTAAGAATATTGATTTTATAATAAGTTAAACCTTGACAACAAGTTTGGTACTATAGTGAAATATGTCAAAGTTTATAATTTATAGGTACAAATTTTGGTATATTAAGTAAAACGTAAGATATTAGTATGGTAGACAATTTCTTACTTCATTATGTAGTAAAAAACAAAATGTAATGTAAAAACGATTTTTTGTTTACCATAATGCCGAAATTTTGTCGCCAAATTATAGGCGATTTGGTCTGATTTTATCTTGATTACCGGAAAATCTTTACAAAAACATGAATTTTAAATTGGCGGAGGATATCCAGTGACACTCTTGTATAACTAACTCCTCTATAACGAAATTGCCATGTTTCAAGGTTCATAAGCTTTAAAAAAATGCTCTCTATGTATCTAAATTCCCATTTTATTACACTTGTAACGAACTATTGCTATTGCTGTATGATTAGTACTGAGGTGCAAAAACCCGCTCTAATTTCAACTTTTTAATTTTTTTGCAAAGTAAAAAAATGGAATTTCCAATCTTTACAATTTTTGGCGTCAAAAAGGTCAGACACGGTTTTGATTCTATTCTTCTGCATTGATAGCGGCGAAACTTTTCAAAAATTAATTTCAAATATTTTTTTGAAATGTTTTTAATAGTTTTTTTTGCGATGTTGAGGTTTAGTATTGGGCAAATTTTCAAGTGGCTTCTACGTATTATAGTTTCTTCTACATTAATCTATTTTTTGTTACTATGGCATATTTACATTTATCATAGGCAAAAATGGTTTTTGAACGGTAAGAAAATTAATTTTAAATTTAAAAAATTGTGAAATTAATAATGGTTTATATATAGAATTGTGGACTTAAAATCCTTAAAATCAAAAAAGTATATAAATACGAGTTTTGAACGCGTGTTTAGTACCAATAGTAATGTGTGCGGTTTTTTTACGTTATTGCACCGTGCAAACCTTTTCTTCCTCGCCAAAATTGACTGCACTGTGCAAGATCACTTTTTAACGGATTGCACAGTGCAACCCCAATTATTGGTTCCTTTTGATCTTTCCCGCCCAAAGCTGCCTGCACAGTGCAAGCCAAACTCGAAAGGATCGCACAGTGCAAACTCATTCCCTTTGATCTATACCGCTTATCCCATTGCACCGTGCAAAACCCAGATTTTGCTGACTGCACCGTGCAACCCAAATGCGTATCGCAAAGGTGTGGAATGTTGTTAGGACCCGCCGAACATTCTAGAATGTAGTACATGGGTTCCTCGGTCTTCTCGGTCTGGACGCTCTGAAATTACGCAATCTTTTTTTGTCGTTCAAATCCCTCGAATCTCGTTTGTCGCCAAATGCGTCGCGGTTTCTTGGTTTCTCTGCGCAATCTCTTCACTGTCTTTGATCTCTAGGTGAAACCTAGCTGCACTGTGCGAGCCAAATTGTAAGGGTTGCACCGTGCAAATCAAATTGCAACGGATCGCACCGTGCAAGACTAATTCTTTTGATCTTTACCGCTTATTCAGCTGCACTGTGCAGAAACATTTCTTTTGATCTTTCTTGCTTTTTTGACTGCACTGTGCGGGAACAAAAAGGGGTTGGGCGGGCAGAATTAGGCTTGCACAGTGCAAACGATTTGAGTTTGTTTTGCACGGTGCAACTAATGAACTGCTTCTTTTAGGTAAAACCGAATTGAAGTTCAAGCCACACAATGCCACCAGACATCTGGAATGTTCGAAAGTTATGGAAAATCAGACAGATTACGAACCGATTGTGTTCGAAGACAGAGTCAACTTATCCATGGCATGTGACTCCATCAGAAGCAGAGGAAACTTTGTGAACAAGCTTTATCCAGATGAGCAAAACTTTCCATTGGCTTTTGTAAGAGCTGTGTTTAAGGTAATGGAAGTGGCATGAATTTTGTTTACATGATTCAGAACTTTAATTTTTATATATTTTATTGACAATAGATGTATTTTTTTGCGAAACTGAAAATGGCAAGGACTTTCTTTACGAAACCGAAAATGGCAAAAACTTTCTTTACAGAATATAAAATGGCAAGAACTTTCTTTACAAGACCTAAAACGGCAAGAAATTTCTCTAAAAAAACGAGAAATGGCAAGGACTTTACAAGATATTAAATGGCAATAATTTTCTTTACAAAACGAAAAATAGCAAGAACTTTCTGTACAGAACAAAAAATGGCAAAAGCTTTCTTTAAAGAGCAAAAAATGGCAAGAACTTTCTTTCCTAACCTCAAAATTTAAATTTTTTAAAGTTCAGGACTACGAATACCTAGAATCGGACCTGTCGACCCACTACAACCCGAACAATGTCTACTGCTATGTGATGGATTCGAAAGCGGATTCAGTGTTCAATTCCAGGTTAAGAGCTCTCGCATCTTGTTTTCCGAATGTCATCGTACCAGACACCGAGTTCAAAATGACCTCGAGAGGAGTCAATGTAAACTATGCTCAATATCATTGTATAAAGCTGATACTCGATCGGCAATGGAAGTACGTCATTCTGCTTGAAGTAAGCTGGGCATAGGTTTAGTTAAAGGATCAAAATTGCAAGAACTTTTTTTACGAAACATAAAATGGCAAGAACTTTCTTTACAGGGCGAAAAATGGAAAAAAACTTCTTTTACAGGGCGAAAAATGGCAAAAACTTTCTTTACGGAACTAAAAACTGACTAAAAACGACTTTCAGAACCACGACGTGTTAACCAAGACTAATAAGGAACTAGTCCAAATACTAGGTCTATATAATGGTGCCAATGACGTTGGAGCTCTCAACCTCAACACAGTAGCCCTATCTCGCCAGAATTTCTCAATAGACCACGATTTGTCATTGAAAGCCTTGGGATTGTTCCGAAATGACACTTTGAATAAGGCCGAACAAACACTAACAATCGCCAAGAGTTTAACACAATCAGCTTTGACACGGGAAGCAGTTCATTACATCTTTAATGTACGTTTTTGATTTGGAATGTATGGGTGCATATGCTGACTAGGTACGCGTGTATTGGCGTACAGAACGCCTTATTTTACACATTCTCTTATACCTATGTCTATGTAAATCAGTTCATCTTTTATTACATAAATTTCATTAAGAACTCTGATTTTACTTTTTTACAGACTCTGAACACAACAAAACTGATGAGTATTATGAACGGCGACAACTTTGAACACGAATTCTTTACCAGCACGTTGAATGCCAATGAGATCGTCAATCTGCCCGGCGGATTCACAACTGAATGCTTGGACAAAAACAGTATCCGCCAGATGGTCAGGTAGGTCTGACCATCATAAAACAATGTAACCAATCTCAGGTACACTTTATGGAGCCACACCTGCCGTTCCAAGCACGTTCGCCACGTGCTTTGCATTCTGGGAATGGCTGACATCCGCCCGATCCTGATGAAGATTCCCCACTTCACAGCAAACAAAATGATGCCAGCGGTCGACTTTGGCGCCATAAACTGCTGGCATGAACACATGTTCAATCGAACCCATTTACAATCAACGATCGATACAGCCTTCTACAGTAACATACCGTATGTCAGGTGGCACAATCAGAAACTGAATGCCACGTTGGACAGGAAAACATTCAAATGCTGATTTTGTACTGTTTTAGGAATTTGTGGGATGAGACATGATAATATAAAGCTTTGTTATGACTAGTTTTTCGGGTTATCCTAGTTTATGTTTATTTTAGGTTAAACATCCAGACTGTGTTGAAAAGATGCCATTTGTTTAGGTAGCATTCAGGAATGAATTTTAAACATTTTTACAAACCATAGAATGATTTTAGAGCTTGTTGTTATAAATATGTTGCAGCATGCTGTCATTTTTTTAAAAATAGGTCCCACCACGAAAACAAACGATTTGGCATTTCGTCGCGATCTGCCGTGAACGCTGATTTCGACGATGAATTTGCGAAATTTGGCGCGAACCACGAATATATGATGGACCCTGTTGATGGATACACAAAAATATGAAATAAGTGATGTGCACGTTATAGTAAATGTAAGTTATTTTATTTTTTTGTGTTGGTTTTTAGGTATTGGAGGAGTTTTGATGGTCAAACATGATGTTAAACTAGCTTTTGGTGGTTTTTGAGGTTTTTTGAGGAGGTTCTACTTAGTTTTTGGCTTGTTAGTGAGTGAGAAGTCATGTGTTATTACTGGGATTGGTTTACCATATTTTTGCTCTGTTTTGGAGATATTGAGATTACGCTATGTTATACTTGACTGCAAAGGTCTCGCGTAACTTTTAGACGTAAATCAAAGATCTTGCTTGATGAGTTTGCTGTCTTAGTAAGAAAATCAGTTGTTTAACAAATATTAGAAGTTTGACAAAGGCTTTTGCTGTCTTTTTTGAGCTACGCGGATTTTTTGATGTTACACTAGACATAAAAGTGCTTTGCGGATTTTATAGGAAGTGTTAATCGAAGATACTTCAAATTGTAATTTAATAGTTGCTCTGAGTTATGTTTAATGTAAATTTTAAAGCTTATCTTTGCAATTTAGTTTAAATTTTGAGTTATGACGGTTTGCGATATTACACTTGAAATCAGATGGTTTTGTCGGTTTTTGAAGTAGGAAAGAAGGGTAAATCTTTGAGCTTGTGTTTAGTAGCAGCAGTAGTATAAGGTTATTCTGTAGATAGACATTAGAGCAGCCGATATTACTTTGTTTTTGATATATGAGGAACTTAGGATATAACACTTGACATTAGAGTAAATTTTGTAGTTGTTTTGAGATTTTCTGAACAAAAGCTAGTTGTAAAGCTACATTAACATTTTGTCGATCTTATTTCATTTATTTTCTTGTTTTAGGAGTTGATCTTATGTCCAAAACAGAACAAAGGAACTTCATAGTTGATGTTTATTTTCATTGGATCGTAAATGTTTGCTAGAGCTTCTGGAGGCGAGTTTAAACCAAGGCTGATGGATATTGATGATGGATAATATCAAATATAGGTATGTTTTTGTTTAATAAAGTTTCTGATATTTTAGATACTATAATATATTAATATGTAACTTTTTTTGGTTGTTGTGATACGTTAATGTAGCGAGTCTTATTCGAGTATCATTGATAACATATGACTTTAAATTAATACTTAAAAACTGCTTTTCTATTGGAATATAATGTTTGAATGTTTCAGAAGCTTCTACTGAACCAATACAGCGTTTACCAAGGCCCACAGACCGGACAAGCTCAAGCTAAACATGGTCAGAAATGGACAAGGTCAAGTGCCAAGGATGAGGACGATGACTCCAGAAGAATGGCATAAGATGAAACCAGTCCGTAATCTGTAAGGACATGCAGAAAGAATAATGTAATCTATCACAATGTTTGTATTATTTATTGTATTTTGCGCGTTATTACCTATATGTCGCGTTGTTGGGTGGGTCTCTGTACCCGCTCTCCCTTCTGATGGCTTTGGTTCCTAGCTAGGTTAGGAGGAGGTCCAAGAGCAAGGTTGGGCTGACAGGTCTGATAGCGAGTTTTAAAATCACAAATATTGTTATTTTTTGATTCTAAAATACGCAGTTTGAGTTGAAATTGAAATCAAAAGACATTTTTCGAAGTAAAAATACTTTTGAAAGGTGATTTGGATTCAGACCTTGTTTGACCTCCTTGCATAGTGCCTGATATACTCTGACTGGCAATTCCGGTCGAAGACTGGTCGTAAATTGGATGGAAAGTTGATTTTGAAAATTTTAAATCAAAATTTATTTTTACAACTTGAAAATGCCCTTTTTTCGTTAAAAATTTTGATTTTCGTCAAGAAAACATTTTTTATGCAAACTTCAAAACTTGTAAATTTGGTACCAAAGTTTTATTTTGTCGTTTAAAGCCTTTGTCGTTCAAGCTTCAACTTTCTGTCCATTTTTCGACCGGTGTTTGGTTGGATTTGCTTGATCTTTGTCCCTGCCAGGTGCGCCTTGGATGTTGTCCTAACTGTTCGCGAAGACCGAGAAGTCAGAAGGCTGACTCCGCTTGGTCCTACCAAGTAGTGAACTCGGTATCCACCTCCAGAACACGGGGCCATGCCCAATTTTTCTTTGAATAAATATATATTCCGAGTATGCCTGCGTATTGTTTATTCGAATATTTTCCACCTTTATGTTTTTTATTGGAGGACGGGGTGATGGAGTCGCCCCTCCAAGTGGGGAAGGAGGTGGGGTACCTCCTTCCCCAAGGTGAAACCTCTGACCACCGAGCCACCTCCTGACTTCTCAGACTTCGCGAGCAGTTAGGACAACATCCAAGGCGTACCTAGCAGGACAAGACGCAAGCACTAGAACCAAAGACCGGCCGAAGAAGGACAAGAACTTGAATTTTGAACGAAAACAGGTTTTAGAATATCAAAAACTGTTTTTTTGACAAAAGGACACAATTTGAAATTTTTTAGTGAAAGTTTTTCTGTCCGAAATTAAAATTTTTTATAACCATGTTTTTGTGGCAAAAAAAAACGATTTTTAAACTAAAAAATTAAAATTGCTCGACTTTCTATTCCATTTTCGACTGGTCTTTGGTAAAAGCGCGTGTTCTTGCCACACTAGGCACTGACAGGTCAAACAAGGTCTGAAGCAAAATTACCCTTCAAATTTATAGTTTACTTCACAAATTGTTTTTCTTTCCCATTTTAGTTCATAATTCGCATTTTAAAATCAAAAATCCTTCAAAATTCTTAGTTTTACTATCAAAAATCTACTAATTTTAATTAAAAAATCTTATTTTAGAGTCACAAAACAAAGTTTTACACCTTAAATTCTCGAAAACTAATTTCCTTTTCCTTCTAAAAATTCATTTTAATCTTAATTTTAATTCAAAACAATATTTTAGAACCAAAAACGAATTTTAAACAAATTATCAAAATTTTAATAAAAAATCATTTCGAACCCGCTTCAATACCGAAATGCATTTCTATCTTTTTTTTGTCGAAAAAACAGCATTTTAAAATCTCAAAACAAATTTTTGCCCTTTTAAAAATGAAACTTTATCAAAACTTTTAAAATTGCAAGTAATGACCATCTATAACTTGCCATCAGACCCTGTCAGCCCAACTCTTGGACCTCCTTCTAACCTAGCTAGGAACCGCAGCCATCAGAAGGGAGCACGGTACAGAGACCCACCCAAAAACGCGGTAAATAATGACACAACACGCACAATACAATCAAAAAATTACAAAAAAAGTCGAAAAGAACAAGTAAAATACGTCGCGATCTGATTCTGGACGTTTTAAATACCTATACTCATCCCCACAACGCGACAAATAGGTAATAACGCGCAAAATACTATAAATATACGAAGATTATGACACATTATCTTTCTTTCATCATGTCCTTAAAGATTACGGACTGATCCTTCTGACTTCAGATGCCCTTTTGGTCCGTTGTCTGATCTGGTCTATGGTTTTGTCAAGGTCTTGGAGGTCCAAATTGAAATTGATCCGTGTTTGAGCCTCCTTGAACGTTTCACCAGATCAATGGCAACTTCTAAAACGTTCGTATACATTACTAAAAAATAAAAATTTACAAAAACTGATCAAAAGTAGTCGTATTCAAACCAAACTTATATGATCCATGACAAATCTGAGTTCATTCTCAATACCTACTGTTTCCCAAGGTAATATCAAGAGAATTTACAAACTACATCATAAAACATCTTGTAATAATGCATATGAATGTTTATCCAAACCATACGTTTTAAAATCAAACACGTCCGACCCCTCAGCATATTATCTATGACCCATCAGATGCCTTTGACAATATCAATTTTATTTCTAAAGGAAAAAACCCAAATTTTTAATCACAAATAAAAAAATGTAAATGATCTATCTTAAAGCTCTTTCATAGCCGAAGGCACCATCAACAGACGTCCCTATGTCCTCAAAGTATTTCCTATAAACGCCTCATGTGGAAGTTAATATTATATGTTACTCATAAAAACCACAACATTCTAAATTATGATTAAAAAGATGCCAAAACCTTTGCCCGCAAATCATCTCATCTTCCAAAACAAACTTTAATCATCAAAGTTTTCATATTATCATAGACATCAAGCATTCATAGATAATATCAGTAAACCTATTAATTTACACTCTCTGGTTTAAATAGACAATTTTTTAGCTTCAAAACCTTAGTAAGAACAATAGCAAGTGGAAAATAAACCTACATCAGCCATATAATCTAACTGGCGACCATTATATCCGTCCATCCACTTTTATCACCAACTACAAGGTTCCGAAGGTCGACTCTGAACTTCTACGTGCTCGCCAGGTCTTGATTTATCGTTCAAAACATTGTCCGTAAGGATATACAGATCACACCAAAAGATCATCCATACGCAACCTCTGAAAGCCGTAAAATCATCAAAAGCATATTACACATCACATTGACCACAATATCAGAGGAAAATCGTCCAAGCTCACCTATAATCAGAAAAAAACAAGCAAGAATAATACTTACATGTAAAACCACTTTTCCTTCTTCTAAGCAATCGTATCAAACCGCATTCACGTTAAAATCTCATCAGTTCTGTCCATTTTCGCCCAGCACCCCAATAAAGTCATAAATTTTGAAAATTCTTCAAAGTTCGCCTAAAAACAGAAAAAATAAACAAAATCAAATAACTTACATGTGAAACAACTTGTCTTACATCGGTTCCTTCATATTACACAAGAATCATAGCAACATCTGTCTCGTTCTGTGAATTTTCGTCCAGCGGTCATCAAACCAGCTATATGAAGATGTTCTTATGACCATAACTTCACGCTCGTCCGCTTCTCAAGCACTATATTTTATATTCGTTCTGAAAAGTTGAAAATATATTACAAACTCATAATAACCATCACCAACCTTTTTAAAACCTTCAATCTCGCGCAATAGAACATCAAAAACACAATATTAACCTCAAAAACAAGATAAAACTGCAAAAAACGGTATTTTCTACGAAAAATTACCAATATAAACCAAAAGCTACACATTATTCAATTTCAATCAAAGAGTTCAATGAACCCCAGAGGAAAAATAACCAAAACTAATCATCGAAGCAAAAAGAAGTTTCGAGCGCAAACGTTTGCGCCCGAAACCCTGCGGAATGCGCGCGAATTTTATACCTTGGAACATTTCCAAGATTAAAATTTGGTTATATGAATAAAGCTTTTTTTCTGACTGCACTGTGCAAAACCAACTTCTTTTCTGACTGCACCGTGCAAAACCAACTTTTTTTTCTGCCTGCACCGTGCAAAACCAACTTCTTTTCTGACTGCACCGTGCAAAACCGATTTTTTTTCTGCCTGCACCGTGCAAAACCAACTTTTTTTCTGCCTGCACCGTGCACAACCAACTTTTTTCTGACTGCACCGTGCCGTCAAAATAGCGAGAAACATCAAAAAAATGCTTCTGCACAGTGCAGTCGAACCAGCGGTAAAGATAAAAAGAATTGGTTTAGCACAGTGATCCGATGCCACTTGATTTGCACGGTGCAACCCTTACAATTTGGCTTGCACTGTGCACTCCGGTTTTGACAAGAGATCAAAAAAAGTGAAGAGATTGCGCAGAGAAACAAAGAAATCGCGACACATTCCGCGACAAACGAAATTCGAGGGATTTGAACGACAACAAAAGATTGCGTAATTTCGGAGCGCCCAGACCGAGAAGACCGGGGAACCCATGTACTGGATTCTAGAATGTTCGGCGGGTCCTAACAAAATTCCATACCTCTGCGATAAACATTTGGGTTGCACGGTGCAGTGGGATTGGCGGTAAAGATCAAAAGAAATGGGTTTGCACTGTGCGATCCGTTCGAGTTTGGCTTGCACTCTGCAGGTAGGTTTTGGCGGGAGAGATGAAACGGAACCAAGAGTTGGGGTTGCACTGTGCAGTCAGTTAAATTGGGGTTTTGCACGGTGCAATCGGTAAGAAATAGGGGTTGCACGGTGCAATAGGTTAAAAATAGAGGTTGCACGGTGCAAACTTTTTAAACACGTTTTCACAGGACAATCGATTATAAATAAGTGTAAAAATAATTAAAATTAGTTCGTTCATTGTATTTAATTTCCAGTTCAAACAAAGTTTCGTCTTCTTTTGGCCAAATCTGTTTTATTTTTAACATTTTACACAGCTTGGCTACGTTAATATACCCTGGCAAGACATTTTACTATAGTATATCACCTCAATTCACTTCATTTTTATATACAAACGACAATATTAAATTAACATCTACAAATCAATATCAAATATATCAATATCAACATGCAAACGTAGTTCTATTCAGGGTATTACTCATTTTCTGGTTATGCCACCGAACATAAGGTATGTTACTATAGAAGACGGTATCAACCGTCGTATTTCGTTGAACATGAGTACGGTTGAATAAGTGTTCATGCCAGCAATTTATAGCACCAAAGTCAATCGATGGCATCATTTTGTTCACCGTAAACTGGCGCAGAGGCATGAGGCGAGGTCGCAGGTCGGACATTCCGAAAATGCAAACACCGTGCCGAACACGCTTGGAATGACAGCCGTGGCCACCCCATTTTGTGAATCTGACATTTGTTTCGGTCATAATGTGTATTTTAGGGTTCATTTTAATGTTTTTCAAAATTAAAATTTAAAAAAAAATTTTGGTTTACTGTAACTTTTTTTTTGAAAAATTCATAAAAATAAATTTTATATCAATGAAAATGACATTTCTAAGCTCATTATTTCTATATAGGTCTACTACTCATAATTGAATTGTCACTTTAAATCCATTTTTAGTAAGTGGCTTCCAAGAATTTTCGAACTTTTTTTGATTTTCGACATTTTTAAATGCTTATAACTCTGCCAAAACACAATATATGAAAATGAAATTTTGAAAACTGACACAACTTTCCATAGCTCTCAAAACGTATAAACTAAATGTTGTCAAACTTTTCAAAAATTTTTTAAAAATTTTTAAATGCCCATAACTCTGCCAAAACATAATATATGTCCGCAAAAATTTGAATATAAGTGTAACTTCTCATGCCTCACAAAACGCATTAACCAAATTTTGGCCAAAAATGTTTTTTTTACTTCAAAATTTCAAAAATTTTTAAATTTCTAAACCTCCTCCCTTGAAAAAAGTTATAAATACCTACCTCACCATCTGATCGATATTCTTTTTGTCCAAACATTCTGTCGTGAATCCTCCCGGCACATTCAGGATTTCATTGGCATTCAACGAGCTGGTAAAGGATTCGTGTTCGTAGTTGTCGCTGTTCATTATACTCATCAGTTTTGTTGTGTTCAGAGTCTGAAAAAGCGAAAATTAAGTTTTCTATTAAATTAGGTAATAAAATATGAACTGACTTCCATTTGGTAAATAAGGTACATATAAGAGATCGGGTAAAAGCAGGGGTATAAGGATTGGAGTAAGGGTAAGTAAATATGAGGAACAGACCGGCCCTGAGTGTTTAGCCTGGCCCAAGTTTTTTACGTCGAGCCAGACCTTGAGTGCAAGCTTAGCGAGCCACACCTTGATTTTCAAGCCCAACCCGACCTAAGTTTGGGTCAAGGCCGACCCGTTCCTCATGTCTACTAGTAAGTAGAGGTAAGGTTAAGAATACAAGAATAATATTATAGTATTAGGAGTAGGTTTAAAGGTAGAGATAGGATTAAAGAGAAGGATGGGAGTATAGTAGGAGTAAGGGTAGAAGTAAAAGTAGGAGTAGTGGTAAAGGTAAGTGAAGTGGTAAAGGTAGAGGTAGGTAATGGTAGATTTAGCTTAATCAACCACCGCCTCACCGAACTAAAAAAATATTAATCTTCCCCATAAAAACATAGCCCCCCCCCCACAGCCCGTATCATTTTTAAATAACTTACATTGAAGATATGCCGAACCGCTTCGAATGTCAAAGCAGAAGCTGTTATACTCTTGGCGATTGCCAATGTTTGTTCGGCCGTGTTCAAAGTGTCATTTTGGAACAGACCCAGCGCTTTGAATGAAAAATCATTTATCTCAGCAAACTTTCGCCGATCTGCGCCCAAAGTGTTCAAGTTTAGAGCTCCAACATCATTGGCGCCATTGTATGCGCGAAAGATTTGAACTAGCTCACCATTTGTCTTTGTTAGCACGTCGTGGTTCTGAAAGTCATTTTTTGTCAGTTTTTCGTTTTGTAAAGAAAGTTATTACCATTATTTGTTTGTAAAGAAACTTTTTCCCATTTTACGTTTTGTAAAGAAATTTCTTGCCATTTTTTGTTTGTAAAGAAAGTTATTGCCACTTTTTGTTCTGTAAATAAAGTTTTTGCCACTAAAAAGCTAAATTGTGTCATTTTTATGTTAGGCAGCCTGCAGGTGACAAGTTATACGATGAATAAAATTGACCGCCATTTTTCGCTTTGTAAACAAAGTTCTTGTAATTTTTGGTTTTGTAAAGAAAGTTCTTGCCAATTTTCTTTCTGTAAAGAAAGTCCTTGCCATTTTTTTATTCTGTAAACAAAATTCTTTCCAACTTACCTCCAATAACACGACATATCTCCACTGGCGGTCCATCATCATCTCCATACAATGATATTGAGCATAGTTTAGATTGACACCTCTCGATGTCATATTGAACTCGGTGTCTGGTACGATGACATTTGGGAAACAAGATGACAGAACTCTTAACCTCGACTTGAACACTGAATCCGCTTTCAAATCCATAACGTAGCAGTAGACATTGTTCGGGTTGTAGTGTGTCGACAGGTCTGATTCTAGGTATTCGTAGTCCTGAAATTTAAAAAAATTAAAATTTTGAAGATTGTAAACAAAGTTTTTGTTATTTTTCATTTTGTAAAGAAAGCTTTTGTCATTTTGGGTTTTGTAAACAAAGTTTTTGCCATTTTTTGTTTTGTAAAAAAAGTTTTTGTCATTTTGGGTTTTGTAAAGAAAGTTTTTGTTACTTTGAGTTTTGTAAAGAAAGTTATTGCCATTTTATATTCTGTAAAGAAAGTTTTTGCCATTTTTCATTTTGTAAAAAAAGTTCTTGCCACTACCTCTTCTGTAAAGTAAATCCCGCTCTATTTCTATCTGGAAACAAAGTTTCTGCCACTTCCCCTACCTTAAACACAGCTCTGACAAAAGCCAACGGAAAGTCTTGTTCATCTGGATAAGTTTTGTTCACAAAGTTCCCTCGGCTTCTGATGTCATCACAAGTCATGGATAAGTTGGCTCGGTCTTCGAATACGATTGGTTTGTAGGTAGTGGAGTCTTGTATCAGTTCTGAACATTTGAGATCTTGTGCTGCTTCGTGAGGTTTGAATATTGGCTGTGTGGTTTCTGAAAGTTGGTTTTATTAGGTATCAAGGACTAGGGAGAGTAGGTTAGACGCCTAAAGATATCTGGCCTAGCCAAATTTTTCGGCCCGGCCCTCAGGCATTTAGCAACCTGACCACTCTCAAATTTGCATAACCTACCATTAAGTATTGGAACGTAATGTTTGTACATTTGCTCGATGGAATATGTTGACATGGTCTTTTCTTGATTCACATCTGAAACATAAAATCATAATTTGTCCCCTACTTCATTTTAAAATGTCATTTTTAGCCGATATCAATAAAAAATGGCAGTTTGCACTTGATTTTTGCCTACAAAATGCCTTTTTCTACTATTTTTCAGCAAAAACTGCCACTTCTTACCGAATGTTCAACTAAAAAATACCAATTTCTAACCAAAACCAATTAAAAAATGTCATTTCCAGTAAAGTCAATCTAAAAAGTCATTTTAAGCCCAAATTTAGTCTAAGAATAAAGTTTTTTATTGAATTTTTGCACAGGAATGCCATTATTTGTCAACTCTCCTTTACGAAATGACATTTTTTATTCGTAGTAACACGTTTTTACAACTATTAGTTCAGTGGTACTATATAGCATAATCAATACAAAAATTTGTTCCTTCATACTAATCACTGGTACTATATAGTACTATTTGGCCAGTACTATATCGTAGTAGCACTTCATTACAACTATTAGTACATTAGTACTATATAGCATCACTAATAGAAAAAATTGTTTCTTCACACTAGTAGTTGGTACTATATAGTAATACTTGACCATTACTAATCGTAGCAGCACTTCATTACAATTATTAATTCAATAGTACCATTTTGCCCTTACCATTAAGTATAAAACTGCCATTTCTGTAAAAGTCAATGTAACTGACATAAGCTATGTAGACTAAGCCAGCAAGACAGGCTACTTGTACCACACGTAGCATGAGTTGGATTAAGCTGTGCAACTTGAAGGCGATCTAAAAAGGTCTGATAAAGAATGGCAATAACTTATAGTTTTAAAAAATTAAACCTATTGAAGCTATACCTAAAAAAAAGCCCACTGAGCAATGCCGATCTCGGCCTAGACCAAAACAAGTTTGAAAGAGATGGGTAAAAAAGTTGGGTCCGGCCTAATTGTAAGTAATAGCTAAAGTGATTTAAATAGTAAAAATCCCTAGGAAAAAATGAAGTCCAACCAAATTTGTCCTTTTTTCAAATTTTGACCAACAATTTTTCAGAAATTGATTTGTTTGAAAAGTTGGCTTTTGCAAGAGTCAAAACTCTTTTTGTAGCTTTATGTTTGCCATGTTATAATTCACTCCCACGCTTGTTAATTGTTGAAAAAAACTGTTTTCCAAACTAAAAGTCATCCTTCTAAATAATCGGCCCGGCTGGTAATAGCTTGCTAAACCAAAACCAGCCGTCCAATAACTATTGTATACAAGTATGTCGCTAGAACGAGAAAAGAATGAATGTAAATAGATCTACAGCAGAACTCCTGTATAACAAATCGCTTGAAGATTCAAAGTTTGTCCGTTATACGGGATTTTCGTTATAAATGAGTTCTCTATACGGTAATTCCACTGTACTTTTAAATAGCTATGCCAAACTAACCACAGACATTTTGGAAATAAAATGTCTTTGGTTAGTTTGACGAGGCCCCTGGTCAGGCTTGGACACACAGCAAGGCATTGCGACTTTTCATGCCCTACCTTGTAGACATTGTTTTAAGTAAAACTGGAAATGGACTATGTCCTGCTCTTGCCCTGAAGCCCATTTTAAAATCATGCCCTATGCCCTGCTCTCGCCCATTTTGAAACCATGCTCTATGCCCTGTTCTTGCCCTGTAACCAATTTTCAAATCATTTCTCCCGCTCTGTGAATAAGCCTTCGGTTTTGTAAAATCAAGCCTAATGTTAAGGTCTTACCTGACTTTTTTTGGTTCCTGCTGATGTTGCCTTGTTTAAAATCCCTCTCTCCTGTGTGCCATTTTAATAGCGGGTTTAGCCTTGTGCTGCTACTTGATAAAGGAGTAAAAAGCCAAAAAATTATAATTCCCTGCCCTATAGCCAAGGCTTTATAGTTGTAACAAACCTTGCGCGCGGCTGCAACTACATTATTATTTAGGTGTTACCGAGCCTTTTTCGACTTTAACATATTTCATGACTAGCCATAAAAGCTTCATTTTAAAATCCCTTGTTCTCCCCTGTTACTTAACTATTTTTGCCTAAGAACTGTAGCTAATTTTTAAAATTTTGATATTTACTGATACCTAAACTATTTTTGTCTAAAAACTTCAGCTAATCACCAAAAAACACTATAACTTACATCCGACATGTGATTAAAACAATATGTTATCTAGAAAAATGGCTCAACAATAACAAACAAGCGGTTTTATTCAATCCCACTGCCTAGTTTAGTCATGTATGTACAGCCGGCGATGTACGTGCGACATGGCCAAGAAGGAAACGATTGTTTGACAAACGCCCTTGTATTTCGATTTTTTTAGATTAGTGTAGTTAATCAAAACTGTTACATACGAAGTCTACTTCCGTTTTGGTCTAATTTCCTTAAAATCTATACTTTGTGTCTTCTGAATCCACACCATTGGGGTTTGTTTGCGCTTCTGTAGGCGAGTTCGATTGACGTTATTTTGATTAAGGGCCAGCGTTTGGAATGAGTGCAAGTTATTTCCTCAATTTGCAAACGTTCTGAGCGTTCTTTGAGAAGATTTGTTCGGATACGGTTAGAGCCAAGCGAGAGGCCAAAATCTGAAGGGAAGGTGTGGACTATTGCTGCAGGCAAGAGAGGCCAATTCTCCTCTCTTGCCTGCAGCACTAGTGCATATCTACGCCTTCCCACTTCTTTAACTACATTCAACAATGTAACGTCTTCCCTTGTAGCTTAGTATACCTATTCCAGCTATACTACATAAGTTACTAATGACGCCGGCTTACGCAGCAAAGCTTTACATTTTTTTGTCCCTGTGGTATGATACACCAAACTTGTTACCAAAAATAGAGTATTTGTTTAAAGTTTGCCTTTTACCATGTTATGTACAAAAAAGCTCTCGTATAGCGAACATATTTAAAATACCCGAGCGATTTCTTATACAGATGTTGTACTGTATTTCAATTCCTTGCGAAACAAGCAATACAGCAAGACATTAAAATACATTTACAATCGTGACAAGGCAATGCCAAGCCTGTTACCCTACTCACTGCCCTATCCTTTACTGTCACTAACGTTCAAAACAGGCCCTATGTCCTAGACTACACTGCAAATCAAGCAGGACGAGGCATAACGCACCCTGCCCTGCCTCCAGGCCTGATTTCAAACTAAAAAGTTTTGACTATAGTCAACAACTTTTAAAATATTTACAATGTATATTATCATAGCAACGTTCTAAAAAAATTATCTTACCATCGTAAATAATTTTCTGTCTGCCATTTGGGAGAAGTACAACAGCTTTTAGCACTTTCTTAACAGAAAAAAAGTAGTCGTTTTCAACAGACACTTATATATTCCAAAATACAATCATAGCTATAGATCTGTAGTGTTCATTAATAATAGTACAAACCTTTTACTGGCTCTAAATCATAAAATATTCGTTGCCTTTAGTTAAAAACGTCTACTACAATATGCAGAAGTTTCAAGTTTAAAACTTTTTGAGTAGTAAGTTAATCACTTCTTTTCTATTTACCAGTAGGTCAAGATCAATATGAAATTCTTCTAATTTACTACTAGTTCTAGCTTAATATCAAATTTTTTTAAATTTTCCACTAGACCAAGCTTAAGTTAATATCGAATAAACTCTTATCTTTTGCAGAAAACACCTTTGCTTGCTATAGAGAAATCACTGTACTAGATCACCGATACAAAGTCCGTTCGTGTCTACCACGTTTAACCTTTGTCCCGAAAAAATGCATAAACTTCAGACATTAAACAGCATTCGTATTTACTTTCCATAATACAAAATAATAAGCGATTTGCATCTGAATTAAGCTGTTATTTTCATTCTGATTCGATGGGAAGGATGGTGAATATCGGCGGGTAGGGTAGGATTACGGGAAGGTAGAACACCATGGTAAATATCGAAGGATAGATTAGGATGTTGGTTATGAAAAAGTAGAACACCATAGTGATAAGTCAAAAAATGGTGAATATGGGTAGGTAAAAAAGTTTCAAACAAAAAAATGTAGACCCCATGGTCAATACGGGGTAGAGCACCATGTTATTTGGCTACTACTTCCCACCACAACAGTTGCCGGCTAAAAATAATGTAAAATACGACTTTTCATGACTTATTTGCTTATGTTTTTTATAACAACATGTATTTTTGATTTTTCAGTTGTTATCATTGTTGTCAAACTGGATTATAATGTATTCTCAATTCTTATTGCTGTTCTACAGTCATACCTACTAAACCTAAAAAAGACTGACTAGGCTCGGTCCTTTACAGGTTTACCTACTGAATAATAAGACATGGCGCACTAAACAGGCCTAATGTTTTAACACGAAAAAACCTGATCTGCTAACAACAAATAGGTTTATTGTTCTAATAACATATAGGCCTAGACTTCAAATACCAAATAGATCTAATCTTCCAACACCAAATAAGCCTAATAAAGCAAGAGGTAAAATACGGTCACCAAATTTAATTCAAACCTACAAACCAGGCCATTTGTCACCGCTAATTACTGTAAAAGCAACTTGCAGCAACATATTACACAGTTATTAAAAACACTAGAAAATCCGAAGTAAAAGAGACTGTAATCAAATCAAAAAGACCGTCCTTTACTGTTGCCCATAATGAAAGCCTAATAAACTCTTGCTGTCATTATTTTCAAATCCCAATATTTAAAAACAGAACTTACAGTTATTTCCACCGCAACATCCTCCCTGTTGTTGGGTTTGTTGTTGATGTTGACAGGCGCAGTTGGCGCAGTCGCACTTGTCTTTTCCGCATGGACAGGTCATGATTCTGAAAATAAGCATATGAAGTCAAATAATATTTTTATTGTCATTTTAGTTTAAAAATCGCGTTAATCTGATATTACTATAATAAACAAAACTTTGGTTCTCCTACAAGAATATTGAATTTCAAAATTTCTTGTTTAGAAACGGCCAAAGACCTAAAAGCCTTAAAAAATTACTTTAAAATTCATGTACCCTTCAAAAATAACCAAAATTTAAATTTTAAGGCAAAAATATAAATTCTTTACATAAAAATTGGCGAAAATTCTGTCTGGCCTTAGAAACTTTAAAAAGTCTAAATTGAGGCCCCAAAACTGCTGAAATATCAATGTCCTGCCCCAGAAACGTCAAGAAATACAAACTCCAGCCCCAAGAAACTGACAAAAATTCAAGTTTATATCCAAAAATCTAACAAAATTCTCAATATTCATAACTTTTATAGCCTTCAAAGTCCATAAAATCATTTTAAGATTGCTTTGTGATCATTTTACAGCCCAAAATTTAATCGAAACCCGTGAATTCGAAAAGAAATTCCAAAGAAAGTGTTTTTTCCACTGAAGGCAACGTGAGATAGACCACATAAAAGACATACGACAGTCCTTTCTTTATCGCTCTTCTGTTTTTGACTTGCAAAAAACAATTTCGAAATGGGATTCAAATTACAGTGTTAGCTTTTTGTACAAATAAGCTTGTTTTTTAAATTTTGAAGCCTATACGGAAAAGTATTGCCAGTTTTTGTTTTGTAAAGAAAGTTCTTTCCATTTTATGCCCTGTAAAGAAAGTTCTTTACAGGTTATCAGTTTTTAAGCAAAGTTTTTGCAAAAAACTGTCTTTAAATTCAATTTTCTTATCAAAAAGCCTTCTTATAATGACAATTCCCATATATAACAAAAAAATCAAAAATAATACCAATATAAAATACAAAAAAGATAAATATGAGTATCAACAGAAGTATATTGTGCTTGAAAACACATTCACAAAAAACAAAACAATCGATTTTTAATCAAAACCCAATATATTTATTAAAAATAAGTTATTATTAACATAGCAGAATTAAATTAAAGTCCATGAAAAAGGTCTTTTACAGTAAAAACATCAAAAAAATCAAAAAAGGCTCTTTCACAAAAACTTTTAATTCCAAACTTTTCATAAAATGTCACTTTCAGTTAATGAATGTCCTTTTGATCAGAAAATTTCATTTTAGTTCATAAAAAATAACATTTACGACCTTTTTCATGCCTTTTTCAATATTGGAATGTTGATAAACCTAAACTGAGGTGCTTGATCCGCCTTGTAAAAGTCCGAATTGTAGAAAAGCGAATCGACTAGTGATTTTAGTGTATGTCGAAGGAGAAAGGCTTGACCAATCAGGTAGGCAATGCCTGAACCGAAAAAGAAGTTGGCATTGCCTGAGCCGGTTTGAACCCATTGTTGAAGAGTTATCAGCGACGAGCTGCAGGCCAAACTGATCAAAGTGACCAGAAAATAGAAGAACACGGAAGCTGAAAGTAAAAGACGTCAATTGTAATAGTACCTTTCAGAATACATAATACGATACAAAACTGCATCGTACAAAAAAAATATTAAAACCAAAAATAATTTTTTACAAAATTTACTTCCATTAATCTTAAAAACCCAACTTACAATTCTGTTTCGCCTTAATTGTGGTTAGTAGTGGCAAAAAAAGGCAGAATTCAGCATAAGTTGGATATGATGACAATAAGGTGATCATTTGAAGAAATATTAACCATAAGCCTACTGGAGCTGTCCTAAAATTGATTTTGTAATCAACTAGCCACCATAAAGTAAAAAGTTGTATATCAATGTATAATATCAAAGACAAAAAGCGTTTGGAACGATAAAATATTTGAAAGCTGAATCAAAACAGCGAAAAATTAAAGTTTTCCTATATTAAAGCCTAAATTATATAATTTTTAAATCAAAAACATAAAACCGTGTCCTGAACAATACTCTTCTTCCTTTAAATCATTTCTCTAAAACATATAAAATAAAAAAACACTAATTTAAACTCACCAAAAAACCTTAAAAAGCGGAAAAACGTGTATAAAAGCCAAAAAGTGAAGAATAACCAAGAAGAACAGTCGATATTGCACGAAAATCAGCGAGAACAGATACCAATACATACCCATATTCGGTGTGTAGTCTTCCAAAGTAAAACTGAAAACAATAATTTTAAAAAAATTTAATTTTAAAATACAAAAAATATCTTTTTCGAAAAACTTACAAGAAAAAGACGTTTCCTCTAATGACATCGTTCCAATTGGCGATTAAAAAGTTAATACTGTATAGAAGACTAAAAGCAATTAACTTATATCCAAGTTGTTTTGCTGCCAATGCTAAATTGAATTTGTCTTTCGTCTGTGCTATCATTCTGGCAGCGACAATTGGCAATAGAAGTTGTAGGTAATATATATTCAATTGAGATGCCAAACAAACCAAAATTGTAGCCATACATAGTTTTTCTGAAACAGATACCATAACTTCTTTACTTTAAAATCATTTAAATTACATAATAATACCTACAAATACACCAAAATTTGTTAAAAGCTAATACTCCTAGGAGCAAAACAAGGAGCTCCTTGTTTTCACTAATACCTAACAAATTTGATGTTTAAACCTTAAAACAATATCAGACCTTTATGATTTTCACCATAAATCTTTCTTAATATCCACTCCAACTAATAAACCCAAACTTACTGTTTACAAAAAAGTAGAACGCCACACACAAAGCCATATTCAAGATAACAGTTGTATTCATAGCTGCACAAACTCCCACTGTCAAAGGGTTCAACAGATACATTGTCAACAATCTTTTACCAACTTCAGGCACCTCAGCAGCTTCATTACAAACAAAACCAGCTGATTTGTACAATGCCACAGCCGCAATTACATCGCAAGACTAAAATATTATTAATATTAGTATCGGTCACATTCTAGTCAATCTAAATCCAGAAAAAACCATCAAAACAACTTACAATAAATAAAACACGTAGAATATACTCTTGAGGTACTAGTGGATAAAAAATAACTGCAAGAAGAGGTACTCCATGGAATCTATCGGCGTAAAGGCTGCCATTTTGGTCCCACAAGGCTATCGCATCTTTTAATCGACGAAACGAGTTCCATTGTGCTGTGAATCCAACATGATCTTGAAGGTACTCCTTGAAGTACGCAAATGCTATCAATCGAAGAAAAATTCCAAACACAATAGGCCTGACAATGCATGTATTATTCAAAACATATTGTTTTAGTTTCATTTAACAGAAGCTTGAAAAGTCGTTTATATTCGGGCAATAAAATATACTCTACTCCTTAAATCCAAGATAAAACTATAACTCACGCTAAAACATCCGAAATATTGAGTTTCACACAGTTTTTCACAGCTGTTTTGGTTGGTTTTACAAAAACTTCGTCTTCAAGTTCGCTTTTCCTCTTCGGTCGTCGTGTTAAAGTCATTCAACCTCCTAAAAATAAAAAAATTATACTCTTTACTATTTCTAATTCCAACATACCTTTCTATCTGCTCTCCTTTGGCCACAACGATTGCTCATGAATCGAGAAAGCGCGAAAAATAAAATTATTTTCTCACATTCAGCGTATAAAATCCACGCGCGGGCTGCACGTCCCTATTATATAAGAAGGGGGCAAGTCACGAAGAAAAATTAATTTAGAAAAATATTTTTTTGGGTTGAAATCAAGATTTTGGGTATTATCTCAGATTCCTAATGGATCAAGTTTCGATGTAATCAAAAAATAAATGGAATTATGTTCAGAACACCATGTTATATTGTATTTGGAAAACATAATATGATAAGGATACTGAAAAATGGCTCCAGAAGATTTCAACAGTAAGTTACTTTAGCTTTTTTGTTGTTTTTTGTTTAGATTTAACGGTTTACAAAAAACGGATGGTATTCTAGTTACCTAAAGTGTTTTAAAGTTACATTAAAATTCTTTCACCGAGACTTGGATTTGTCTTTCACAAAAATATTGTTTTAGTGCATTGTCATCTTCACACACTCCGCGGATGGATTCATACGGTCGGAATCAAGATAAAGTTTTTCACTATAGTATAGGAAGACAGCATGGCTACGATTTTACTGTTGAAGAGTTGGAGTTACTTGATAGATACGAGTTCAATGGCAACAAACGGGTTCATAATAATGTAAGTGATGTCTTTGGCTCTGTCAAGCTAATCGAAGCTGCCATAGAATTTGAAAAGCTTTTAAAATTTACTCTATAGTATGTTGTATCTTTGGCAAGACTATTTTCACTAATATGGTAAGCTTTCAGACATATACATCACTTCCAATCGAAGTTATCTATAGCAAGCTAGAAGAAGGTCGGATAAGGAATCACTACGTGACGGCCGAGTTGTTTTATGTTTATATTGTTGTTCCATTACTTCAACAAGATGGTAGGGCTTACTTTAAAACTTATTTTGTTATCTTTTTGTAAAGCAGCTTTTGGAGATAAATCATTTAAGGAACTATACCAATAAGTTGATGTGTAACAACGTTTTTTTTATAAAATTGATTATTCTGGACTCTAACTTGATTATTTTTCTTATTAATGTATTCTAGAGGTCTTTGTTCGATCCTTGAAAGCAAATCAAGAGTTTTACATCAAACGGTTTGTCGACTTTTGTGGCTCAGAAATGATGGACATACCAGACAAAAAACGACAAAAAATGTTGGACAAGCTAATTGAAGGCCTAGAATTAAATAGTAAGCTAATTTCTATTTGCTATTTCCCTCTAAACTTTAGGTATAACCTATGGCTTGCCTTCAAATCCTCCGGAAACTTCAATATCATCTCCAGAAGCAATATCAACATCAGCAGAGCTCAGAAATGGAAAAATCTGCTTACAACTGGCTAAAGGCTGTGATTTTCAAAGACTAAAGGAAGTGCTAAAGGATATAATTGTCAAGTATGATGATTCAGAACATGTAAATATGGATATGAAAGTTTTCTTTGATATTATCTATGAACTGTCTGATGTGAATGCTGAAAATAAACCGGAAAGGACAGAGATTATTGAGTTTGTAAGTAGATTTTGGCTTGCTGTGATTATAGATGGTATAAAAAGTCATAAGAAGGAGTGTTTGAGTATGTTATCGACCAGTCGATTATGAAAAATTTCAAAGCTTAAAATTTTAAAAACTTCAAAAACAAAAATTTGCAGTTACTAGCCCACGCCCCACGTCAAGAAGGCTTCTTCAAGCTTCTCTCAGCTTCACTTCATCGTCACATCGCGAATCAGAAGTTTGACGTCGCGTTGATTCTTCTGAAGGATTCAGCCAAGATTCTGCACATTCATCGGAACCTGAACCGAGACCAATTCATTAAGCAGAATGTTGGTAGACTAGCCAAAAAATTGATTCATTCCACCGAAGACATTGATTTGGCGAAGGAATTTGGTGACAAAATTTATGGAATTTATCAGGAAAGCTTTGGATATTACGATGAGTTACTATGGACAATATTGTTGAGCAACAGGTGGAAGAATGAACCCATGAAGAGGGTGGAGATGTTAAAGGGGATAGTTGATATTGTGGACGAAGGTAGAGAGAGGATTCAGTTGGTCTATCCGATTTTGGCTGGGTAAGAAATTTTATGTCTTGTAAAGTTTTTGCCATTTTACGTGTTGTAAAGAAAGTTCTTGCCATTTATCACCTTGTAAAGAAAGTTATTGTCATTTTATGTTCTGTAAAGAAAGTTATTGCCATTTTGCGTTTTGTAAACAAAGTTTTTTTCAGATGCACCGGCCACTCAAACGAAACTAAACTCAATGTTCTAGCCGAGTTTCTGAATCTTGGATACACAGAATACGATCATGTAGACGTAAATATACTATGGATCAACGTAATACATCCGTTACTATGTAAGTATTTTAATATAATACTTCTTTGCTATATAGTAGAAAGCAAGAGTAGTTCTATTACTATGTAAACCTAAGATAAGATACTATGTAATATGTGTAAAAAATTTCAATTTTAAGTAGAGATTCATCCAGAAAATCGTAAATTTTTTGACGAAAAACCAGCAAGTGCCCTGAGGGAAAAATTGAAAAAACGGATAGAAGATGGAGGAATTGGCACAGAATTTATCGACCAATTGTTTCAGAAGATTGGCCTGTGCATCAGAAGTAATTTTACGTTACATGATTCAAATAGATATCAAAGGTAAGGATAATATGACTGATCTTGTCTTGAATTAACGTTAAAACATTCTTTTTATACTTAAAATTTTATAAGTTTTGATATGAATCAACCTTCTTAAATTCAAAATATAGACAAGCTTTTCTTAGATTAAAAGTATGACAAACGGTTTCAGAGTTTTCCCTGAGCCCCGAGTCACCAATACCTACAAAAATATCAAGTTTGATCAAAAAACCTTCAGTCACTTGGTGTTTGGCGGAAATTGTGACAAAATTCTGAATTTTCTGGAAAAAACTAATGGATTTTCAAAGGATTTGAACATGAACAAAGCTACAGATCCATTAATTCAGGTGTTTTTGAAAAATGGCACCATGGAACAGGTCGACCAGCTCCTACTTTACTTGTAAGAAGTTATGAAACAAGATACTTTATCGGAAAATTGCTTAATTAGGTTGTTAAAAAATAGAATGATGAACCTATAGTTAACATTTGGAGTTGCTAGTTACTTTTTGCAAAGATTTACGTTTAAAAAATGGCAGTTTTTCTTAATTTTTTCTCGATTTTTAGACTTAAAATCCCCATTTACTCTCAAATAATCAAGACATTTAGGTCCCTAATCAACACACCAACTCAAAACATCACCGACTATGGCACCTGCCACTCTCCAGTCACATCAGTTCACCTTCTCAACGTTCTGACCAAAAAATCGACCACAACCCGCGACTTGGACCTAGTTGAATATGCGACAAAACTCAAAGACCTGTTCCCAACAATTTTCGACCACAAGAAACAATATCGACAGACAATAGGGGCCACTAGAAACTTGTTTCAAACCTTATTGTCAGGCGACTTGAGTATCAGCGAATTTGATATTGCGGTGGAGTTGTTGGTCAAGTTGACAAAACTGAGTTTTGTGCTTTTGCATGAAAATGAGAGTATTACCACTTTTATTATTAATCGAGCTCTTTTTACGTGAGTTTTTATTCCTATATTAGTTTTGTAAAAATGGTTTTTAACGTTTTTATCATTTTCAAAGTTAAAAACAAATGTTTTAAAAAATTTTAAAAATTCAATGTCACCTCTTCAGAATAGGCTGGACCCCAGCTGTAGCCACTTGGTTAACCCTCCAAAACACCCGCAACCTCAGCAACGCTCTCTTCGCCCTACTACAATATTGTATAAAGACCAGGAATGAAGACAGATTCAATTTTCTTCTCCACCATGCCAGAACCAATCTTACCGAGACCAAAATTAATGCTTATTTATCGACCGCCTATGCCGCGCAAGGTAGACAACAAGAAGCCGCGAATGTGATAAAGAACGGTAAAATATGGACAGGGGAGGTGTTGATGGCATTGAGATTGTGGATGGCATTACATCCGATGGATACGAATGTCATTAGGTTTATAGAGACAATGTTGGTGCATACGGACATATTACGATGGGAAAGGTTACTAAAGATGATGGTGGAGGAGGTACAGAGGCGTTTAGGTAAGGAAACAGAAATTGCTGCCTTTTTTTGTTTTGGAAAGAAAGTTGTTGCAATTTCCAGCAATGTGAAGAAAGTTATTGCCATTTAGAGGTATGTAAAAAAAGTTTTTTTTCACATTTTGTTTTGTAGGGAAAGTTCTTGCCATTTTCATGCACTGTAAAGAAAGTTGTTGCAATTTCAAGCCATGTAAAGAAAGTTATTGCCATTTTTCGCTCTGTAAATAAAGTTCTTGCTATTTTCAGCATATAAAATGGACATGACAGTGAACAGAGAATTCCAAAGACTTGTCAAGACCTACAATTTACCGGTGGTACCACAAGCTTCTACTAGCTGATAATATTTGCTATTTTTTGTGAATCGATTACATTTTTGTTGACATTGTTATTTGTACATTACTGTGCATTATTAGGTTGTTTTTGTTTGTTGATAAATTTTAAAATTAGGTTCAGGGGTGGAAAATGAATTTTAGTTTTAAAATTATATTACAGTAGGGTAGGCAACCTTTACTGTAATCTGCTTTCTAGTTCTGACCCTATGTTACAGTATCATACCCTACTGTAAAATACTCCAACTACAATGCCTTACTTTAGCTACAATACCATACCCGTGCCTATCCTGCCTCACTCTGTCTTATCCTACCCTATCATACCCTACTCTGCTCTACCTTACCTTAAATTACCCTACCTTACAATATATTACTCTACCCTATTCTACCTTACCCTGCTTTATACTATCTTACCCTACCTTGCTCTACCTTATTCTATCCTACACTACCCTACTCTCCCTTACCTTACCGTAAGACACCTTACCCTACCTTACTTTAAACCTGCCTCCCCCTACCCTTCTTGATTTTACCCTACCCGGCCAAAAACCTTATCCAAGCTAACAATACAGAAGCCTAAACAATCTCCAAGCCCTAAGGTGAACTTTAAAAGTAAAAGCGATGGATTTCTCCACCACAATACAAGACCCCCGAAGAGAGAAGATGAGTTATATTTGTGCATCTGTTTTCGAATATTTTCGGCCATTTCGAATAGTTACAAACCTGATTTCAATTATTTCCCTCGTATTATGTGGTTCGCGTGTTTTGGCAAAAAACGAAAGCGAAAATCGACTGAAAATGGCGATGCTGGAATTTCGATAATCTATGAGGTAAGTCGGGTTTTTGCGTTGTAAATAAAGTTTCTGCAGTTGAAACAAAATGAAATTTTAGGTTATGGCAATGATTATAACGAGGTGCCTTTCGAAATAAAAAAAATTTAAAGTACGTTTTTAAAAAGCAAATATCGACCAAAAAGTGCGCAGTACTTTGATAATTTACAAGATCACCCGGATTTTTCCATTGTAAAGAAAGCTTCCGCTGAAAAAAATTTTAAAGTATGACGGATATTTTAATAATCTATCAGATGACATCAAAATATTTTTCCAAAGCCTAATTTTTAAATGGCAAATTTGACCAAAAACCAAAAAAAAATTAAATATTAAAAATATTGAGATTTGGAGACAATATCGCTTGTAAATAAATAAAGTTTCTGCAATAGTAAAGCATCGACATTTTACCAGCTTAAGCGTACGTTTATTACCTATCAAATAACATACAACACTTTTAGCCAACTCGCCAAATCGACCGCGTAATCGACCAAAACGCCGCTCTGCCCATTCACATTTCCATACCTCCAGATGGCAACAACAATGTTCGCCCGCCACCTTTGGCCAACCATGAGCATTTTAACTCAACGTCAACTGAAGATAGCGGTATGAACAATAGTTTTACTACCAAAAACACAGTAACTTTCGAAGAGAACAACCGAAATACCATAATAATCGACCAGAACTGCGAAAACTCGTCAAAAGTCGAGGAAGAAGTCCAGAAAAGCTGTCATAACAACACGAATACAATTGAAAATGAAGATATTTTACATGGTAAAATATTCAGCAAACATCAGACTTCACATACAAGTCATATAACGAAAGATACGACAGTAAATCGACAAGATACGATGGATTTTGACCGAGATTCACTGGAAATGGATAAAAATGAGAGAAATAGTGCAGGAAATGAAGAGATTGCGAGAGAAAAAGATGAAATCACAGAAGACGCCATAAAACTACGTCGATTAGAAGATGTAGACCATAGTAACATACCAAGACCGTTCTCACAATGCGAGAAATTTCAGATTTTACAGTTTAAACGTGAGTTTTACAGAATTTCTGAAAAAGCGTAATAACTTTGTTTACAAAACAAAAAATGCTAAGAATTTTCTTTACAGAACATAAATTGACAAGAACTGTCTTTACAATAGGAAATAGCAAGTACTTTGTTTAAAGTACAGAAAATGGCAGACTTTGTTTACAGAAAAAAACTTTCAAGAACTTTCTTTACAGTACAAAAAATAGCAAAACTTTTTTTCCAACCTACTTTTTCAATTATAGCTAACAAAACCTTGTACCTAATGCATCGTGTGTGTATATCTTTGCCCGCCTATCTAGATCAAGTGATTTCGAAGCCCCGTCCATCAATTCGGCCAATCGACCGGACGTTTTACCCATCAATAGTGAAACTTCCTCAGAAGTCGAGGATACCTCGACGCTTGTCAACTAGTGTTCATGGTAAACTTTTACTTAAATTTTTTTTAAATTTCAGGTTATCGTGACAAATTTTGAATTTAAAATAACAATAACTTTCTTTGCAGGACCAAAACTGAAAGAACTTTTTTTACAAAACCTAAAACGGCAATCGCTTTCTTTACAATACTAAAAGTGGCAAGAACTTTCTTTACATAGCGAGAAATTGCAAAAACTTACTTTAAAAAAACAAATGGCAAGAACTTTCTTTACAGAGTAATAAATGCGAATTCTGTTTATAAAATTGAAAATCTTAGGCTTCATCGTATAACTTGTCACTCGCAGGTTGCAAAAAGTAAAATTAGTTTATAAATCCAAAAATGACAAGAACTTTCTTTACTAAACATAAAATGGCAATAACTTTCTTAACGAAATTTAAGATGGCAAGAACTTTCTTTACAAAATCTAAAATGGCAGGAACTTTCTTTCCAAAGCAAACAGCAAAAACTTCCTTTAAAAAAATTAAAACCTTAAATTTTCAAAACTTTGTTTCCAGGCGAATACGAGCAGTTGCATCGTCGTTTGTTCGGTCGGAAGTATTTATTGACCAAAACAGCGGACGGAAACGAATGGGTGCGCGTTGGCGGAGGCTTCGAATCGTCGGAAGATTTCGAAAAGCGAAAGAGCCGACTGACAATGGGTCGACGAAGGTCTGGTACTAATCCTAGTTTGTTTCGATACAAAATTGTTACTGTACAAAAATAAACTGTCATTTTTGATCTTTGGAGTAGAGTTACTGTCATATTCAATATAATTGAATGCCTGTCATGTTAATTTGGTTGTAGTACCATTACAGTGACAGATATTACCCCTAGAGTCCTAAAAAGTACCATTAAAGTGATATAAAGCACTACTACAGTGCTATGTAGTACCACTACATTGCTATATAGTACCAACTACATTGCCATATGGTACCACTACATTGCTACGTAGTACCTATACAGCGCTATACAATACTACTAGAGTTTTATATATAACCACCATAGTGCTATTCAGTATCGCTAAAGTTTTATGTAATACGACAAAAGTGCTATATAGTACCACTACAGTGCTATTCAGTACCACTAAAGTTCTATGTAGTCCGACAACAGTGCTATATATAACACTACATTTCTCTGTAGTCATACTACAGTGCTATATAGTGCTACATAATGTTACTACGATGCTATTTGGTACAAATTCAGTGCTATATAGTACCCTTACAATGTCATGCAATGCCACTACAAGATTATAAAATATCATTAAAGTCGTATGTAATGCTACTACAGTGTTATATAAAGCTAATACAATGCTATATAGCATCACCACAGTTCTACATAGCACCATTGCGGCACCATTTAGTAGCACTACCGTCCTATATGACACCATAAATGTTCTACTTTCATATTACTATAACTATCATCTCACTAAAAACTGTAAAATCGCCGTTTTCCAGCCAAAAAAGTCTTTTTCCCTAGGGCAATTGAAGCAAATGATTGAAAATAATCGTTTTAAGGGCTAAAAAACGGCCGAAAAAAATTAGTCCTAACCACTTTTTAAAACGAACATCTTTTTTCTTAACACTGTGTTCTTGTTTTTGTTGTGGTAAAATTTTTATATGAGTTTGCTAACTAATTTTGGCTTCTTTCTTAACACCACCCTATTTCTGGCTTTAAACTGACCCTAGCCATAACCTAACCCTAGCTATTAATCTGTTATAGCTTTTCCACAGTCTCATTGATCAAATACCTCACTGTACCTGCCCTGCTACTTATGTTCCTATCCTGTCCTACACAACGCTACTTTACCATGCCTGACCTTACCCTACCCTCAGGGGCGTCGTTAAGGGGGTGGGTGGAGGAGAATGGATCCCCCCCCAGAAAAAAATCCGTAGCGACGCCCCTGCCTACTCTACCTTAATATGACGTGACATAGCCTATCATAGCCTATCATGCCCTCCTCTACATTACCCTGCCCTAAAATAGCCTATCTTGCTATCCTAGCCTATCCTACTCTACTTTACCTTGACCTACCCTACCTTAATCTACACTTTTCTGCCCTACCCTACGTTAAATTAGGTTACCCTACCCTAGTCTACTTTAAATTACCTTAGCCTACCTTAAAATGACATACAATACCCTTTTTTCAACTAACTGAGACTACCCTTCTCTATCTTAAATTAGCTTACCCTCCCCACCTCAGCTCACCCTACTACACTAAACGTATTTTTCTTTGCCTTTCCTAATGTTCAAATTCAAAAACCCTCTGGAAATTTTAACGAAATTTTCATTCAGCAACGAGAGAGCGTGCAAAAGGTAGAGAGTTCCAGAGAAAGATGGTCCAAAATAGATAAAGCGGCCGATAAAAAATAAAGCTAGGCCGAAGCCGAAGATAAGTGTGCGGAAAACGGATTTGGCAAGAAACGCTTCCGGCGCTTGGCGGATTCTCAAGTGAATCCTTTAAGGCTCTCGGCAAACTTGGCCACGTTTTACGTGGAAAATGCGACGCTGGGCTGAGCGTAGGGGGTAATATTTGCGCGATTTTGATTTTTCGAAGGTAGATTCAGATTTATTTTTCAGCGTAGGTTGGCAATGTGATTTTTATATTGAAATTATATTTTTTAACTTCAAACTTACAAAATCAATAATACAGGGTGTGCCAAAAGTCCCTGAACTCATTATTTTAGTCATATATTTATTAAAACAACCAATATACTTAAAACAATTGCCAGTTTTAAATTGGAAAATATAAAATTTTTAAGGCCCGTAAAGAAAGTTTTTGCCGTTTTAAAGTCTGCGAAGACAGTTTTTGTCATTCTAAGCTCAGTAAAGAAATTTACTGACACTTCGAACATTTTTAAAAAATTATTTGGCACTTTAAGGTCTGTAAAGAATATAAGGAAAGTTATTGCCATTCTAAACTTTGTAAAGAAAGTTTTTGCCATTTTAAGCTCTGTAAAGTAAGTTATTGCCATTTTAAGATCTGTAAGAAAAGCTTTTACATTTTAAAGTCTGTTAAACAAGTTATTGCTATTTTAAGCTTAGAAAGTTATTGCTAATCCCAACAAAGGTAGCCTTGTGCATTCTGCAAGCGCCAAGTTATACGATGGTTTGAATTTATTTATTTGTAAAGACAGTTTTTGTAATTTTTGTGTCATGTAAAAAAGGTTTAACTAATTGTAAGCCAATTTTTAAAAAAAAGTTTTTATAAATTCATGATGTGTAAAGAAAGTCTTTGCCAGTTCAAGCTTTGTAAAAAAATTTGTTGCCATTTTATGTTTTGTAAAAAAAGCTATTGCCACTTAAAGATATGAAAAGAAAATTCTTGCCCAGTTTTTGTCAGTAAAAGGTATGACCATCGTATTTTACCATCGAGCCCCTCACTACATTTCAATGTTTTCATTTTAGAACCTTATCACCATTAACTTACTGCAATAAACCCTCAAATCGACCAATGCAAGTTCCCCATGATCAATAGCTCTCGGATTCGTGAATCAGATGTCAAAAACAGTGGACGGGTACTCGAAAACATATTATTTGACACAATTCGTGTTTCTGAATTCGATTATTTGGCTAATGATTAGTCTGTTGGCTAATGCCATGCCTAGTGATTGGGCCCCGTCCTACGCCAATGTCACGTTGTTTAATCATAAAGGTGAGTTACTGCGGTAACATTTAGTACTGAAAATTAGGTCGGAGTAGGCAAATACCGTAATTATAGATTGAAGAAATACTGTAATTAAAAAGTATCAGAGTACCTTACCGAGGCTAGGCTACAAGATCAGATATACAGTACACAAGAATAAGTTAAACTAAGAAGATATAGTACTTAAGAGTGTTCCATAGCAAGAAGATACCACAATTTACGGAAGGTTACATCGTACTTTACCCAAAGCGTAGATTACTTTAAGAAAGTACAGTCTCTAAGAGTTCCTACAGTAGAGAATTATCGTATTTAAAGAGTAGGTTACCCTACGAAATTACCGAATTTAAGAGTAAGCTGCAGTAAAAAAGTACTGTAACTCAAAATAGGTTACAACATCAAGTTATCACATGCTAGTTTAAAGTACAGTAAAAAAGTATCGTACTCGACAGTAGGTTACATTAGGAAAACAACGTACCTAAAAAATAAAGATAGAGAAAATACCGTACTCAAAGAGTAGCATGCAATAAAAAAATCGTACTATTGAGTTATGCTACAGTAGCAAACTATTACTAATTTGGTAAAAGAATGTAAAATCAAGTCTGCTATAACATAATTATAATACAATCTACTATAATATGACAAAACCTTTCAGAAGACCAAGAAGTCTGCCGCCGATTTCAGACGGGTGGAATGGAGCGGCTCAGTGAGTTCGCTAGTCCATTTTTCCCTTCAAAATACCCGCCCAACACGGAATGTATACGAACTATACATGCCCCACCCGGCTATGACATTGTTTTTCGATTCAACGACATTTTTCAAGTGAGTATCATACCTTACTTTACCTTGACATTTTTCAGTTTTAATACTTTACTTTATCTTGTCATGCCTTCCTTTACCTTAAAACTTTACCATGTCATACCCTACTTTACCTTAACGTTATCCTGCCTTACCTATACTGCCCAACGTTATATAAAAAATGCCCTTATCCTACCCATTAATATCACTCTTAGTTAGAAGCAATATCAACATAATGCTGCAAAATGATTTACAGAAAGTATGTTTTTAGATAGAAGCTTCGTATGAAGACTCCCTAAATCGACCAAATATTATTGCTCATCACTGTCCTAACGACTTTCTGGTAAGTTATCTACCAATAACTGATAAAAAATCATAAAATAAATGTTCTGAAACTTAAATAACTAATCATTAGGGTTACCCAAACGCATTGATCTAGAGGAATATCAAGTATAGTCCATAGGTAAAAAAACTTGAAAATAGTGCATTTAAGCTTTGTGCATAACTTTGTAAAGCCTTTAAGAAGCTCAAAAAACGGACGTAGCCAGAAACGTCTGTAGAGAGGTCCCTGCACACCCTCTATTTTCAGGAAATTCGTGACGGTCGCTACAGTTTCTCTCGCCTAGTTGGCCGTTTTTGTGGCATGAAACCGCCAAACGAGGTTCGAGTTCATTCCGGTTATGCGTGGCTCAACTTTCACAGCGACGGTCTCATTGAGGAAAGGGGATTCAGCGCTGAGTACGAGTTCGTACGACAATGGAACTATTCTAACGCCGTTTCGCATAGTGGTAAGGCTGCTTTTGCTGATTACAACTTTAGGATTAAGAAACAGCGTTACTAGTTGCAACTTTAGGCTTATACAACTGTAATTTACAAAACTATACAAGCTTATGCGACTATATCCTTATATACATACAAAAGTAAAAAACGACGATACCAAGGGCATTTTAATATCTATTTTAATGACAAAACTTATTTATCTCTCTTCAGATTGTCACCAAAGCCATGTAATGCACCTAGATGGATATGTCAATGTATCAGCTATACCTATATCCTATATGGTACGTTTCTAATTTTTTACTTAATTTTTAAGTTAGCCACACTAATGTCAACACAATAATTACTATTATAACAAATAACCCCATGATTTATTAAAAAATGTCAATGTTCTCCTTGCGAATTCGAACTTTTTTGGATTTTCGGCATTTTTAATTCTCTGTAACTCTGCTATAAGTCATAATAGAAAGATGAAATTTGGTGATAGTGTGCAGCTTTTCATGCTCTACAAAATCTCAATATTTCAAATTTTATAAACCTTTTGCAAATTTTTAATTTTTTCAAAAAAAGTCCGAAATTTCAAGAAAAAATGGTAGGGGTACGTAAAAATTACTGTAACTCCAGAAGCTCAATAAATTAAAAAACTTAATTTTCAAATTAGGTGTGTAAATAAGTATTCTATAATTACACAAAATTTTACCTAAACAGTCACAAAAGTTATGATAAAAAAACCAACTACTACAATATTTTTTCAAATATAAGCCTAAACTCCTGCTTTTAAGCTTTTGAACCCTAATTTAGGTTAAAATAATTACTAGAAATAAAGAATAGGCCTGACCGGGCTTGAGCAAAATAAAAAATTGGCCGTAAAATTCAGTCCCAGCCCAAGAACCGGGCTTGAAAAGTATGCCCTGTCCGGCCTGATCCCCATGTCTAATAACGGCAAGACCAATACTATAATCAAAAAAACCTTGTCTAACCAACCCCTTAATTTCAGGACAGTCACCCAATCAGCGAACCACTAGAATGTGTTTATAAAATACGGGTACCCAACACATTACACGTTGCCATTTTCATTGAGCAATTTGAACTCGCAGCCCCAAATCAATGCGAACAAAACTATGTTGAGATCTACAGTGGTCAGGTGGCTAGGAAACCGCTGAAACGGTTTTGTGGTATCATAGCTACCCATACCTATACGGCCCAAAGTGTGGTTTTTATGAGGGTTTTTGTGGCTAGCCAACAGCATGCCTCAAATACCAAGTTGAAGATTTTCTTCTCCGCTTATTCGGCTTGTAAGTTAGTTTTTGACCTTTAATAAATCTACCACTTCGCTATCCTATCCTCTCTTACTCTACTCTACCATACGTTACCCAAGCCTTCCTTGTCCTATCCTACCATCCCTACCTTGCCCTAATATATTATATGCTACCCTAGCTTACCCGTTTACTCTAACCTCGCCTTTTCAGTCAAAAACTGTACAGAGCACGACCTGTTCAGTTGTGGCGATGACATTTGTATACCTCACTCGTTGGTCTGTAATAAACGACCCAACTGCCTCTACCGTAACGACGAGACCATTTGTAATCGAGGCCCAAACCCAGTGTGGGATATCTTATCCAACAGCTACAGTCCTCTGATGTTTATGCCCATATTGATAGCACTATGTGTTACTGTAATGGGGGTATGGTACAAACCGTGCCGGCAGGTACCATTGACTACAGAAGAGGACATTGCGGGCCAGGAGAACGCCAGTATGGTAACTTTTATGCCACCGACTAGTGCTGAGACGTCTCGGTTGGACCATGTGCCTAGGAGCGCTATGGTGGAGTAAGTCTTCGTATATTGTAGTAGGATAAAGTAAACCTATTTTACTGAGGTAGAGTGAGTATATTGTAGTGAAGTGGGCCTATAATATGCTACTATGATTCATTTATGTCGTTTTTGACGTAAAAATTTGTAAAAAAAATATCGACCGGTTGAAAAAAATTTCCAAAATTTTTTAATCCAAATCAAAATAAAATGTCATAAACAATTTAAATTACAATACCAAAACTTATATTTTCCTAAAAACTTAAGATTCTAGCCATAAAAGGACCTTTTGTTACCTAAATTCCTATTTTTGTACCAAAAACAGACTTTCCTACGCCTTTTATCATTAAAAAAACAAAATAAAAGTACAACAACCCTACAAAATTATTTACATTCCAGAGCAGGTACCCAGACCCCTCGAGTCCAAAAGCACACAACGTTCGCGGAGAACGGTCATGTTCAACGCGAACGGCCGGCTTCTCGTTCGCCGCCCGAAATTTGGCACACCGAAGAGAGCCACTCGACTCAATCGATGGTCATGGAGAATTTGACCGTGGAGACCTCATTGATGACCATTAATGTTTAGGACTTAATAAATTTTTTGATTTTTAAAATTTTTTTGAAAAATTTTGAAATTTCAAAAAAATATTTTTTTCCAATAGATTTGAAAAATAGAACAAAAGGCCATAGAAAAAATTAGATAAACAGAAAGCAGCTTTAAAAACTCAAAAAAAATTAAACTCAGCCTTTAAAATTTAAAAAAAAACTCTAAATCCGCCCCCCCCTTATCCATAGAACTAAACCCCCGCCCAACCTCAAATTTTCTATTCCATTTTAATTTATTGCAATCTTCAACAACAATAACAACGTTTTTACTATAAAGTTAAAGTTAGTGTTAAGCGGCCGAACGCCGTAGTTTAGTCCAAATGATGAGTAACGGTGAGATGGCAATCGTATAACAATATACTCTACGGACTTTCGGACAAAACAACGCCGCCCATACCGCGGCATTCATCAACAAGAAGGATGTGGCCGTTCGTTTTAGGGGTGTCAATTTGGATGGGGTTTCAGCTGGATCGGGGAATCGACCAGTCGAGTAAAATTGGGCCATAAGCCTACAATTTGAAGTGTTTAGTGGGTTTTTGGTAGTTTTTGGAGGTTTTTTGTTTGTAAGTTTAGTCTTATTATATCTTCTTTACTTATATTTTAGTATAGTACAAATTCATAGCATCACAACATAACTTCCACAGCTATAAAAACTTCAAAACTGCCAAAAATCGCGTTATTTTTTAAATTTTATGCCTTTTTTCAATATTTTAACTCTTTTCTTTACATCAACGCAAATAAAACATCTTATTTTACAATAACCCAACATTAACATTCCCCCAGGCGCAATATAAAACAACTTTCAAATTTTAAAATCTATTAAAAATACCAAAAAGGTTTCTTCCGTTGCCGGGAATCGAACCCGGGCCTTGCGGGTGAGAGCCGCAAATCCTAACCACTAGACCACAACGGAACACGACGTCCTCTCTTTTATTTCTCTTTTTCTTCTTCAGCGCTCGCTTTTGAGAAGGAAAAGGGCTCATATCATGTTGAATATAACTGTTTTTCGCCGAATTCTTTAATTTTTTAGCTTGAAGCTTTGTTTTATATTATTAAATACATATTTTTCTTCAAGATTTTAGTAAAATTTAATTGATTTTGAGTCATTATTATATAAAAATAACGAGAAGTTCCCACATTTTGTCATAAAATCTCAAAGATTTCAATAAAACTCTCTGATCAAGACCTTATTTATGCTCACAAAGCCTTCAATACTATCCTTACTAACCTTTACAACATATTCCACAACCTTTCCACCCACAAAAGCCCATAATATTTTTAAAAATGTCCACCATACCTGTCTTTTTCCACGAATCGTTGATGTAACCATGCTTTTAGTTCATTTCCTTCGACTGGAACTTGTTCAATTGGAATTCTATCGATATGAACATGCACTTCATTATGTCTTTCACTTCTTCCCGTCACAAACTCGTACATATTTGGAGCGTCATCTTGTCTATATTCGTCCAAAGTCAGTCCGTAGCCGATTGTAATGTCGTAGATGCAATTTAAAGTGGGGCGTAGTTCAGTTAATGCCAATTTAAACCCGCCAATCTTTGGTATCAGTAAGTGGTTGAGTTTTACGAGTTCTCGTTTTCTACAGTAAGAATGGGCTTCTTGGATTTCCTTTGTCCGATGTTTGTTGAATCTTGTGCCCTCGGGGAAGATGTGAAGCCAGACTGGTTCTGGAAGGTCTCGGAGGTACTGAAGCTGGTTTTTTGGCGCTGTTGGGATGAATTCGCCGAATCTGCGGACATAGACAAAGCCACGCTAAAATAAAATTAAAAAATCACATTCTTCTAAAATAAACCTTATTTTAGGTAATACACTTTAATAAAAACCGCATTTTAAGTATCAAACATAGATATCTACAACATATGAGTACAAAATGTACCAAAACCATCCCAAAAAGCTCAGTTTAAATAGCAAAACTAATTTTAAGTAAAAACAAGAAAATATAATCCTTACCTGTAATGTGTACCATCCATACAATGGCACGTACTGTATGACGTGCTTTACAATGAATCTGAATGAGTACTGTTGAGCGTGCCTTTGAGCCAGCATGTTGATCAAGACCCAATCGGCTCCACTTTGATGATTTGAGATCAAGATTGCCGAGTCTGGTAGGCCATACAAAGCTTCTGGCTTACCGTAGAGATGAAGCTGGAAAAGATTATTTATTATATCAAGCCTTCTTTAAGCTCTTTAAAATATAAACCAGCTTTTTTTCAAAACACCAAATAATTAAAAATTCTTGTCGCTTTTCAACCGCAAACCTTCATAAACTGACGACAAGACTTTTTCCCACCTTAATATGCCAAAACATAACCCATTCTTACCTTAGTCGCGTTACAATTCTCAAACACAAACAAGCAAGAGCTCATAAAGATGTCATACATTCGATTGTCCAACCACAAGTACCACTTTTTCGGTATTAACCATGATAAAGCTCCACAACATAAGGCACCAGTCGCATATGGTACCATAATTGAAGCCAACATACCAGCCGGAAGCCAGGCTCGATTCTCGACAACTGTGGTTAGTACTGATAAGACTGGCATTTTGTCTGGAATTTAAAAATTTTAGATTTTGAATTTTGATTTTAAAAATTTTTTTAATTTTTAAAATTTCCAAAAATTAAATTTTGATGCATCATGCCATAGAAGTATAAGATACCTAATAAAATGCTAAAAATAGTATTATATGGTCCAAAAGTTCATAGAAAGCCCCTTTATGCACGATTTTCTTTCAATTTTCCACTTCTTCTCAAAACTTTTTGACCAAAACAATATCTAAACCTCAAAAAAGATAAACCTTGTTATAGTAAAACTAAAAAAGGACATTATCAAACACAAAAAAGGTCAAAATCACGCAGAGAAATATCAAAAACGATTAAAACTAAGTAAAGACATCTGCGTTTCCCTAAAAAAATCGCCGTATTCTCAAGATTTTTGCGGTTTTTAGTCCAAAGAATAGCCAAAATATCTTTGTTTATGATCGGTAGGTTCAAAGATAATATGGGAATGGCACAAGGCAAAATATAATAATGTGATGCTTTATTTTCAAGGTTTAAAGATAGAGCTATTCTTCATTTTTAAGCACAAAAACAATGTTATTCTACACTTTCAAGCCAAAAATTGTGTTATATTTCATTTTTAAGCCTAAAAAATACAGGTTTACTTAATTTACAAGCCTAAAATCAGTGTTATCCTTAATTTTTAAGCCTAAAACAATGTTATTCTTACTTTTTTTGACCCGAAAACAATATTTGAATACAAAAATCGCAAAAAATCTTGGCGCTGAATTTTAAACTAACTCTCGCTGTTCCCTGCTTGAATTTACAATTAATTGCCAAATCGAGATTAGTCGCAGTAATAAAAATATGGCACGCTGAGAGAATTTTTAGGAAGTAAAAGCTGGTTTCTAGGCATAGGACAACAGGAATGTTTGTTTGTGCCCTTTTACAATACACAAGGCAAAGCATTTTTACTGAAAAACAATATATTTCATATTCTGTCCTTGCTTTGTAAACAAGTTTCAAAACATGTCCTATGGCCTGCTATGTCACTGGTTGTGACCAGGGTTGGACACAGGACAAGACACATTATTGAAACGCCTTGTATCGGGCATGGCATTTCAAGCTTGCAATGCCATTCCCGGTGCAAGGCACAGAACTGAAATTTAATGTACTGGGCAGAGCTTTCTAAAACAAAGCACAAAAAATCATCAATGTCCTGTCCTGTGTCCAAACGGGGCAGGACATTGATGATTTCCAAACCTGGGCACAAGACATAGCCCTGCCCAGCCATTAAGCCTTCATAATACAAAGAAAATCAGCCTTGTAAAACAATAGATAAACAAGACGTATTTTACTATACCTCAAAATTAAAAACCAGAAAATTACATACAAAAGGGTTAGAAAAATAAGCGTATTTTACAAAAAAAAACCCTCTTTAAAATAGATAAAACTGATAAAAACCATTTCAAACTAAAAACAAAATTAAGCGAACAAGGTTTTGTACAAGTTTATTACAATTAAGCGTCGAATATTCGAAAATATAATGTATTAAAAACACAAAAAGGTTCATAATATGCCGTACAATACAGCAAAATCAGCCTTTTTCTGTCTTTATAATACCATAGCTATTATAAATTGATCATAGCTTCATTTAAAAATTTTTGCAAAAAACACTTAAAATTATAAATAAAAAAATAATGGAATTCCTTTGATTAGAAGCATGTGTAATATCCAAAAGAAATCATAGAAAAAATATACATAAGTTGGTAAATAATCTACAAAATTTGAAAAAAAAGTTGAAGATTTTAGATATTTTCAAAAAGAATAACTTTACACTTGAATACAAAAGTTTAAAAGTAGATTTGACTATAGCCAACATGGTCATAGGTATATATATGCATTTCAGTCTAACTAAATGAGGTTAAACTGAATTTTCTTCGATCCAAAAGCCACACCTTGGCCAAAAGACCCTCGTATACCTACATCCATCAAAACCAACAATGTGAAGAAGAAACGACAGAATATAAAGAAGAAACAGTAAAGACAGAATATAAAAATAAAAAAGTACAATACAACAAGGATAATATACTAGTATACAACTGTTTTTAGACTTTTTTTTTAAACATAGTGTTTTTAAAAACATAATGATTAAAAATGTGCCATAGTCAGGTCAAAACAAGATAAAATCTTTGATTTTCTTATCAAAAATAACAACGAATCATGGTTTTGCACAGAAAAATAACAAAAACATCACTTTCCAATAAAAAACCAAAAAAATCGTCATCTTTTAACAAAAAATAGACAAAAATTGTCATTTTATAACCATAAACACTCAAAAATTACTCATTTCCTCCACAAAATCCATTTAAAAATCAAGTTTTAACTATAAAACAACGTCAAATTTTACAATTTTATAGTCGAAAAATAATTTAATCCCGACGACGTCTGTTCTGGTTGTCATTTCTCTCCTTCAGAATGATCAACAAGTAACGGAAAACGTTAACAAAGTCGATGAACAACTCCATGGTGTGCAGAACGTAGTCGGTGTCACCACGACGACGCTTCTCGGCAATCATTTGGGTATCGTACACGATGAAGGCGGAGTTGATCAGAAGACCTCCCCAGATGAGGATGGGGTGAACTGAGGCTGAGAAGCGACCAAAGATGGATGTGATGGCCAGGGCTAGCAAGGCGGCACTCAAAATACCTAAAACAATGTAGATTAATAATTTTTGTCAATTTTTCATAAATGAAGAGTAAAAACCTATGATAATATCTATATTGACATATAGAAAACGTATTTAACCTTCATGATGTTTCTATACTAATAAAAGTTCTAAAAAATACTATCAATAAAATTAACGACTTTTACAAGCCATCAAAAGGTCACCTAAAACCAAAAAAAGCTTCTCAATTATAAAACCCTTCCTTACCTCCAAGATGCAAGAATTTGGTGTTCTCAGCATGCAACGCGGCCAATGAGAAACATCCGAACACGACCAATGTGATGATATAGGCATTAAACACGACTGAAGGATCCGATGCTCCAATATACATGACCAATGGACCTGTAGTAACTCCAACCAAGAACGACAATCCCAACAGGTATCCCAATCTTCTCTTCTCTGTCTCTCTAGTCGCTGGACTCGCAATTAAGGCAAAAGTCAGGCCGAAGATACCAATTGAACATAGGAAATGAAGACTGTACAGGTTCAAGAGGTGGTTCGCTACTACACCCAATACGGCGGTGAACATGGCCACGGTGAGGGTGGCGTAGACGTTGCGAAGATGTTCACGGACATCTTTCTCTCTGAAAACATAAGTTTTTCTATGTAACAGTAATGTAAGATCATATTTTTACCTTATAGAGTTCGTAAAATCAAGCTTTTCCAATATCAAACCAAAAAAATAAACTTTTAGAGTTAAAAACCTCATAAAAACTGCAATTTTTCAATAAAACAACTAAAAACAATATTTTCTTGTAAAAATACACCATCTCCACGCTCTTTCCTATCTTCTTAATCCAATTTAAACCTAAAAATAACAAAACAAAGTCAAAAAAACTTACAATTTGTGTTCCAAAGAAGTGAAGACACGTCCGAGATTGCCAAGAATGTCAGTTTCTTGTGGATTCGAGGCTCTTTGGTAAAACGAAGTCATTTTGTATTCGATATCAATTTAATTTAACTGAAGTTCAAGTCAATTTATATGGATTTGTCATTGAAAATTCGCGAAAATTCTAGAGCGAAAGCACAAAACATAAACGTTGATTTACAAAATATAATAATAAAACTTTCACTTTAAGCCAAAACTCAATTTTTGAACTAAAATCAATATTTAAAAGATGTTTGTCATAAAAAGATAACGTTAAAAATTCCTATTTCAAACCAATAACACCAAATTATCCTCTCCAAAAATTCAAAAATATTTAAAATCCAATCCCTCATCCCGACAAATGCCCTATTTCCAATCTTATTATTATTCAAATGCCCAAAAATAATATCAAAATATCGAGAACACACCACAGGCAAAGTAACACACCACAAAGGTTCGAGTTTTCAATCAGAGAATGCGTGAAATAAACAAAGTCGTGTGAAAAAATGAAAGATCAATCGACGTGAACACAGAATAGAGATAAAATGACATGTTTTCTAATAGTTTTCTAATAAAAAAATACATTTGTATGTAGTAAACACTTATGAAGCATCTCCTACTGCTCGCTTTAAAAAAAAGACGTTTTTCCAAAAAATAAGTTTTGAAATTCACTTGTTTATAGTAGTGATAGGTCGGAAATAACGCAAAATGTCGAGAAATTCAAACAATTTTTGAAAAAACTGATTGAAAACGATGGTACAGCATATCATGTAGTACGTAAACAAAAAGTTTCATATTGATATCACGTAATATGTTAAAGTTATGACTGTTTAAAACAGTACGAATCTGCCTAACAAATCAGTGTTTCGAATGTTCAAAACGATGTAACCCTTTGTTCATATTAGATAAAATTCCAAAAATTTCAGAATACGTACTCTATTTTATGGACAATAAAATGCATTTTGCAAACTTTTCAAAAAACGTCCTAATTTGCTAACATTGATGACAAAGCAATCACTGTAAATACAAGCCATTCCTTGAGCTTGCTCATGCTTTTGCACATTTTTTAAACGATGAAAAACGTTATTTGCATTTTTTCCTTTCGCAATCCTTTATTTACAATCGTATCCCCTTCTTTATACCTTATTAACACCATTCTTCCCCTTTTAATACACCACCTACAACAATATCCAACCCTTCACTCTCCTAATCCAAAACAGTTTCCAACTTTTCCACAGCAAATTAAGCATGTTTTGGCAAGAACAAACTCGATTGAATCAAAATAACTTTATACATTCGCTTTCGCAAAGACCCACGAGAACTTTCAGAAAAAAACAATCTATAAGACGGCCTCCAAGGCTGATCGTCTCTCCACCCACAACGGTCTTTTCCAGCCGTTAAAGTGCGTTCTCTCCTTTTACACGTCAGTATAGAGAGAGAACTGGGAAGTCGGTTTCGCAATGGAAAACTAATACAAGGTCTAATGTAAGCCAACGTTGCATTAACCGGTGTTTTTTGGTTAATGAAATTACAGCACTATGTAACAAAATTGTAATGTTCAATAACTTTTAAAAGTATATTTCATAATATAAACAAATAGTTTATCAAGATATCAAAGGTTAAATCTTGCAAAACCTCTTTGAAATTATAAACAAAACACCAATTATAACAAGTTTTGACATTTTCACACCCAAATAAGAGATTTTTACTATTATTTTAACCAAAACAAAGTTAGACAGCCTCATCTATATATCTAGTACAATATATTACAATTTTTCAAAAGATTAAACCTTCAAAAAAACAAAAAACTCTTCTTCCGTTGCCGGGAATCGAACCCGGGCCTTGCGGGTGAGAGCCGCAAATCCTAACCACTAGACCACAACGGAACACACTCGACATTGTCTTATTTCTCATCAAGTTGCCGATTGATAAAGAAAAAAGTAAAGGTTACTACCTATTTCAACTACTTAAATTAATGGTTTAACCATACAATAATATAAAAAATCATCGTTTGCCTTTGACACAGTTATCAAACTAATATAAAGCTATATTAACGCGGAAAACTAACATAACATCAATCTATCAATAAACATTCTTAAAAAAGTTGAATAAACCAAAACAAACATAACAACTTATCTTGACAAAGAACACTGCTATGCTATGTTATGAAGAACGCTTATATTACGCAAAACAGCCGCTGAAACGATGAAAAAATTACCTTAACCATGGCAACAGAAGTCGTGTGTAAATTAATACGACATTAATTAGTACTTTAAAGCACTAAAAATACAAAAACAATGTAAAAACAACGAGAAACCAAAACTTGTCCTTTCAAAAACAAAATTTCGTCAAACGTTGAAGCAAAACGCCAAGAAACGATTTCGTTGCGTTGCCAAATCGGGAACTGTATGTCATAAAATTGAAAAAATAAAATTTGCAAAATTGGTCAAGAATTCTTATATATTCTTGCAAGAATATAAAAATAAAAGCCAATTTTATGCTTTTTATTCTTAAAAGTTTGTAACGATGCAGGAAAACACAGATTCGCCAGGTTTTCGATCGGTTCTTCAGGCAAGCAAGCGTTCTATATGTATGCCATCGCCAAAACCACAAAGTGTGCTGGTAGATTACAATATATTACGTCCTTTGAATCGATCAGCGCCTTCGGAACCCAAAAAGGTCAAATTCACACCTCTGGAAAGCATCAGTAAGTATTATTTTACTTTTTTTATGGTTTAGGCGCAGTCTAAGTTCCAAAAACTGATTTCAGGTGATCGATTTGGATACATCAAACCAAAAGATGACAAAAATCAGAACCCATACTCAATATCCGCTTTACCATATCCTACTTCTTACCCTGCAGCAACACCATCAGGCGAACGCAATGAAAATGCACCTAAACCGTTGCCTTATCGAACCGTTGGCAATGAAAAAGTCTTTGATCATCGACTTTTGGAAGACAGATGTGTTGTTTTAGTGCCAGACCATGAACGGATCTATGGGCTGAGTTTGTTGGGGCAATCCAGACCACTATTGAACACGAATCCTGAACTAAAATATCTGTTGGAAGAGGTTAATCGTAAGTTTATTTTTTTTGTTGGAAATTTAGGCAGATGGTTTGAAATTAGCACAATTTTGAAGAAGAACAAAGCAGAGTATTGTAATAAACGAATATTAACTAGTGAAATCAACGGGGAAAACTGGGGTATTCTTTTTTGCCTATATTAACCATGACCAAAATGTAATATAGCTATTTCTTGTTAAAACGCCTTAAATTTATAAAACTTTTAACAACTGAATTTGAAATGCCGGTAAAACTAATTTAATACAAACTTCAGCCCGAAAAAGGAAACGACAACATCAAAAATATTCGGCAAAAGTTGTGTTAGGTAATGCTTTCGACGTCACAGATGAAGAAATTTGGGAATCATTGAAAAAGTTTAATATAGCTAGAAAAATCGAAAGAAATCGAGCTTCTGAAGGTAAGGCTTATTTTTTGTTTAGGTATCTGTTTTAGTTTTTTCATAAGATGTTGTGTATTGTTGTAGGTATTTTTAGTCTTAATGTTATATTTTAGGTTTTTGTTCAATTTTTCTTAAAAACTCTGATAATGTGGAAGCTTTTTTGGAAAAATGTGAGCCTCAAGAATTCAATTTTAGCTACACACTGGAAAATGGTCAAATTGTAAGTGTAATCTACCTTTATAACTACACAAAAGTATGCCTCACCCATACGTAACACTATATCTTATCCATATCTAACTCATGATATCCTTTTCAGCTCTCCGTTTACCCCTGGTGTAATGAAGACACTTCCTACACCACGGACGAAAACTGGCCAATGTCAACAAGATATACTGTATTTATTGGCTGTCTACCTCGACTATGCACAGCTTCGTATCTATACAACTTTCTCAAGCGTCGTCACCGCTTCTTCGACCTTCTACATGTTCGTATCGACTGTGATCCCAGTTTATACCCACGTGGTGCAGCTAGAGCGGTTTTCAGAACAGAGGAATCGTATCGGAGAGCATGTTCGTTGGGTGTGATCAAGGTGAAATGGTTCAGAGAGACTAATCGGGTAAGAATATGTCAACTTTTGAAGAGATTGTAACCTGAACTTGCTAGATATCCCAAAATTATGAGGTTTTATAACAATTCCCTCAAGGTTTTTAGACAAAATGCCTGATAAAATGTCGATTATTACCTAATTTAACCAAGTTAATGACCTAAAACACTTTCAGATCGAGTTCAAATCCTTCATTTACAAAGGCTTCGCTTGTGAATCATGTTCAGCGGACGTAAAGACCAAATTCTGCCCAGATAACGACTGTCTACGCTACTACTGTGATGCTTGTTGGGGGAAGAACCATGAAAACAAGTTATATCACGAGCCGGTTCGTGGTGCATATCGAGATGTACCTTATATTACCAAACATTTCGAGGAGGTCAAAGCTTTTCACGCGCAACGGAAGTTGGAAGAGGACCAGAGAAAGGCTAATGGGAGTGTTTCGAGTGCTAGTGTTACTGATAGTACTGCTTTGAGGAACAATGGTACTGATTCGAAGCTGAGCGATTTTAATGTTCCTATTTCGAAAACAAATGGTATTAATGGAATTGCTTCGAAGATCCGTAGTCTTAATGATGTTGTTTTGAAGTCTAACAGTACTGTTTTGAAGACTAATGGTACTTTTTTGAAAACTCATGGTACCTTTTTTTAGTTGTTTTTGTAATCAATGGGGTTAACTGTTCTATTTTAAGTTTATTTTGTCCTTTTTATTTTGTGCTAAATGTTATTATTGTTTTTTCGTGATAAATTTTGTTTTAATAACACTTATTGGGAAAGCTTTTGTCCTAAAACGGCAAAAAAAGGTATTTTTACTATTATGTAAGTCAAAAAAATACTTGTTAGGCATAAAAAATCCAGCCATAAGATCAACATAGCCATAACAAATAAACCGAAAAAGCAAAAAAACCACAAAAAACAATTAAAACATAGTAAATCAATACAAAAAGAGGTGTATATTACACAAAAAAACATAAAATAAGTACCTTCTCGGTTGATGACGAATACAGCTCTTCAAAACCATCACAATACTAAAATTTTATTTTATAAAGCGTCTTTTATATAGATGAAAACAAACACAACACCAAATATTATTATGAATCAATATGTTGATCATAAATGATGTCAATAACAGAAATGAATCGCAAATCGACATATTGAACTTGAATCACCAATTCTTGAAGGTTTCAGCTTCATTTTCCGTCTGAACTTCTGGCTGTTTACCATCCAGAGCGCCTTCTGAATATCCACAATTTTGTTCGCTATCAAAAGCACCTTCATTCGAGTCTTTTGATTCTCCACGATCCTGCGTGTCTTCTGATTCCTTTTCTTTCATTTCATCACTATCTTTTGTTTCTTCCGAATCGTTACCATGTTTTCCGTCTTCAGAATCACTTTCTTTCGAGTCTAATTCTCCACGACCTTCTACGTATTCATAATTACCTTCTTTCAATCCTCCTGCTTCTCCACGTTCTGCAGTGCCTTCAGAAACTTCACGATCCTCCATGTCTTCCGAATCCTCATCTTCACTTTCATTTTCATCCGAAATGTCATCGTTGTATTGCGTACCCGTTCTGATGCTAATCATCTTACCATCCCAATTCTGTTCGCAGCTACACTCATGAATCCATCCGTCTTCATTCGTCTGCCAGGGATACAGCCATCCAAATCCGAACGGGCCAAAAATAACTTCAAAGTTCGCGATAATGCCATTCTTTTTGAAGCAGACTTGATATGTGTCATTCATTTTGAAAAATGGAAATTGCTTGATCAAGTCCACTGCTTGGTTACAGGCGGCGATGGTGCAGTTACAGTAGACCGCGTAGTAGATATACGCACAGGAGACTACACTGAACACGCAGAGAATCTGAAAACTAAAAACCATGCTCTGTAAAGAAAGTTTTTGCTTTTTTTTTGTTTTGTCAAGAAAGTTTTTGCCATTTCTTGTTTTGTAAACAAAGTTATTGCCATTTTATATTTTGTAAAGAAATTTATCGCCATTTTACATTCTGTAAAAAAAGTTCTTGCTCTTTTTGTCTTGTCAAGAAAGTTGTAACCATTTTTTGTTATGTAAAAAAAGTTATTGCCGTTTTTCCTTCTGTAAAGAAAGCCCTAGCCATTTTTCGTTTTGTAAACAAAGTTTTTGCCATTTAAAAACTTATAAACAAAGTTCCTTCTAGCTCACTTTATGTAAACAAATTCATTGTAAAACCTTACCACAAGAACTGCAATTTGTACAATTCCAAAGTAAATCTGCACCATACCAGAAAGTCTTGGTCCTGGGACGAGAATCCACACTATTAAGTATAATGGCCATGATACTTCACCTTTGTCCGAATGTTTTGCGTATTCTTCGCCAAAACTCTTCATCAATGGTATGTTGGCGGCAAAGTAGAGGTATAGGAAGGCCAGAAGGTAGACAAAGAACAAGATGAACGTCTTTTGGTTACCGTAGTGAATACAGCGGTCTGGAAAGTTAAAAATTTTGGGAAAGTTATCAAAGTCAAAAAAAATTGTTTTAATTTCATTTTATAATTTTAAAAAGTCAAAAACACAAAAAGTTTAATTTTTCACCATAACTCGTCTAATATTATAGTATGTCTACATCAACTTCTACTTACCCAAACTACAACAATGATGATCCAACCTTGGCGTACATATGTCACAAATGGCACAATGATGAGTTCTTTCAGTTTTTATAATCTTACATGTTCCACATACCGCGCGGCTGAAATATACATAAATTTATATTCACCATGGTGCATAACATAATTTTTTAAATACCAATTTTAAATTTTGATAATGACATTTTATAAAGAAACCGTCAAACAAAACAATCTTTTCACGAAAAATGCTCAAATTTTCAAAATATAGCATAAAATATATTGATATAGACTAAACCTTAAGTGCCATAACTAAAAAAATACCATAACTTACATATGAGCCCAATTAGCGCCAATTTCTTCAACCCTTTTCTTGACAAATTCATACTTTTCCTCTTGTGACCATTCAAAAAAGTCTGGATCAAGCTTCAGTTTGTCTGGAAGCTCGGGATACGGCAGTAACAAGGTGTAGGTTAAGGATGAAAATGCCAAAACAGAAATGACAAAGAATGGGATTCCAACGTATATCTTGTATGCAGTTGAGTATGTCCAAGTAAAAACCACGGCGAAGAAAGGCTGAAATACCAAAATTTATCTACATTTTTTTCACAAAAACCCGTTTTAGGCCGAAAAAGCATGAATAATATAGGAAAAAGAGTATGTTCACATTGAAAAATCATTTAAAAAGTGAAAATATGGTTTCGCAAATAAAATTTCTGAACTAATCGTAGCTCCTATCTACCACAGAAAAATAATAAACTTACCACGTAAATCACAAACAAAAGTGTTCCGATAAAAACCCACGATGGATGAATACCACAGTCGTTTAGTTTGCTCCTAAATCGAAAACAACACTTCGACATAAACCAAAACGGCTTAAAAATACACCAAGACAACAGTTTCTTCAACATTTTTACAAAAGTCAAACCGATTGAAATGAAAAACGTTGAAAAATTTACTTTCATGCGAAAATTTGCATAAAAACTCACTTTCAATATAAAAAAATAAAAATTTGCAAAGAAAAATATTAATCAAGCTGAAAAAACTACAAAAGAATCTTCTGATGCTGCTAAATCATTATATATAGTTTATTTGTACAAATTTACACATCAAACTGCAAAAAAATATATTACACTTGACAACATTGTGAAATATTGAAGATAAATCGATCTCTCACTGATAATTCACGCCAACTACCAATAGTTAACACATAATAGGTTTAGGCCGAGACTTAAAAGACATTTTCTTCCTAATAACAAAAGCAATTCGACATTTATACATCCCTTCAGATTGTTTGGTGGTTGATTTTGTGTCAACGACAAGATAGGGCTGCTCCAGCGTCTTCAAAGATCCCTCCATCATGTGGTGATCAATCAAGCAAATAGCTGTAGTTGGACTCTGCCAATACAGAAAGAAAACGCTCTTTCCAATTGGATCTACTGGTGGATGAATCGTTCCTTGCACTTCCACTAACAACTTCTCTGGCGTTGCGCTGAAAATAGATGTTTTAAAGTAAAGTGATGTGAATGATATGATTTTAAAAAATGAACAACAACATGGTCAAGTTAAAACGATCGGTTGAAAGACACTGAAGTTTTTTAACATTGTTTGAACATAAAGTTTATCCGACGTTATATTAGACAACCAGGATTCCTTTTAAACTCTTCGAAACCGTTTTGTATCTTCAAAGCTAATAAAAACATTAGTATATCTGTAATCAGAAGGTTTTTCTACATCTATCTAAATCAAGAACAAACAAAAAAATCAAAGAACTTACCCAGGTTCTGCATAAAAGTCAATCCTCATCTTCAATTCCAGTCGGTGTCGTTGAATCCAAGTCCCAAAACCAAGTCGATAAGTAAAATAACTTTAGCTGTTAACTTTTACAAGTAAGTTGAAGGTTTTCCACATAAATTGGAGTCAGTTTAGAGGAGCGAAAATAAATAATTTTCCGAAAAGTTTGCGAAAACGCGTTTTGTATCAAAATTTTCGCGCGCTTTTTTAACTTTTCGTTTTGTATTTCTAAATGCACTTTTAAAAATATTAAAAAGCAGTATTTAATGTGCATTTAAAGATAGAAAACATTATAGGAACAATACTAAAATCTTACTTTACAGTGCTATTTTAAAAATGCCTTTCAAACTGCACAGTGCAATTCAAAAACATACTACGTACTCAACCTGTATTACAATATGAAATATCTCATATGCTTCTTTATAACCTTTTTGCTCCTGTTCTTTTTTTACATTAATCCGTTCTCCGTCACAAAAATTCGATTTTTTGTTGTTTTATAACGTCATTACTATACCTCGCTAGCCGTTGCAAGTATAGTTAATTACATGGTTATGTAAGAATGGCGTCTATAGTCGCCAATTAGCGGCGGATTTCTGGTTTACATTAGACAAGGTGGATTCGGTAGGATATATAGACGTTTGTTGTTAACGGCTACTACAATATCATTTTATTCAAGGTGAAGGGGGTGATTTGTCGTCAGTATGTCATGGTTTTAAAAGAGAGTTAAAAATGGCTTTTTTAATGCCATGATTTTAAGGAAGGGCTGACAACGGTGTTTACAATATAAGTTTTGTTGTGATATTGTAGTAGCCTGTCTTCTATGTATAAAAAATTATACTTTTTGCCATTTTTATATGAATTGCTTTTGCAAATGGTTCAAAAGAACTAGAAGGTGACTGTAAATCATTATCTGGCTTTAATTTATCATAAGACTTCTTATTTTTATTGAAAAGTTCGAAAAGTCCTTGCACAGTGCAGCCATTTTAAAAATTTTTTAAAAACTGCACCGTGCAAAGCCTAAAACCTTCTCCCAGTCATTTTCTGTTTGATTATACTATTGTATCTTATATCTTGCCTTGCATTTAAAATTCAATGTATTTTTTGAATATTTTCTTGAAGATCCCTCACGTTGAAGTATAATATTGGTGAGATCTAGATAATCTTTGTGAAAACGAGCAGCGAAATCCTCTAATGAACAATATCCGGTTATTCTTCGCAGGTTTTTTGTTTATTCAATTTTCTGTTTTAATGAGAAAAGAATCAAAAGTTATAAAATTTTACTTTCACTCAAAAAAATTACTAACCATAGTATAGGTAAAAACTTACAAGGACAGTGCCCGACCTGGCTGCCCCGCTATAAGTGACTTTAAACTTTTTATATAGGAAGATCATGTAAATAGAAGACCTGCAGCAAATTAATAAATCGCGGTTCCCAGGCAATTTCGAGAAAATCGAGACCAAAGTATTGCATCTTAAATTTTTCCCGTAATTGGCATTGTGTTTCAAGTTTATAACATTATAATTTTTTGACTTTTAGGAATTTTTCTTTGATATACTAACAGAACACCTTTAATTTTACATGAATGACCCTTTAAATTTGTAAGCATAGCTTGTCTGGAAAGTCGACAAAGTGCTTGAAACACAATGCCAAATTGGCAGAAACGCTAATAATTAAGATTAAAAACTCAAAAGCGCAAGTTAAATTTTTTCACGAGTACTATTGGTGGTACAAAGAACTCATATAAAAAATTTTGAGTTGATTTGAGCGGGGGCACGATGGGTACTTTGCTTGTTAGTTATAGTAAGCCTGTCATTGATTTTGCTTACGGTAAACCAGCAATCTATTCTAGTGTCATGACCATTATTTACATTCAAAAAGACTCTCGGTATAAGAAATTATAGCTATAGTAAACACAAATTACTCTTATTCTAGTGTTTCTGATAACGAGGGGCCTTTACACCTTTACCTCCTACAGTATAACAGAATTTACCTTCAACTCTTACTGTATTTTTCAAAATTAAAACCAAAAAAAATTTTAACTTTTTAAAACTTCGCAGTAAAACAGCAATGCAAATATTTTCGGAGATGTCGTTTATTTTCGTGTGAGAGTTCCGTTTTGTGGAGGAGTCAAGATCAAGATGGTCGAAAGCCGGCTATAAAGAGTGTCACTCTTCGAAGCGGGCTATTCAAAGACGCTTCATGCCTTCTGCATTCTTTCAATTTGTTAACGAATTTGCTTTTTAAAATTTTTACAGTAAACCATTGATATAGGCAACATTAGTGTCGGGCGGGATGATTTTTGTTTTTTTTAGCATGGAGTAGCGAGCAGTTTATCAAAGCCGTGTTTTATTTCAAAAATTCAAAACTCCCAATTTCAGAATGCTAGAAGCCAAACTAGTGGCGACAGTAGCCTCCGGCTGTTCCGGGCTAGCCATTCTGGCATGTGTCATCATGGTACCTCAACTGTACTACGACATCAACGACATATACGACGAGGTTCAACAAGGTGTTCAGTCGTTCCGCGTGGAAACCGACCAGGCCTGGACTGATTTGATGGACGTCCAGCTGTCAGTCCAACCACCAGCCAAACCACGACCCAACCCATTCCAGTCCATCTTTCAGCGTAAAAAGCGTCAAGACTATTCCAGACTTCCAAGCTTTTGCCAATGCGAGCCAGTCAAGCCCAACTGCCCACCTGGACCACCGGGACCAGCTGGAGAGCCTGGACCAAAAGGTGAGCCCGGTCAACAAGGACCACCTGGAGAAGTGGGAGAGAATGGTCCTACTATGGAGTGCCCAGCCGCTGATACTAGCTGTCAATCATGCCCAGCCGGTCCACCTGGCCCACCAGGACCGGACGGTCCAGAAGGACCAGCCGGTTCAAACGGAGAACGTGGTCAAGCCGGTCCAACCGGTAAACCTGGTCTGCCTGGTGCACCAGGACCGATCGGAGATGCGGGACCAGCCGGTGAAGCTGGGGCACCTGGTCCGGCCGGTTCACCAGGTCAAGATGCTCAACATGAAACCTCACAGCCTGGTCCACCCGGACCTGCTGGCGCGCCGGGACCAGCTGGTCCTGCCGGTCCAAATGGAAACTCTGGTCAAGCTGGTGCACCTGGAGCTCAGGGACCACCTGGAGCGCCAGGAAGTCCTGGAGATAACGGTCCGGCTGGTCAACCGGGTAGTGCTGGAGGTCCTGGACTGCCTGGAACTGACGCCGCTTATTGTCCTTGTCCTAGCCGCTCATCGGTTTATGTTCAACAGAATCAGAATTACAAAAGATTCTAGTGTGATATAGGTTGTTAGTACTGCTTTATAAGGTTATTAGTACTGTTATAGTAGGGTAAAGCTAAGTTAATATGAAGGATTGAATAAAAAGTTGAGTTTGTTGGCAGATTTGTGTTTTCTTTGTTTTAAAATTTGAAAATAATATTACTTTCTTTCTTTGATTATTAAGCGTTTAATCAAGGTATATATAATATATTACAGTATGTTCAAACACAAAAAATTTTTAAAAAATTCACCCTAGCAGATCTTTTGGCTTATTCTTAAATTGTTCAAATAATTTAGCGCCCCCACTCAAAAGAAATTTTAACCACCTAATAAAAGCACCACCCCTTCTATTATTAAAGTATTGCAATTCATCACTATCAATTCCTTTTAAGCCCATTCCCAACCGCCGGATCCTCCGCCAGTACCGCACGTAAGTTGGGCATGTAGCTTTGCCCTTCATCCGGCTCCACCTGCACCAGTCCGAATTTACCACCGGATTTGCTCTTCCGCACTACGGCATTTGCGGACTGCGCCCACATTTGGTACGACTGCGCCCACTTTTGATTCGTCTTCGTTGGACTCAAGAACTGGGACGCAGAAAAGGTGTTGGGGATGGGTGGGGTTTGGGTTTCGGTAGGTGGGACCACACTGCAGTCAATGTGAGACAAAAAGTTGAAATTGAAGTGGATTAGGGAGGGGGTTTTGGCATTATGCATGGCGATTGGGTAAGGCAAATTGTCTTTGCAGAAGGTTGTTTCGTTTTTTATTTCTGCCAGGTGGGCTAGGAGCTGGAATTGGGAAAAGTTGACTTTTTTTTTAAAATTTAAAAAAATTTTTTAATTTTTTTAAAAAAATTTCAAAATTTTAAAATTTTTTTTTGTTTTAAATTAAAAAACAAGAAGTCACACCACCCTGCAAAGCTCTCTCTTCGGCCCAGGACATAGTTCGAGGTGAAAGTCGTCGTACGAAAAAAAAACAAGAAAAAAATTTTTGGCTCCCCCCCCCTTTTTTTAAAAAATCTGCAACAAAGTCTCTGCTCCACCCTTTCTCAACCCATGTTCCTTCAAAATATAAACCGACCTGAGTTCGAATCCCTTTGAAATCGTATAGCTTTATGTCAGCTATTGGTGCCACAACTCCCGTGTACAAAACATCGTCCATGTGGAACATTTCCACGTCTTTCATCGCTGTTATACTCTGATTTACGGCCAGAGTATTCATCACTACCGCGTAGCCAAAACAATATGTTGGGTACATGTCGTATGCGTATTCTTTCACCGATATGTACCTAAAATGGCATATAATGTTAGAAGTAAAGAATAAAAACCAAAGTTTGCAAATCTTTTCTAATCTTTCGTTGCGGGACCTAAGCTGAGCCTCTGAGGCCTTGTTTTGAGCCCCAGCCATTGGAAAGGCATATACCGGCCCGAACTCTTTCAAATATGGTTCAGCCAAACCTTGTAGTCCCCTTTTAAGGCCTATTTAGTATAGAAGTATATTTGAACTCTTGTATAACAAATCACTTTAGGGTTTAAATTTCTTCTTTATACGGAAGTTCCACCATAACTCCAAAACCCACCATCGATTAGTCTTCGGGTTCCGAACCGGATGCCGATACTCCATAGCCTCACATACCATCCATGGTGCCTTCATATCAATGCCCATATCAAATTTCACCTCCATCCATTGCTGAAGTCGACTCAGCTCCATCACGGTATCAGAATCCAGCTTCACAAATGTTTTCGCATTTGGTGCGAACCTCAAGTGCCATTCGTACATTGTGTACCATTTGACAAAATTCCGACGATATGTGTCATAAGCGTCGTAATAGACAATGTCATTGAACAGGTTCATTTCTTCTTCCAATTCTTTGGTTGGCATTTCTGGCTGATATCCAATGAAGAAACGATGACAAATGTTTTTTGGGACTGCCTGCAACTTTTGAATTTAAAAATTGGTTTAAAAATTTTGAAATATAACATATACTACTATATGCAGTAAGAGTACAACACTCAAGTCTTCAAAAACAAATCCTTATTATAAATACTTTGTATATCACAAAAAAACCTAAAGTATAAAATTTGTACCTAAATACTTTACAGCCAAAAAATTTAACTTTTCGGCAAGAATCTTTGCAGATTGTCCCCGCTAAGTAGATAGACCAAGCTTAAACAAATTGAAAAACGAGCCAAGCTCAAGGATTTTTTAATCTAGCCAATCAAGCCTAAGAAACAGTGTTTTGCCGGACCGGTCCGGATGAGAATTTTTTCGGTCCGGTCCGGTCCGGCTCTATTTTTTTTCCGCTCAGGTCCGGTCCGGGCCGAAAAAGTCCGGTCCGGATTTTTTAAAAATTTCTCCGCGTCGGCGGAGAAAATCGGCGAAGGCGATAACTCCGCTCAAACTCAATATTTTTCCACCGGACAAAGATTGGGGATATTTTTTTAAGCTTTTAAACCATTTAAATCCAATTCTAAACTAAAAAAGTTACATTTTTCAAAATCGGCGGACGATCGGCGGAGAGACTCGGCGAAGGGCACAACACGGCTCAAACTCAATATTTTTTTACCGGAAAAAAGCTGAGACTATTCTTTTAAGTTTTTTTAACTGTTTTAATTACTTTTTTTAAATTAAAAAAGTTATTTATTTCAAATTGGCGGACAGTCGGGGAAGAAAATCGGCGAAGGCCATATCATGGGCAATTTTTAATATTTTTTACCGGATAAAAACTGAAGATATTCTTTTGAGTTTAGCAACCTTTTTAATCAAATTTCAAACTTAAAAAAAAAGATTATCAAAAAATTTTTTCTCCGCCGATTGTTCGCCGACGCAGAGAAAAACATTTTTTGATTGCAAAACGTTTTGACAAATTATCAGGTGTCACAGGGACCCAAAATCAAGGTTTTGGATTGGAAAAAGCAACAAAATAGCCTCAGCCGGCCTCCGCCGACCGTCCGCCGAACATTCACAAGACCCGCCCCTCTATTCTCCCCGCAAAAAAAATAAAAAAAATTTCGGTCCGGTCCGGAAGGTTTTCAAGAGGTCCGGTCCGGCGGTTCCTGAGGTCCGGTCCGGTCGGGAAAAAAAATTTTTGGACCGGTCCGGACCTGACCGGACCTCGGTCCGGACCGGCAAAACACTGCTAAGAAAGACTGAAATTAAGCCTAGCCGATCCCGTTGCTCATGTTTACCACTATTAGCAGAGTCACACAAAGTTTATGGTGCAAGAATTTCCGATGTATTAGGTTGTTCCCTTAATCCTGCGCCCCCCCCCCCTCAAAGCAAATTTTCGGAGTAAAGGAGCGCAGAATTATGTGAACAACCTAATATGTCAACAAAAACTTCTTACCTTTCCCAAGAACGTGTAACGAATAATCAGCCGTCGAAAGTACTCATCCCTGTCAGCTGTCGTCATAATCGCCACAAACATTGTCGCATTCTGGCAGTCAGCTGAAGTCGGCACGGTAGATCCATAGCTTTCATTGTAATTTTTGAATTCCAAGTCGATTTGTTCGAATTTAAATTTTTTCTCGAAATTCAAAATTTTCGAAGATTTTTCAGCCAGCTGATAATCGTCGATTGATGGTAATTCATCTTCAACTTGGTCGATAAGTTCGTCGATTCGGATCCGACCGGATTCATAGTTCTCTAGCTTCTCCTTCAATGTATGCTTATGTTGGGTGCGTAGCAAAGCGTAGCGCAGCGGTGAATTCTTTGGTAGGTTTTGTAGTGGAACGTCCGATTCTTTGGACAATATTTGTTGATATTGGTTTATTAGGGGATCAAGTTGTTCTGCAGCTGAAAGTAAATTAATTTTTAATTGTATACTAGTAGGTAATGACCAAATAACATAAAGAAAATACTTTCATCTTTTAAAAACTTTCAAGAAAGCAAAACTTTGCTATACCCAAGTATCTTACTGTTTGTACGTACAATCTAAGATTTACATTATAATTCGCGTATAGTGAATCGCTTTTTTCTTCGTTATAAACAAGTTTCGCTACAATTTTTTGCAGGATATTATATTATAGAAGAATTCCTTATACAGAAGCTGCACTGTATTATGTATATTTATTAAATAGTGCAAACATTAAAAAAAAATAAAATTTAGTTCCTTATTCAGACAAAAAAAACACGAATTTTGTGTTTACATTACTTAAATTGTTTTTTCCCAGACGTATTTTACATTTAAATATTCGTCATCATGATATTTTCACATTATAAAGGAGGAACGAGGTAGATCCAGTGTTTTGCCGAACCCAGGTCCGATCCGTATGAAAAAAACTTTGAACCAGACCTAAAAAACCACATTCTGGTCCGGTCCGAACAGGTCAAGACGAAAAATTTTAGTTCAATCCGAAAAAAAATTTTTTTTTCAGAATCAATATCTTACTATATACCAATCGTTTTCCGGTAAATATAAAAACAAAAACGGACTGTACCAGAGCGAACATTTCCGAAAAAAATAAAGCGCGGCCGGACCAAAAAAAAACTCGTCAGGACGGTCCAGGCAAAATACTGCGTGAGTTCAGCTCCATCCCATCTATCCCGTTTTAAAATCCGAAACCCTCTAAAATACTAACTTTGTGGTTCAAAACGCCGACTTTTCAAATTTTAATTTTATTGATATGTCAATGACATCTGAACGCAAATATTTTTAAATTACTCACTTTTCGGAGTAATAGTAGTTCGATGTTCATTCAGCTGTCCAGTTCTATCCATATTCTTCCTGAAAGCTCTTCGTAGTGGAGTTTTAGTAATTGGGCGCTTCGTAAACGGATCATCAGAAGTTTTTGAAACAACGTTCTTTACATCAGATTCGAATATGTTCTGACTTCTCGAACTTGGTTTTACATTGTCTTCAATCTTTTGTCGTCTACTATGTCGATCTATAGGATTTGTTTTTGATTCAGAATAATTCAAAGGATTTGCACTGTGGCTAGAAGGCTTTGATGGTGCATCTGGTCTTGGCCTGTCATATAAAATTGTGTTTATACCACTTTTCGTAGAATTTTTAGAAGTATTTCTTTGTTGCTGTAGGTGTTCATGGCCTTCTGATAATTTATTTGACCTGTAATTTGTTTTGATTTCCTTGTCGCTACCTTTCACATCATTTGTAAGCTGCTTTTCAGCTTTTTCATCTGTTTGTGCTTCTTTTTTGTCATGTTTTACTTTCCTTTCATCATTTTTGGCTTCTTTATCATTCTGTTTGGCTTTTTTCTCCTCATTTTGCAATTGTGTTTTGTCCGTTTTTACTTCTTTTTTATCCACCTTAACTTCTTTTTGTTCCTTCTTTACTCGTTTATCATCTTGTATTACTTCTTCTTTATCCTTTCTTATTTCTCCACCGTCTTTCCCAGCTTCTTCAACCTCTTTTATATCATTCCTCTCCTTTCTGCCACTTTGACCAGAATTCAAAAACTCATGAACAGCTTCGTAATCTCGTAATTCTTTAGAGTTTTTGACCTCTTCATGTTCAACAACATCATTAATTGCCACATTTGAAGGCCTCTGGTTTGTCGCATTCTTCGTTTCTCTTCTGACATCATTTACTATACTATCAGAATTCTTTCCAACACCATTTAAAATAACATCTGAATGTATAACAACATCTTGTGGTGGTTTCGGTAATTCAGGGTAGAGTATTGCGTAGACAATGATGACCAAAATACATGAACATAGTAGGCTTTTCATGCATACATTTCGCATTTTCGCTAAATCCATGGCACGCCTGTAAAAGGGGTTTGTTTTAGGGTAAAAAGGTTAGTTTTAAGATAGAATGAGACAATAAAGGTATACTCATTATTATACTATAGACAACGGTATACTGTGGTTCAAACAAGTTCTTGTGAAAAAGCTTTCAAACTTTAAGTCCTGATTTAAAAGACAAGACAATTTTTATGGCGATTTAGCGAGTAAAGGCCTTTAGGCAAGGCAAGGCCAGAAAAATGCAAGATAACGCGGATCAAAAAATACCAGTTCTAGGTAGACCTTTAAAGCGACCAAACTTAATTTTTTCAGCCTGTTTTACAAGCCGGTCCTTAGCTCAAACCCTGACCTTTTTTTTGTTACATTTTTAACCAACAAGCTTAGCCATCGTTTGAGCCCTCCCCCCCCTGTTAAATAAAAAAAATTTTTTAAATCCATCTAAAGACATTGTTGTCCCCTCCTTTTTAACCAAAAACTTGTATGTGACAAACTATAAACACTACTAAAACAAAAAATAGAATATAATACAAAAACTGTTACAAACACATCCAAAACCATCAATAATGTTCCTTCCTTCACTTACATTTTGAGCTTATTTGAAACAGGCTCTTGACCAAGTTTTAGCCAGAAAAAAAATAAAAAATACAAGCTTATTAGCACAGCTTTTCACTGGTACAACTCCAATAGTTAGTATAATATGTTGTAATAACTAAAAACAAAAAATGGAAACAGAATCCAGAAATGCCTCGAATTGGATGAACAAGAACATTTGGGAGAAGCTGTGTCAATATTACAAGTTTATTCAGATTCTACACGATTTTTTCAAATTTCAGACTTTTTTATACGCTGTTTTCAAAATTTTACTTATATTTTTTTTAAATCCGTCATAATGATGTCATTTTTTGCATGAAATTTCAAAAATGTCATTTTTATCAAATTTTCAAAAATGCCATCATAAAATCAATTTTACTCTAAATTATGTCATTTTCACTGTTTCTAATCATCATTTTTCAAATTTATCAAATTTAAAAAAATCCTTTATATCTTCATGCCACTGTCGATTTCACAGCGAGCTGCGCCCATGAAAAATCCTCGGACGGCAGGGTTTTTTAGTTTGGCTGATGAAAACACTGCTGCGGGCGGGACATGGGCAATAAGCAGCGTCGACGCCGGGGATTCCAAGATCGCCGGGCGGTCCGGGCCTTCCTGGACCACCAGGTGGTCCGGGCGGGCCGACTGGACCAATAGGACCACGTGGTCCTGGGGCGCCATCTTCACCGTCCGGTCCCACAACACCATGTGGACCGGGTCGACCTGGTGGGCCTGGCTCACCTTTTGGTCCCGGTTTCTCGATTACTGTAGTTGAGTCGGCGCCTGGTACACCTGGTCCTCCTCGTTCGCCGGCTTCGCCTTCTGGTCCTACATCTCCAGGCGGGCCTGGTGGTCCAAATGCGCCATTTGCGCCTGGTTCTCCTGGTGCTCCCGGATCTCCTGAAAAAGTTTTAGCGTTAAAATGAATAGCTGGCCTTAAATAAACTTATTTTAGCTAAAATAATGTCAATGCCAATATAAAAGCATAAAATAAAGTGCTAAAAATCGGCCCAGGCACCTCCACAATCTTTTTGACCCAAAATCAATTTTTCAAATCAGTACCTTCAATGCCCTTCGGCCCAACTGCGCCATCTTCTCCAGGTAGTCCAGGCGGTCCATTCGGGCATCTAATACATGGCTGTTCCGGTGTTTCACAAACAACTGGAGGTAATGTGGAATGGTTGTCCTCTCCTGGCACTCCAGAATTTCCTGGCTTTCCTTTTGGTCCTGGTATACCAGCTGGTCCGGGTGGACCAGGTGGGCAATTCGGCTTTGTTAATTCACATGCGCAGTAGGCCTAAAACTTAAAATTTCAAAAAAAATTTTAACTTACCGGTAGTTCATTACTTTTCCGTTTTTCCCGGAAAAGCGACTCAAACGGATTCATTCTAACTTTATTTGGCTCCACATTCATTCGTATATCTAATAATAACATCCAGGCAGCGTCTGTTTCCATTCGATATTCATCTACACCATCCGACACTTCATATTGCAGCAAATCGATAATTGTGTAGAGTCGTGGAATCGTGATGAGGCAAGTTATTAGTGAAAACACAGAAAACGACGTAGATATTACGGTCAGAGATTCAATTTCAACCATCTGAAATTATGTTTTTGCGAAAGATAAACAAAGTAACTATAACACTAAGTTTAGGTAAGTACAAAACAAAAAAAACAAAATTCAGATATTAAATTAACATTAACACAAATGTTAAACAATACAACCGTAAAAAACCTACCTTAAACTATTTTTCCAACAAGGAAGATATAGGTAACGTTTTACATGATTGTAAGCGGTTCAAAACGGCGATTCATCCGGCTGTCGTTACTTTCAAGTGCCCGGTAATTGTTACGCAACCGGTAGTTCGCCATACATTCGTTGTCTTTCTCATCTGATATACATTCTACCTTTAAAGAAGTCATATTAATATAAAACAAAATCAACAATATAACTTTGTGAAATGTAAAGGAAAAACCGAAAGATTTTGTGTACTTGGTAAGAATAATATAAAGCAGCTTTACAAATTCCGGTTAAGTCAAAGCATTACTAATCAAATAATTCTGATATTACACAGCTTTACATCTAGAATAACATAAACTAAACAAAAACATCCAACAAAACCGTTAGATTAATTAATAAAGCCATTTATGACACTTTAATATATTATATCTAGTCAAATAATGCTAATCAAAAAAATTCAGCCAGTTTTGAGCATTACAGAGCAAGTAGTTAAGATATTACATAACCTCATGCCAATAACTACATAAACTGAAACAAATCAACTCTCTAAGCCCAGTATTTCTAAAAAAAACAAAAACACGTAAAATACTTACATTAGTCCTAGTTTTACTTCCATTCATCAACGAACCTCCGTAAATATTTTGTCTGAAAGAGCAAACGAAAAGTTGTCCAACCTTGCATGAATAATATATCCTGAAACCAGTTAATCTTGTAAAAAACTGTGACTAAATAATTTAAAACGTTAAAAAAATGTTTTAAAATCACATTAACATTTTAATAACCATCAATTATACGCGATTGCAGGACTAATATTGTTCTAGGTTTACAAATTTTTGAGAAAAAATCTTATATCAAAATCCAGAAAATCCGTCATCAAAATTAGCAATTTTTGTTGAAAAGACATATTTTATAACGAATAACAACTTTTTAGCACGAAACGACATGTTTTATATAAAAAAAAACTTTTTTCAAACAAAAAACAGATACTGATAATGACATATTTTTTGGAAACTGACAAATTTTTCTAAATATTGTTCATCTACTTCTACTGGACGTTCCACATTGACTCCGTCTTCGAAACCTTGTTTCATTCCAAAGTTGTGATCATATACTAGTTTAATTGTCATTTTATATTACTTTTCAGGCTTACAAACGATAAGACTTTATTGACTTCGAACTTCTAATAGCTACAGTAAGTTGTAAGTAAAAAAAACTATAATTTATGAGTAAAATCTATTTTTTAATCTAATGTGAGTAAAATAGCTGCATAACATGAGTAAAACTACTGCCTCGTACTAGTAAAATTTACTTTACAATGTAATATTGGCAAGATTTATTATGTAGTATGTGTAAGTATGATAAGGTATGTCAAAGTTATTACGCATTAGTTGGCGAGTTTGGTCGACTTTTTGAGTGGTCGACTTGTTGGGCCAATGGTGCGCATTGGCCATTACAAATGGCACCTTGTCGTTCGACTTGAGTCGGCTTCAAGTCGTCACCAACATGGTAGAGGACACTGCCGATACCATTTAACGTCGCCTTCAAGTGTCATTTTTAAACTTTGCCATTTTATTATACAAAAAATTTTATACTTTGGTTCAAAGTTCATAAAAACTACAAAATCCCCAATAAAATAAAAAAAACTTCTGGTCGAACTATTTATTTCTGGTCGATAAGCTAATTTCTGGTCGATAAGCTAATTTTTGGTCGATAAGTTCATTTTTGGTCGATGAACTAATTTCTGGTCATAAAGTTCATAGAAATGATTAAAAATAGCCTTACCTTAGCGCTTTGGACCTCCTTGTTGCTGTCATCGAATACCTTCAACTCAAACTCGCCCAACCCACATTCCTTGGCCTTTTCTTGGAAACGTTCTTGTTGACGGTTCTTCGTGAATGACCATCTGAAAGGTTAGGCTTGGTCACAAAGTTGGTCGAAAAGGTTACAATTTAGGCGGCAAATTTGATTTTTTAAAATTTTAAAGAAAAATGAAGTTTTTGGTCGAAAAATAGGTAATAAATTGATTCTTGGTCCAAAAGTTTATAGAAAACTAAAATTTTGTCAATAATTTTGCAAAAAACTGAAATTCGTTCAAAAAGTTTGAAGAAAATCAAAATTTGGTCAAAAGCTTCATAGAAATGTGAACTGTGGTCCGAAAGTTTATAGAAAATCAAAATTTGATTTAAAAAAACTGAAAGCTTATAAGAAACTTCCAACTTACTTATCGCTTTTTTTTGCCATTTGGAGTTGTGACCTGAGCCTTGAACTTTTTGTCGGTTTGTGACTTGACTTTGATCAGAATGTCACATGCCTCACTCAACACCAAAGCCGATACCAGTAGCACAATACACAAGGTTTTCATTCTGAAATAATCGAAATGTCAATACTACAGTGAAACTCTTGTATAAAGAATCTTCTCCTTACTTCCTCATCAAAAGTTATAAATTTTAAAAAACTTCAATCACATTTCAAAAATGAAAAACGATTACATAAAACTATGTGAATCACCCTGCAGGCCCTGGTATTTTAACAATTGTTTGAGCTTGTAAAAGCAGACACTTTTATCTAGTCATACACCAAAACACCAGCCTCTGTTTATCCCAAATAAATCGTTTTCGTTTATTTTAGTAAGAAAAACACTTCCGAGACAACAACGACCTCCAAAACTTTATAAACACCGCATTTTTAGTCATCATAAAACAAGTTTACAATGATTTCGATTCGTTTTTACAATTTTGCGCTTAGTTTTGTCATTTTAGAAGCTATACCTGAAAAGAGGCCGGACCGAGCCCATTGTTTCAGCCCGTCCCACGGAGCGGGCTTTGGTTTGGGCCTCGACCATTAGGCACACAAATGCCAATCCGGCCTTTTTCAAATTTGCTCGGTTCAGCCTTTGAAAGACCTCAGCCGGACCCCTCGGGCCTTCATTTAGACCTGATCCCTGAGACACATATACCAGCCTAATCCTTTTCAAATTTGTTTTAGCCTAGTCAGGTCTACATCAGATAAGTTTTACACTTTTCGCAAGTCAAATCTTTCGTTGCGGGACCTATATTGGACCCCTGAAACCTTCATTTAAGCCCGCCCCTTAAGGGTGAGAAACGGGTCGGACCCACTTTTGATGTGTCCAAGGTTTACGCCCAGCCTGTTTTCATTTTTACCGCAAACTCAAGGCCGGCCCGATCTTAAGGTCGGGCCTACACGGCCCGTTTCTCATCTCTACAGACCCTCAGGCTCACATGTGTCAGCCGGACACTTTTTTCAAATTTGCTTCGGCCAAATCCGCAGTCAGGCCTCGTGGGCCTTTTCAAGACTATTTTAAGCGACTTGATGACTAGTATTCAATAAAAGCAAAATTCTTCCCAAAACTTTCAAACCACATCTAAAAAGAACCAAATAGGTACCAATCATCCCTTTACCTCTCATATCATTCAATTACCAAAACAACTTACACGAAATACTTTATAAACCAAAAATAAAAACGTCTATAATGGAATTTCAGCCAATAATTTGATGATAAAAGTATTGTTACAGTAACAACATATTAGAAGGCCTTTCGAGCACACACAACCATAAACGAAAGGGTTCAATTTAAATTATAGTAAGAGACAAAAGTATATTTAATACAACAAAAAGAACAAACGGACAGACCTCCTCGGATTCAGAATTCGTTATTGAGACAAAATAGCACGTTCTCTGGGTTTACTGTAGTGAAAATTCAATTTTTTTAAATTATAGCCTAAAGTCTACTATTTTAGGTGTAAAACATAAAATTTTATACTAAAATTAAGTCAAAAATAGTGTTTTAATCCAAAATAAGATCAAAAAGCCATTTTTAGCCAATTTAATGTCAAAAAAACTAATTTTCTTTCTATTTTTATGACGTAAACTAGGGTTAACACCATGAAAAAAATAACTATATCTCAAGAAATTCCATTTTAATACTAAAAAACACCTTTAAAATTCCTCTTTTTTGCAAAAAAAATCTAAAAACTCAAAAATTGGCCATTTTAAAAACTACCCAAAACCTTCCATTTTCAACCCTAGTGAACATTGATTAGTCTATTACAGTCAAGAGTTTAATATGAAACAAGAGGCGAGGATATTAACTTAGACTTCTCTATATTATAAATAAGACGATACTACATGGAGATGATTGATTAGAACAATTTGCCGAGGATGATGCCAATCAGTAGAGCCGCCAGACTGACCAACAATACTTGAACGTTGAGGAGGCCTTGGCTCGAGTCCGACCGGGTTACCATCAATTCGCTTAGTTTTTGCTGAAAAAAGGCATGGTTAATATTGTTTTAGTAGTGTTTTTTAGTGAAAATTAGTTTTTTTGTGCCGGAATATTAAAGCTTATAATAAGAACATTAAAAAGCTTTAAAATCTAGATATTTTCCCTCCAAACCTACTCTAAGCTCCTGATTCTGCAGAGTCAATCTTCTGTTTTCAACTTCCTTCTCGTTGGATTTGGGTGCTTCTTCGTGGCTCGGTGCGTTTCTCTGGACAAGGTTCGGGCGAGGCTGTTGAGCCAGCGGGCTTTCGGTAGTTTTGTTAAGTTTGGGTTCGAATCCTTTGTCGCTGGAGACGTAGTGAGCGGTTTGTTCGTTCTGTGCGGTGTCATTGTCGCTGGTGGAGTCGAGATTCGTGAAGACAACTTTGAGGCGAGCGTCTGAGATTTTGGATGGATCCACCGACTTCCAGAAAGGTTCGACTGGCTCGTCCGTGGCCAAGGCCGATTGCACTAGAAACTTGTGACGAGACCGCTCCTTTTCGAGGGTTTGCATTTGGTCGACCGGTTGGAGCATTACGTTCACGGTTACTGTGCCCGAAGCCGGGATTTGGCCGCAGTTTGGTCGGACGCAGTAGAAGCGAGGAGCGGTGGTTTTGACTTTAAAGTTGACTGCTTTGTCGGTGACATTTTGCAGTTTTAAGTGACTTGTGACAACCTCGGTAAAAGGACCTGAAAAAGTTGTTTTAGAGCTAAATAGCTTCAAAAACACATCGACTGTTAAAAGGAGACTAACGTTAAGACATAGAATATCAAAGTTCAAAGCCTCGTTTAGCATTAAAATCAAGATTATTTAACATATAGTCAAAGTATAACAATGATGCTTTAAAATTTGCCCAAAAAGACAAACATCGTTAACTAGCATTACGTTTTCTTAAGTAACATCCCCCCCCCTTAGCCTAAAAACCAAGAAGACAATAAAATCCTTACCGTTAAATCGTAGCTCGTTCGCAGGTTCCAAGCTGATAAATTGTGGCTTCGACATATCGATCCTAACTGAAAATAGTCCAGATTAGTTTAATAATACTCAAAAAACAATTTAAAACGCGGAATAAATTATTCACACAAAAATATCGCGAAAAACTCGATCGAAGAGCTGAAATGTTTAAAAGTCAATGCTTATCACTAACAGTTCCCCTGTAACGACAAAATTGTAAAGTCCAAAGAAAAAACAATGAAAAAAGTTTGTTTGCAGCTTCGTTAAAACATTAAAAAACAATCAAGATCGATATTAAGAACGAAAGCATAAAAAATCTAAAAAAAATAACAAAATGATGAATAAGCCAACGTTTTTTCTTAAAGTGAGTCTAAAAGCAAATCTTACAATAAATTATAGTTCATATAATAGCTTTTAAAACCTCTCACAATGTATAATTAACAAAAAATTTAAATATTTACGAAAATCCTAATGTTAACCATGAATAATATCGTATGAATCAACCCCTAAACACTTTTACCCAAATGACATTTACTTCTCATTTAAAAAAAACTACATTGAGCCTTTTAAAACCTACATCCATTAAAAGTCAAACGTAATCTTGGCAAAACAACAAAAACTTCAGCCAAAAAACTTGATTTTGTTTACATCCACAAAAATGCCAAAAATGTTATGTTCAATTAAACTAAAACACTGATTTACCATTCAAAAAACATCTGCCAATGACTAAACTATAGTTTAGAATAATATTCCTTTGTTAAAACAATTCTAAAAGTAAAAGAGCACTTTTCCGCCTAAAGCTCCAATTAACACTAACATAACATTGAAGACCTTAATGTCTTGTAACCTTTGAGAAAAAGATACGTTTGGGTGTTTGAAAAGGCTTGCCATGAACAATTTAAGCCCCTTCAGCAAAAACAAACGTTTGGGAAAAGCCGAGTTTTGGGGCCGCCGAAAGAGCACGTGAGAACAAGAGAGCGGCAGACAAATTTAAAGGAAATCCGCTGGAATTTTTAATAAACCCGGTTTTAAGGACACTGAATTAGGTTGTTTAGAGCATCAAGAATTAGGTTGTTTGGACATCTCGTTCCTTTCGTTCGCCTTCAATTCGAAATTAAAGGAACTTTTAGGTGTTAGACATGGTGAACATAAAAGATGTATTTTCCTCGTCTGGCGTGAACAAATAACTTAAAATTTAACAAATACTTGGTAAATACCTTGCTCTTGCTTTTTAATTAAATTTGAACTCAAAAGAAACAACAAACTTCCAAAAATAATTAATTTATGTTACACTAAGTATACAGAAGTAAGTTAACTTAAAAATGCAAGATTAATCATATAGCGCCAAAAAATAACCTTTAAAAGCATATAACTGACATAACGTAAAACATAAAACAATATCTTTGCTAAAAAAGCCGCTCATCTCATGTTACACGTCAAACTTTGACCAACCAACTACAACATTCATTTTGATCCAAAAAACCTAAAATGACAACAAAAAAGTAAACCAAACCCACGTTAAACAACTTCCCAAACCGAATCATGTTTACATTTACTGGTAAACACAAAAACACGTCTAATAATCCTGGAATTTCATAACAATATGATATTATACTCATTCCGCGTGGATTTTCTCGTCGATTCCGCGGAAATCCGTAATTTTTCGTGAAAAAACGCCTCGAAACCAGTGGCGGGATTGATATATAGCGAGATAAAGCGCCCCTCTCGCATTACCTATGCTAGCCGACGTCTCGGAAGCGCGCCTGAACGAGAAAAGCCACGAAGTGGAGCGAGTGACTACGGAGGGAGAGTTGGCGCAAAGTACACGTCTGGGTCAAGTGTTGCGCGCTACAGTTGACGGTTTGTGGGATTATGCAAATTGGGCCGATGGTTTTGTGAATATTGTTTACAAAACAAGCTTTGACCTGGAAAGGTATTAAAAATTTTATTTTAGGGCCAAAACATCAAATAGCATAAAGAACACAAAGCCAAGGTTTGCCAATTGCGCGGAAAACAAATTTTCACATTCTGAACCAACTACGTAAGATTTTAACCATTTTTGTCTTAATTTATCCAAGATTTATTATCTTGTTAACCATTGAATCCCAAAACAAAATTTTTGAAATTTCAAAAATTTAAAAATATTTCTATTTATCCTTTATCAAACAATAAAAAATAATATCACAATTCGCAATGTTTTCGAATAGGAGGAAGAGTATTCACCAAGGGATAATATAACACGGAATGAAAGACAAATAGGTTTATACAAACTAATTTATGAAAGAAGGATAAGAGAGTGGATCACCTGAATATTGAGTTGGGTAACCTTTCACTAGATTTCAACAAATTTCAAAAACTATTTTGATTATTAAAATGGAAGAACGAGGTGAATAGAAGATAAGACGGGGACTGGTTGGTCAGTAACTTCATAGAATATAAGTTTTTTTTTGTCAATAAGCCCTTAAAATTTAGTGCTTTTAGTCAAAACGTGCCTATAATTTGATGCCTTTCCATAAACTTATTGACCAGCCCATAAAAATTTAAAATTTACAATCAAAAAGAATATTTTTTAAAAATACAATAAAAAGAAACATATAAAACATGTATAACAAACGTATAGTACGCTTAGTTACATTAAAATACTAAAACAATTATTTTAATCGTATCAACAGACTAAAACAATATATATAACTATCAAAATACGACTATGAAACTTCGTCGGGATATATAGCACTTTGAGTATGAATTTGTACAAATTTGGACTAGAAGATGGTGCTATATAGTACGGGCTTGATACTACATAGTATAAAAATAATACTATATAGTACAATTATAGTACTAGTAATATCAATATGCTACTACATAGCACAACCTTAATACAATATAGTACAAATTTAGTACTAAATAGTACCAAACCGCTGCTATATAGTACTATATAATACCAATTCGACAATAAAAAGTACAAATTTAATACTATATAGTACAATAGCCAAATCCAGCTCACCCAGTACAAAATATGAAACTTAGTCTAATACTAATATTTCGAGTATGAACAATACAAAGTTGGTATAAGCGAACATTGTGAGGGGTGGGTATGTGATGCCCGTTGTGACATAAATTCTGTACATAACAACAAAAAACAAAGAAGAAATAAGAGAAATTACAAATTTCGGCCCGTTTTTCGCACACAAAATACCGTGATATCAACAAAATCTGGTGCAATATAGCTATATAGAGCAGTACTTACAAGTAGGATCTACTACAACATGTCAGCAACAGTACTAAAATCCACTATAATATAGCTGAGTGTTATAAAAACCTACTATAATATAGAGTTTTACTATCAAAATGTACTATTAGATAAACAGACAGTACCTCTGAATACTAAAAATCTACTATAATATAGCCAGATCCTATCAAAAACCACTATAACATCAGCCAACAACATCTATAGCTCAAAAGTTACAGTAAATTTTATTCTGCAACTTTAGACTTGGATTCCGACCAAATATCACGGTATTTCTATTACATATTCACAGTTATTTGAGGCGTTGTGTGATTGAAGCCAAAGCGATTCCGAATGCCTGAACCGCCGACAAGGGAGTGCAAAAGTCCAGGGTATAGGCGCCGTTTTCGATCCGGCCGAACTGCATTACCTGCTCGTTTTCGTGCTCGATTTGGAAGTTTTTGGCCGATTCTTGCGTCACTCGACCGCCAAAATCCAACTGAAAATAGGGGTTTAAAAACGGTGTTACAGGTTTATTGGGTCCCACCACGAAAACAAGAAAATTACAAAGAAAAGTTTTTTTAATAAAACCATTCATTATGAGGAACAAAACGGTGTAAAATACGTGTTTTTCCATAAATAATTTTTAAAGTTATAACACATTGACCTTCAATAGGTCCCATAACGAAAACATGAAACGTCATAAAAACGTCAAGAAACTATTTTTCCATAAAATCGTTTCTACCAGGCAACATAACGTTAATTTACATTTTTTAACCGGCTACTATGCCTTTAAAAGCCTCCCCCACTAGCTATATTATCCTTACCTGATAGACCTGACTCTCCTCGTTCCAGAACGGGGTTTTGTTCGCCACCCTTATCACTCCATATTGTTGTTGGGGGTTTTGTGGTGAATCAGCACGCTCGCTTTGGATGTCCATTATGTCATCTTCGTCCTTTTTGCGACGTTTTGTGTCCAAAAAGTCGGCCGCGTGAGGGTTTTCACCTAAGGTCGATTTCAAGTTTTGAACGCGTTGATGGAGGTCGGAGAGCATCGAGTTGGTTCGGATGGCTTCTTCCAGTTGTCCCAGTTGGGCCGCAATGTCGCGGAGTTGAGCTCGCATATCGTCGACGGACGGGGAGCGGGGAACGGCCGAATCCGGCTGGGATTCGTCTTGTAGCAGACGATTCTGGTCTTCCGCCTGGAAATATAGCATGTTATGTTAGGGTAACTTTATGAAAATGTAACAAAGAATGTAATATTGAACTAGCCGTAGGGTTTTCCTTTTAAAAATTAGGAAAATTGGTTTTTCTTTAAACTTTTGGACCAAACAGCTTATTTTTCAAAAGATCCTACAATGATACCTTTTCCTTTATGAAACCTTTTATAATATCCGTTCCCTTACAAAATCTTCAACAACACCCCCTTCCTTACCATTTCGGCCTCTTTCCGATGCCCTCTCAACCTAAGATCAGCGGCCAATGCCGTCAACCGGTCGATAATGTCGTCCTTTTTGGCTTTGCTTTCGGCCGACGTGCTCGAATCGGAGGTGCTTGGCCTGAGCTCGGGCGGTGGTGGTGGTGGAGAGTGTGGAGGTAGAAGAGCGGCCTCATCCGACGCTGAATCCTCCTTCGCATCTTCGTCGATGAAATCCAGAGAATCGAGTTTGTGTTGCCATGAGAGGCGTGGCTTTTCGGTTTGGACGGCTTGGTCAGTTTGGTCGGCGAAACTGGTCGACTTTTTTGGTTTTTCCTTTTTGCCTTTGGCCGCGGTCTTCTTCGTCTTTTCGGGTTTTCGCTTGGCTAGCTTGGGTTTTGTGTTTTTGAGTTCATCGGCGAAACGGCGCATTCGTTGAATGTGTTCGTCGACGGCAGTGCGAAGGCCTTCGTACTCGGCGAGGACGTTGGTATAAAGACGACGTTCCTCTTCGACTAGTTCGTCTTCTTGGCTGGGGGATGCTGGGCGAGCTGGAATAAGTTTTTTGAAAAATTATTAAAAAAGGTAATAAATATTTTAAAAAAAACAATCAAAAAATGCTTTAACAAAAAAAAATGAAAAAGCGCCTAAACTTTTAAAAAATCAATTTCCTACCTTCCTCAATCTCCTCCACCCTCCTTTCTTCCTCAATTCTGGGGCCCAACAGCTCAGCCTCATTGATATTATCCAAGTGAGCATGTTGTAGTAGGCTCTGTTGATCTTGTTGTTGATCAGTTCGCCGCAGCAAGTGATTCCTCAGAGTTCTAGCCCGGCTTCTTCGTCTCGTTTGATGATTCTGATTCTGGTCGGGTTGTTGGATTTGAGCAACTGGTACTCTTTGGATTGGTCGCCGATCTCTGAGGCGAGCCCGGGTCTCGGCGTAGGTCATGAACTGGCGTTGTTGAGGTGGGATGGGTTGGAGTTGGCGCTGTTGTTGTTCGAAGCGAAGGATGGGGTCCATGATTGTTGGGCGGATGGGTGCGACCGGTCGATTGTTGTTAATTTGGTCATCGCTGGAGTCGGCGTTGATTTGCTGAAGGGTCCGGGGGCCGCGGGCTGTGCGGGGGCGGTCAGTTGGCCTAGAATGATATGACTTATTCAATACAGTTACATAGCAAAAGTTATTTGACATTATGTACTAAATTAGCATAATTTTAAAAATATTACTAAAATAGGACCATTTTTCAAATTTAGTACCAAATTAGTAACACTTTACAAATTAGGTAACAAATTTCCAAAAACCTCAATTTCTTACCTAAAAACAGCTGGACTGCTATCAGCCGACCTAAAGTTTCTTATTCCAGTAGTTCTATCCACCGACAAGGTTGTGTTCATAGGCAAGGGCAGGTTCTTGGTCAATGGCCTCAGGTCACACAAAGCTATGGCCATTTGTCGCGGTTGTAAATGTAAAACCGAGGTTTTATAGACGACATGCGCGAGGGTTGGGGGGAGGTCACGGATACCGGGTGATGTGATTTTGAATCGTGTACACCATACATTGGATGATACGTGGCATAGTACTCGATTCGATTTCACTATCGGGTTGGCCAGTCGCTTGGACATGAACTTTTTGATGCGTCGCTTACTGCGTCGCCACACCGAGTTGCGAGGTTCGGGTTGTGGAGCTAGGAGGATGTCTTCTTGTAGCTTTCGTTTGGCTAAAATAAGGTAATTTTAGTCCTCGTATATGACAAATTATGGGCCTGACTATCATAATATTATGTTTTCTTTTTGACTTTCGACCTTTTAAATTAGTATAATTTTTTTATAAAACAAGATATTGAGTTGAAACTTTCACTATATATGCAACATTAAACCCTTTACAATCGGCATGAATCCATTTTTCAAAAATTTTTTATAAACCCCCTCTACTTACCGATAGTTTGAGCATATCCACTAGTTTCACTCGGATCTTCGATTCCACTTGGTGGCATTGGTTCCAGATCATGAGTGAACGAATAGTTTGGCATTGGTAGATTCACATTACAATCCGCGGCATACGACCATCTCGGGCCTACCATGTGATCTTTGATTGCCCATGGGCCGTAACTGTAGCCGGGCGTGGTATATGCCGTGGACGGGGGTAGGCTGATCAAAAACTGCGGTATGACACGATTGATTTGTCGTCCTATTAGCACGGGGATCATGCCTCCCAGATGTTCTACACACAACATATACTGATATGACTTTCTTGGTATTGGCATTATGGTGCAGTACCATCGCCAGAAGGTGGGTTCACATACGAAACGGCACATTTTGTCGTACGATGGTACTCGACATCTTATCAGATGCCGATCGAATTGCTTTATGATGGTAGTTGGTCGTTGTGGGAGCTGTAGTCGGTATGCAAATCGACCGGTTCGGCCGGCACTTAACCATAGTTGATATGCGACAAGTTCGGTCAAGGCTGGTACACCTGCGACTACTCGGCCTACTGCTATGGTTGATCCTGCTGCTACAACCATCATTTCATCCTTGTGTGCCCAAGTGAAGACCATTGATTCGTCGTCGAACATGATTGGAGGTATGAAGCTGTGTACCGGTCGGCCTTGATGGTTCAGGATGACAATCCTTCCTGTACTGCAAACTACGGCCAATAATAGACCGCTGGAGCTCCAGTGGATGCTTCTGATACTGTCACGACTTTTCCATCCGTACAACTCCACCTCGTACTGAGTATTCAAAAACAGGATCTGATCGTCGCTTGATACGACAGCCAATGTCCACTTCTGATGTTCTTCTTCGTCTTCTCGGATTGGGGAGAACGCTAGTTTAAAAACACCGACTTGGAGAAGTTGTCGTTCCGTGATTATCGTTCCTTGATCGTTGAAGACTTGAATTTGACCGGTTTCTAAGCCTAGTACGAGTTCTTTTGAGTTCGGCGACCAGGTACCACAATTGACTTGGTTTAGGAAGGTGTTCGACCAGATTCTTTGACCAACGGCAGAGCCTGAAGGTTAAAAAATATTGCTTTAAGTAATATAATTCATTATCTGTAGCTATTTATCATGATAACTCATTATCTTCCATTATTTATCAAAATATTCCACTAAACCCAGATTTCAATCAACCTATCATAATATCAAACTAAAACAACCTACCAATCAGAACAAAGTTGTCCTCATACAATATAAGCGCGGCCGATCCATTAGGACTCCAATCAAAATCTCGGACCTTCAATCCTCGATCATTGACCAGCTCCACCGACCATCGTTCCTCGTTTGGTACCCAGACATAAATCACACCGTTCTCATCGCACGAACCCAGTTTTGTCATAGTCGCATTCCACGCAACCCGCTGAATTTTAACGTGATGCCCTCGCAAATTGTAATTGTATCGACGTGACAGATCGGATTCAGCAAAAGATTCCGAGTGGGCAGTGTCTGTCACTGCTATCCCAACCACACCATTTTGTGTGCCACTGGCTAGGAGGCCTGGAAATAGAAGTTTAAGTAATAGAATATAAAAAAGGTGAGCTTTAGGTAACAGAACTATTATTTTAGGTATTAAAAACTTAATTTTAAGGTGTCAAGCATCAAAAAACACCGAAAAACCCTATTTCTCCCAAAAAACAAATTTTTCTTAAATTTTTGCCATTTTGAATCATATCTTTTTTCAAAAAGCAAGACATAAACTTAAAGCATTCGGAATATATACTCCCTTTTTATGCTTTACAAAACTCATATCATCACTTTTTGTTAAGTTTAAAATAAAGGTCAAAAAATAAGTTTAAAGTTTATTTTATATCTATTTATTAAAAAAAGTTACGACAAAGTCAACCAAGTCATCAACATGCGATGTGTACCTAAATTTCTCAAAGAAACATTAATCATACCTCTTGAATCTGTTGTGGAGACGATTCCAGAAGACATAGAATTCGGATTTGGCTGTCCATGTGAATGTATTTCGCCACTTTTGTTCGGCAATGGCATCCAACATAATGATGTGATTTGAGATGGCCCAACCGAGGAACCGGGCCAGCACTGGGATTCCCAAAATATCTTCATATCAAAATTCTTATCTAAAATTGGAAGATATAGTCTAATTTATCTTAAAAAAGGTTTTAAACTATGTATTTGGCAAGTATTATAGTAGAAAGTCTACTACAATATAAAACGTTCGCCTATATGAGTCACTAACAACAAGATAATATCACTTTTAACCAAATATTGAGTTATAAAACTACTTCCTGTCAGTAAAAAACACAAATAAGCCTTAGGTTAACTCCTTATCATCTTTTAAATCCTAAAATCAACTAAAACAAGAAGAAAAACAACAAAAAACTTACTATTACAATTAAAAATTCATCCAAGAATGTACAATAACTACAACGCTTCGATATGTCTTATATTCGGGTGCTTGGAGCACCAAACGCCAACAAAAAACGATGAAGGAACAACGCTGAAATGGGATTTACATTATGTTATCATAGACAAATGAACTGATGAACTCGCGTCACGACTTTCGACACGAAATATTATCATCAAAACTACAATTGAAATACAAAATAGATATAGTGATAACATTAAAGTTAAAAGAGAATTGGATACGAGATTTCAGGTATTAATAAGTAGATACAACCAGAAAACAGTTGAGATAAAATAGTAAAGAACTGTTGTTATGAGTAATATCGTAGATATAAAGATGTTTTGCACATGAATAAGATTACTTATCAGTATTTTTGAAATTGATAAGGAGGCCAAATAAAAATAAAACAAAACTATCGAGTTTTTAGACAAGATGACGCATTTTGTGGACAAAAAATAAATGAATGACGCATTTTACAGACGAAAACAGAAATGACAGGTTTTGTGGACGAAAATAAAAGCAAATTACGTACTTTCTGACTTAAAATCTCAAAAAATAGACCGATCTTCGAAACTAGAATGTAAAATATTTATTTTTAGATATAAACCAATTCAGATTACCTAATTTTTAAACAAAATTTCAACAAATTATCTGTTTTGTGAATAAAAACCCGAAAACTAACGGCTTCCCCTAAAACAACTGACTTTTCTAAATAAAACACGGATTTTTTGAATAAGATGGGAAGAAAATTTTCGGTTTTCATATTATGACCTTGTTGCGAACGGATTATTTTGTCTAGTTCGATTTTAAAACGTGAGGTTTTTTTTGTTTTCGGCGATAAACGCGCGTATATATTACACATGCCATTATAACAAAACGTTTAAAAATAAATTTGAAAAACCGACCGGAAATGGTGGGAAAGTTTGTGGTAATATTGTTTTTGGATTTTAATTTGTTTTTTTTTAAATTATTTCTTAAATTTCTTGGTTTACATTACTCTTGTTTGTTTTAGGAAGGCCTTACAGAAAGATCTTACACTACACCTGATGTAACTTCCCAAAACCAATGTCTTGGTCGATACATATTGTTTGGAGACTCCTCAAGGTTTTACAAAGTGAAAGTTTATTCTTTACTTACTATTAATAAGTTAACAAGATCAAAACAAGCTGTGAAGGAATAACAACTTTTATGGTCAAAACAGTCTCCTTCGCCAAACTTAACATCAGACTACTTCAGCAATGTTTGCGGCTTTGAATTCGATAAAAAAGGTAATCGAATAAGGACAACAAGACCTTTTTTTTAAAGATTGTAATTACAGTGGAACTTCTGTATAACGAAACTCATTCATGACAAAAAAAAATTAAAACCCTGTTCGTTATACACGAGTTCCCCTTTAGAATATTCAAAAAAAACTCCAAAAATCAACCCATCAATCGATAAACGCAATTAAACTTCCATCAACGGAAGAAAACCCAATCACCTGGAAGTTTACTATCAATTTTCACGTTGTAATTGTGATCAAAACAACCCCATCTCCACAAAGTTGACGGAGACGCGGGAAAACGTGTGTGCAAATTGATCGGAATCGATAGGGCAAACGAATTGATTGGAATCGATAAGGCAAAAAGAGAGTAATGTAGTTACAATGAATTCGGAAATTTTCGGAATTGATTATCAGCACACACTGTGCAAAGTTGGGGAATATTGATAGGTTTCGGTTGCAGGCTTTTCGTCAAATAATGTTTATGAAAAAGGTATTTTGATTAAAAGTAATAGAATTGCACTTGAACGTTAAGGTAGAGTAAAGGTGATTCAAAAGCGAAGTATAAAGAAGACATACTATAAGGTAAAACTAAAAGGGAGCCCGCTAAACCGGGTTGAAGAAAAGTTGAAAGAGGCCGGACCGGAACATGTGGGCCCGAGAACCAGGCCCAAACCAAGACCTCAGAGACCCAAACGAAGGTCCTAGTGAACCAAACCAAAGCCTCAGGGACCCAAATCAAGGTCCCATAGACCCAACCCAAGGCCCTAGAGACCCAAACCAAGGCCCCAAAGACCTAAACCAACCCTCATGGACCCAAACTAAGGCTCCAAAATTTGAAAGAAGCCGTGACGGACCGACACATGTGAGCCCGAGGGGTAATAAAGGCCCGGCCTTATAATAAGCCTACTATAACTTTCAAATAAGTAAAAAAACATAGTGTTAGTAACCTAAACCCTAGCGCCGTTCCTTGTTTATATATTACATCAAAAGTTTTACTTGTCCTTGAGAAGTAGGGAAATTGATAAGAAATGGAGTTCATTAATTACTATGCAGTTTACAAAACATGTGCTAAATATAAAGGTATTGATTGATGCGGTTCCTAATGTCTACAATAACATATTTTGTTTTCACTAAAGTTGTCGATTTCTATTGATTGTTTCTAAAGCTACAGTGGCTTCGTATTAGTCATCATTTTTTGTATTGCAAGGTTTTTTCGTTGTGGTATGAAAAAGCGGTTACTGAGTATTAGAAAGGGTGGTAATAATAATGGTAACATACATATTTCGGAAAAAAATGGAGAAATCCACCCCTACCTGCAAAAAAATTTAAATTTCCCCCCGACCAAACAAAAAGTTCGCTCCCGGACCTGAAAACAGGTATAAAAGTGTAGGTAGTGCAGTAAGATATTTGTCATATTATAACTGATACCCCCCCCTATCACTGCTAGACCCTCAAGTTAAGGAAACCTGACAATCTTTCAATTCGTCTACCACCCAGCCCATTATCAACCAAAACTTATTTACAGATGTAACCAGTATTACACTGCCCGCCTAATTCCCTCACTAATGACTACTCAAATTAATGTTTTCTGACACATAATTACCGTCACACGCCAAAACAAACCACGCCACATGTAAAGTGTAAAAACAACACGAAAAGACACATACACGGCATGTCGGCGGTAGTATATTGGGCATGGAAAAACAGGGGGAATTTTACGTTTTGCGGACACAACCTTGGTCGTATGTCCACACCACAGTCAACAATTTTACTGCTATTTTCGGCCGGCACGACAGGCATTATTTTGCTCAATTTAGAAGAAGTGTGGATAAGTAATATCAATATTAAGATGGATAAGTAATATCAATATTAGAATGGATAAGGAATATCAATATTAGGCTGGATAAGTTCTTATGTCGTTCAAATAATTATGTGCCCCGTGACCCCAAAAAATTGCTTTAAAAGGGACACAGAATTATATGAACAACCTAATATATAGATATTAGTCTGAATAAGTTATATAATAGTCAGTCATCATAGAGATATTAGCCAGTCATCATTGGATAATGTCATTTTATGTCAATTCGGAGCCTCTAATATGAATGGGTGGCCACATTGTCAATACACAAGTTTCCGACGAGAGAATTGGTGTTATTCTTGGCAAGGGGAAAACATATTGTTGTAACGATATTTGTACAGTTAACTATCTTTATACTCAAGATCTTTTAATGAATACTCTAGTTATATCAAGTGAAACTCTTGTATAACAAAACTTTTCTATAACGAACCAGTTCAAAATCTCCGAGAGGTGTGTTACACAGAAGTCCCACTTGTCTTCTGATAACTGTGTGGATTATCAGGTTGTTCAAATAATTCTGAGCCTCTAACCTAGCAAATTTGCTTTTAGAAGAGGCACATAATTTTTTGAACAACTTGGTAGTCCACACAGTTTTCACAAAACAAATGGGTCTCCTGAATAACAAATCGCTTAAAGATTTCTACATCGGTTCGTTATATAAGAGTTTTGTTATATGTTCTTGTTATATTATACAAGATTTTCACTACCTCTTCATTAAAAGCCTTGTCATCACTTTTAATTTGCCACAAGAACCACCAAAACCTATTTTTCAAATCTTTTTCCGCCATATCCATCTTCTACAGACCTCATTACCTATCTTCAGCTTCAAAAAGTACCTATATTCCCCTTCGGAAAGCCTAATAAAAACCAAATACGTCAACCTTAAAGTCCCTTCCAGGTAATCTTCACGGTCAATTACCCGCATAAAATGATATATAAACTTGTTTACCATGGTTGGAAATGATTTTATTTTTGATATTACAAATTACTACCTGATTTCAGACAAAAAGTACAGCTGCTAATTAAGGACAACCAGCTTATCTGTTGGAGAATAACAAGCCTAATCTTCGTCTAGAAATATCACTATAATCTAGCTCTTCTTTATCTATTTTAGTGGTTTTTAAAGGTTTGCAAGGTGATCTTACTGTAATTTATGCTTTTTAAAGGTTTTCAAAATGGCCTTACTGTCAACTAAGATAAATTTGCATAAAATAGCCTCAAGTTTGAGTTCAGAACATCATCTTTGTAGGTATCCCTATCCCTGAGAAGGAAGACTTCTCTTTTAAGTTTCGAGCGGTGTATTATAGTTAAGTTGTGAAGCCATGTTATTCGTTTTTACATTTTAATTGCTGAGATACTCATGACAATACGACGCTTTACAAAATAACAACGAATATCTTAAGTACCTATATAATCACAAACACTATGGCTTCTCAATTTAACCACCAATACCACTGCTTCACAATCCAACTACAAATACCAAGGCTTCCCCCTAACACATCCGAATTAATCTAGCTTTTCATCGAATCCTCACGCAATTCAAAAACCAAAGACGTAAGCCCAACCGGACCGAAAGGATGTGACTATAAAACTGAACAAAAAACGCTCATATTTACGTGTCGCACTAATTAAACGCGCTTAAAGCCTGCGGATATTACCCTAGCAACCGGAACATATACAATAACGAGAGGTATCCTATGACTTTTTTCTCCCCCCCCCCGCCCCCCCCTCTTTTCAGCCGCCACAAAACCAAAATACAAAGACTGCGTGAACCTGAACTAACCTTAACTCAAACAGTCAATACCAATCCACCTTTTTTTGTGTGGGTAAACAGTCTTTATAACAACACTTAAAGGAGTAAACGCGGAGAGAAGGGCCGTGAAATGGAGACGAGCGGGTGGCTATCGCGCAAACCTTATTTTAATCTGCCCAAAATTTTTACCATGCCCGATAATTAAGTAGTACCCTAAATTTTGTGAATGCCCTCAATTTTTAAACTGCCCAAAATTTCTACCCTGCCCAAAATTTTAGCCCGGCAAAAAAAATTTTACTGTGTTCAAAATTATGCCCTGTCCAAAATTTTTACCATTAAAATTTTTGCAGTGCCCCAAAATTTACCATGCCCAAAATCAAAATTTTTACCATGCCCGAAAATTGACTGTGCATAACGTTTATCCTGCCTTCCTAGCCCTACCCTAACCTACTATTATCCTTGCCCTAGCACCACCAAAGAAATGCGTAAGGGTAAAAGTAAGGGTAGGGGTATTGGCAAGTGCAAGAGTAAGGGCAAGGGTGGAGTATAAATAGAGGTAAGAGTAAGCATAAGGAGGGGTAAGAGTATGAATAAAGGTAGGGATAAGGAAAAGTATAAAGGCCAAACCCTTCACCTTACAACTAACATCGGCCTGCACTATCAATAACTAGTCCAAAATCCAGCCCAAAATTAAAAAATATTTTAGATATCCAATGGAACTTGGATTTCCCGCAAACCCGCTTTTGATCTTACCCCCGAATCCACTCTTTTATCGTTTCAAAAGTTAAAATCGAAAAAGTTTAAAACTTGGTGACCGATCCGGGTCAAATATCGCCGCAGGGCATATGGCTATAATTCCAATCGATTTTCAATAGCCAGCAAGCAAATAATAGGTTTTTTAAAGTAAAATGTGTAAAAAATTTTTTTTTAGTCTGGGCCATTTTTTGAATTTTGATAATTTGGGATATTATAGTAGGCTTCTGATGTAAAAAATGAATTTTTAGTAAATTTTATTATCGCGAACCCTTGAAAAGCATTTTTCTTAAAAAAATAGATAAGTAACTCTTCTATACTAGACCATAATCTCCCAAAAGCTCAGTAACAACGCCTCAATCGCACGTTATACAACAAAGTAAACCCCAATGTGTAATATCTTAATCTGGCAATGAAATAAAGAAACCTTTGCAAGGTGAAAAGATGTTAAGCTGTTAACAATATGCCTCATTCTTTTTTTGTCATAGCAACCGACATAAAGCAACCGACCGTTTATAAGAAAAGTAATTATGAGCACGTAGGTGAGTGTTAAAGACGTCATACTATTGGAATTAAGTGTAATACCAGTGGTGCTTGAAAGGGTATGATGAAGGCTTAGAATGCTGAGTATAATATATATCCTGCCTTGTTTTGAGGAAGATTGGGCAGAGTATGATCAACACACAAAAAAAATTTTTTTTTTCAAAAAAAGTTGAGCTTGGTCCCCCTGTTGAGTTAGAAATTAAAATTTAAAAAAATTTTATCCTCCCCCCCTCCCTCCGCCAGACCGAAATCATCAGCCCAGCCTGGATTTTACTCTACTATAACTAAAAATTCATCCCCCCCCATTCCAACTTAAAAAATGTTTCAAAAACTCAAACCGCCACTCTTTTTCCAAATCTACGCATCATAAACCGCAAAATATTACAACGAATAATACATTATCCATCATCCCGACAATCTTTCCCTCCCAAATCCCTCTCCATTTCCGTTTTACAACCCCCGAACTTTTACTGTTCACGGTATGTGTAGTGGAGCGTGTTAGACTTGACGTTACCACAACTTCCGTTGCCCCGTCCAAGTCAATTACCTTGCCAAATCTGAGGGGTTTAGGCTTGCAGTTAAGGGATATAGTAAGATATAGAACGTTGGGCTTGTAAAATGGTTTGAAAAGTGGTTTTAGGCTTATAAAATGCTTTGAAAAAGTGATTTTAGGCTTTCAAAAAGATAAAAAATGGTTTTAAGCCTAAAAAATTAGTTTAAAAAGCAGTTTTAGGCTTAGAAAACAAAAACATTGCCTTTTGCTTACATAAAAAACTTAGTTTAAGTCTACAAAAAGCATTATAACAAGGTGTATTAGCTTGAAAATTATGAAAAAGATCCTTTTGGCCTTATAAAATAGACAAAACCTTGCATTTCGTAACTGAAAATACTAAAAAAATGTAATGCTAGGCTTATAAATTAAAATAAGCCATTCTATCCCAAAAATCCCAAAACAAGCCATTTAACCCCAGAAAATGAACTAAAACAAGCA